TTTGAGATTATTATTTTTCTTCTGAAAAATTAAGTCTCAGTGCATAAATATTTTACTTCCTGATTGAATAATTTTGTTGTTGTCAAAATAAAATGAAATTTTTATTGTGAAACATACATGGAGACCTATATGATGAATGAAGTTTCTTCTTACATTCTAATTACGATTCTCCGGAGGCGTCCGTTATTATAGAAGGCGCAGATATATCTTATTTCACATTCGAAACTGCTCTCGTCCCGATTCGCTGCTCAACGCGGTGACGAGTAAACTAATTAAATTTCAACTATAATTTTCCACGCGGGCCGGCGCTTGGTCCAGTTAAAGATGTCGCTCACTTGCGCACGCGGCTAATTGCAGCTTTCGAATTAACCCCTGTTAACTGAAAGTGCTCCCAACTTTTCATTGGTTCGCACTTTCTATATATCACGTCCTGAACCGCAGTTCATTTGTATCGGGAAAAAAATCAAATTTAATTGATGCAGGTTATGACCGGACTAGAGATTGAGACGAAGGGAATAAATTCGCCATCATTTTTCGTTTTATTTGCGTTCAACGCACCTGAAGGTCAACTAGTCGCAGCCTGATTAAGAGCGTCTCAGGCTCTCTGTACCTTGGGCGCCAAAACATCCCACTCGCCGTTTCCGGTGCCATAAAACCACTTGTGAGATAAATGCAAAGCAAATAAGATTATGCAATGATTCCCCTAACTATAAATCGCATCTCTAGCATCAAATAAAACCAGCAATAAAACGCCAGAAAAAAAATATTGTTGGCATACTTTTGGCGCAATAATGGTTTTCCATCTCAGCATTTATCTGGTTTTCCAGGTTGCTGAATTTCCTGCGTCCAACCTTGACGAAATCAGAACTTGGTGAGTAATGGCAAGGTGTGCCTTTTTATGCGGATTTGAGATCGCAGCAGCTCTCGACGGGTGGGTGTTGAGAATGAGAGTAGAAAGGATTGAATCAGCGAGTCGGCTGCTCTGCTCTCTTTTCGGCCAAGCAAATTGGAATTAGGCTTTGTTCGCTTTACACGCAGAAATCAAGTGACATTGGACATTGGACTTAATTTTGCTGGCAAGGACTCGCAGAAAAATCACAATGGAAAGCGGAAAATGCACTTTTTTATTTTTGCAAAAATAATGTGGGTTTTATCTATGGACTCAGGCTTTTTCCTCGTTGTAAACAAATGTTTTTATTAAAAAAAAAAACAGCCGAATAAAAAAGATTTTTTACAACGAGGAAAAATTGCCGAGTTTTTCACTTCCAAGATCATCTTTTTGAGTGTCAACTTCTTCAAACAAGGTTTTATTTTATGTTTTAATTTTTTTTCCCCAAATTTCTGCAGCGCCAATTCTCTACCAATGTAAAGAATATTGTTTTCCCAGTATATTTTACAATTATTTTTCATTATCGTTTTTAAACTTCCACCAAGTCAAGTTATAATTTATTTTACATAATTTATATGAGTGCAAAAAGAATTATTTCGCCTTTGGCAAATTAAACGTGCGGGGAGTTTAGAGAGGTCTGCGCCAAAATGGGCTGTTTTGATTTGCACTTAATAAATTGTGCCTCAAACTGAATCCGCGAGCCTTGGCCTGAAATCGATTGCCTCGTCGGCGCAGCTGTTGCGGTTTATTATTCAAAACCTACATCATATAAAATTACTCGTTGTCTGCAGATAAAAATCCTGCAGCATTAATTTGCAGGCGAGCAAAAATCATATGATATAAATAAGAAGAAGACTTTCTGGGACAATGAGAGCGTGCGCGAGTGAGAGAGAAATGAAGACAATCGAAAACGAGTTTTGATATCAAATAAAACGACAGGCAGTCTGTGTAAGGAGCGCGTGAAAGCAGAGAGTGAGAGATTCGTCGTCGTCGTTTTGTCTCTCTGGACAATCAGCTTTGCTCATTGAAATCGATTCTGGCTCATTTGCCGTTTTTGCATGAAAAGAAGGGCGTTGGCTTTTATTTTACATGGAACGACCCCGACAAAAGGCCTCATGTTATGCTCGAATTTTGGCATTATAGATAAAATTTAATTTAAAATTGAACACAATTAAAATTATTATGTAAGGAAATAAATTTAAAGTTTCCTTTTATGTCTTTTACTATCAAATTGAACTAATAAGTAAAATAATTTGTTAGGAAGTAAAAAAAATGCGCTGAAGCTAAAATTATTATCAAATTCGAGCGTTTTTCTTCATTAATTTACGGAATTTGGTTTATAAATAAATTATGCTTCTTTGAGCTACAGGCACATTATGAATATTTGGAGCTGGTGCGGTCGCAGATCTCTCTTGAGAAAGCGGCCGCCGATTAAAAACTTGACTATCACTTGCTTGGTATTTTAAAATCGATTACGGCCACGTGGGTATTCTGCTTTAGCTCATTTTTGGCCCTCATTAATGAGATGTGGAGTTTGGATTACCCTCATGCAAATCTTTCGCGCTCCATTTAGTAAATTAGCAGGGAAAAAGCATAAAAATTAACATGATGTGGTTTGCAAAGATAGGAGGAGAAACCTTTTTTTTTGTGAAATTCTCCGTTTCAAAGAATTAATTTTAATTAGTTTAGGAATGAAATTCCCTTGAGCTTCATAAATTGATGAATGGAAAAATTTATTTTCCACAAGCTCGGTTTTAATTTTTTATAAATCCACCAAGAGGATTAGCTTTAAATAATAAATAAATTGACTTATAAGTTTAAAAATTCAATAAATTAATAATAATAATAATAAATAATACAAAAATAATACAAATTTAAAAATAAAATTGAACTGCGGCGAATGAGGTCTTTTAAAATCTCAGAAGTTTTAACAAAATTCTAGCTAGTGGTGGTGTCGTTTTGTCCTACAATTCCTTCTCTTTTTTAACAAATTAATTATTGTTTTCAACAAATGCATTGTAACAATGGAAAATTTAACAACAATAATAATAATTAGATGAACAGAAGTTATTTTAAATCAATCTTTCAATATAACCCCGAAATAAAATTTATCAAATTTAGGAGGCGCTTTCTGTATTTCCAAAATTATTAATTTAGAATTGCTGATTGTTATTCTTTTGACAGATTATCGTTTGTGTAGAAAACGGTCGTGGTATTATTTTCACAGTCGCTCTCGTCCGCTTTGGGCCTTTCGGAGCAACCAGTTCACCTTGTGAGCAGAAAAGCGGTGCCCTTTCGTGCCTTTTGCCGCTGCTGAAGAGACAGACAGACTAGCAAGCATTGTTCCTTTTCCTTTCTCGCATCTTTCTCTCTCGTTGTTATCTTTCCGTGAGTGCGTTTTTCTCGCTTTGCTTGACGTGAAGTGGCGAACGAGCGAAAGAATGCATAACTGTGGTGCTTCTTCGTACAATTATCTATAAAAAAGAGACACATCTCGCTGCTCCGATGTTGCCGCCGCGAACACGGAGACAATCGAGAGGTCGCGATTTTTACAGCAGCTTTTCTGACGACTGAATAGCAATAAAAACTTTGAAAAGCTGTTTATTTGTAACTAAAATTTTGTTTTGTAGACAAAACAACAGTTTACGAAAATGTTCATTTTGATCTGCCAAAATTTCTGCACCGATGAATTGGCCCGTGAAAACGAATAAAACTTTTGCGGCGCAATTATCGTGGCCAACGAAGGTTGAAAATCCTCAACGCAAATGGCAGAAGCAGAAGAGTTATTCAGAATAATATTTTTTCTTTCTTTCTCTTACTTATTGCGCACGAAAAGAGCAACCGGCAGAACACGGCTGAAGGCAAAACAAAATCTCTTGTGCGGCGAAAATATTTTCCTCCGCAGCGCGACGCTCCGAGCGAAAGATTCAGAAAAAAAGAGTAAAATAAAATATAATTGTGTTGCTTGAAAATGGAAAGGAAAGCTAAAGCAATCGGAGAGAATAAATAAATATGAGTCATGCCATCAAATCGTGAGTACATTTCATTTTACAATTTATTTTCCCCCTTAAAAATTACAGTGGTATTTAATTAGCGAATGATTTTATGCATCATGAGCTTGGAATGCAATTTATAATGAAATTTTGATGATACGTAATAAATATATCTCCTTATTTTTACACGATTTCAACGAAATAAGGGCAATCAAAAAGTCTAACAAACAATTTGAAATTAGGGTAAATTAGCCTGGTTGGGCTTTTGGATTGTCCTCATTATTATTATCAGTTTCTCAGAGCAAATTGAGATTAAAAGATCTTTTAATTTTAACACCAAGTAATATCATTTCCAGTTTTCCTTTATCCATTAATTGCCTTCTTTGAATTTAAATTAAATCATTATTATTATTATTATTATTTTTTAATTTTTTGTACATTTTTTTCCCTCTCTCCCCTCCCTAATTCAGGGATCACCCCTATTACTTGCCAGCGCACACTTTTCCTCATTAATATTCATCAACGACAGGTTTTGCGCGCGAATCAGACGAGAGCTCTTCAAACAGAAAGCGAAATCAGCAGAAAAAAGTTTTTAAAATCGAGCCGGCGGCGGGTGAGTCACGCAATCGAAAAATTCACTCGAAAAAACGCTGAAATTTGGAAAAAAATAAGTACGTCAATTCAATTCCAAACTGCGCCTCTAAAAAGGAAAATATTTAGTTGTAATTCGGCCATTTCAATTATGAGATAATAAAAAAAAAACAATTTCTGGCATAATAAACACCACAGAATCGAAGGATTCTTATTTTAAAAACTATCTCAATTGCAAAAAAAAAATATGCCACAATTTGAATCGGTAGGTTTTGTTGTAAACATATTCAAAAATTTCAAAACATAAATATTTATTTTACGAATTATTGCAGAGAAATTGATAATTTCCTTTGAAATGAATTAAAAATAAATTAAGCATCTCCACAATTTTAACGAAAGAAAGAAAGCGCGGCAAAAAACGGCAGGTAACATAACAACAGTCGCGGACAAGTTTTTTGCTTTCCTCCCCCTGTGCCCGGGATCGAATTGCGCAAAACAAACTTTGGGATGAACTGAGGGTGACTCACCGAAAGCAGGTGGATGAGAGCAGAAAGGTCGAATCAAGGGTCGACTCTGCGGTGTCCTCTTGGTCCTCCTCGCCGCACACTCACAGTCTCAAACCCTATTGATAATCCAACAGTGGCATCGCCGGTCGGGGCGCAAAATCTATCATCACCTGACGCTGCAGACTGAGCAGACTGAAAACGAAAATTCTTCCTTGCCGTCTCTTCTCCCACCTGCTGCCGGCAGTCGAGGCGGTCGAGGCAACGCCGCACGCCGGCCGAGAGAGAGGGGGGCGAGAGGGGAGTGCAACTGCAGGTCCGAATTGCCTCCCCTCGCTGTATTTTCCTGTCTACCTGGGCTGCTGGCTGCGGCGGCGCATCCCGATTGTGTGATAAAATTACACCGCAGGCCAACAATACTGTTCATATCTGACTGGCATTCATTATTGTAATCCCCTCTCCTTATTAACTATCACAAGCAGGAGAGCGCGGCGGGACAAGTTGATTGCGGGGGCGATCCGCTTGATTTATTATTATTTGATCATCCGCATTCACTTTTTCAGGAAAAAAAAAATCAAAGAAATTAATTTTACCTTTTTGCTGCTTCACAATAAGTGACTCCGATATTTAAATTAATTTATATGTGACAAATGACAAATAATGTCAATGAAGGTGAGGTGATTGTAAAATAGACAGTTTTAAATTGTAATTAATTTTTAATTTCAAATATTAATTTATTTTTCACACCATATTTTAAAAAGGAGAAAAGGTGGATTAAATTGGATGTCGTAAAAAAAACTTTAAGACCCAATTTGAATTTTATTCCAATTACATATAGGGCACAATAGAAGTGCATGAAGATTAATTTGCAAATAAAACAAGGTTTTTCAGACAAAAATTGTCAGAATTTTTTTTTATCAAAATTCAATTATGGTTTTTAAAATACTCTTTAATTTTACATTTAAAATTTCATTGCTCTTCTGTTAGACAACAATAAATATTGCACTAACAGAATTTTATTCAAATTCTATTTACATGACTGCGCCGAAAATGAATCCAAAAATAATGTTGGAGATGGCTTGTTGCAAGAGGAGGAAGACTTCGTCTTCAATTAGCCAGATGATGACTCCCTTGAACACGTCCACAAACAAATTGACGAAAACTTCGGCAAGCCAGTTCAGTCCAAAGCCGAGTCCCTTAATATCAATACTGATTTTCCTATAAACAAAAATAAAATAATTTCGTTACCATAATAATTTAATTACCGAGCTAGGGTTTAATTTTTTTTTTATAATAATAGATGTTTTTATTTTTTAATACAAACCCAACGTCGGCAATGTTGAAATCCTCTTCGATCAGGGTTCCTCTTCCAGTGGTCAGGTCAATAACCATGGTGAAAGCGAGCCTCGTGTTCTCGATAATGCCGATCGCCTCGCCGGTAGGGCCCAAGTCCATGAAAGTCGCCTCAAACATGTAATCAAACTGAAATTTTGTTTAATAATTTTTATAAAATTATGGGGAAAGGTGAAACCTGAAGGGTGGTGAAGCCGAGCTGGCCTCGGACGGTGAGGTTGTTGCCAGCCGGGGTAATGTCCATGTCACCCACGCGGTGCAAGGTCAACAGTCCGATCAAGTTGCCTCTAGTCAGCGAGGCCTCACCGTGCCAAACGATCCCCAAAAGATCCTAAATAGAGAAGAATTCCAAAAATAAATTATTAAAAATTCAAAATATAATAATTAACACTTCCATTTTTTGCCAACTTATGTTGTGAAAAAATTCAATTAACTACAGAAATATTTATCTTTAGAATTAATAACGTAGTTAGTATTTAATTTATTTATGACTTGATATCAATATTGCGAAGAAATAAAAAACTAAAGAATGATTTAATTACTTATGAAATTTAAAATAGAAAATTATGCATTTTATTGAAGCAATAATATACCGTGAAACTAAAGCCCCTGACGAGGTCAGGCAGCATGTAGGGCTCGAGACCCTGCTCGATAATGAGCCGCTTCACTTCTTCAACCAACACATCAACGTAAGCATTGATTTCCTCCCCAGTTACCCTGCAGATCAATAAATTTAATAATTCAAATTATGCACAAATAAATCTACCTGGGAGAAATAACGTCGGCCGGCTTGGCATTCGCTGACGCCGCCAGCACAAGCAGAAGAGCCAAGAACAACCTGACGCGTTGCATTTTTTACTATTAGAAATTAAAAATCAGTTTGATGCGAACAGCGTCTTCGTTCACCTTTTTGCGGAGTGGAACTGCGTCTTTGAAGGCGACCCGTGTTAATGTCAAGTGAGCGCTACCGACTGATAAGATATTGAAATTTCACATTGAAGAGTTTTGATTTCTTTTTTTCTTCGAAAACGCACGCCAAAGCAGACCGCCTGTACCCTAGCTCTTGACGAGTACGGTTCAAACAATTATTTTTTGATCGCATCTTATCTCAACAGTTTCAATTTGAGGTACGTTGCTTGTTGTTTCAAAAGTTATATCACTTTTGTATAAATCATTTTATATAAATATTCACAATCTCATTAATTTTCAGAGGTTTTGTTCGAATCCTTCTGATGTTCATTTTTTTTTCTCTTTGCGCCTCGAAAATTCAAGAAGCGTGAAACCAGAAAAATTTATTAATTGAATAACGTGTCGCGCCAAAGGCGAGCGTGCAGAAAAACAAGTGTGACAAAATCACTTTGCCTTGTTCCAAAAACGTCAGAAACAGAAAATATTAATTGCTAAGAATACAATTATCTCTTATTTCAAAATAAAGTCGCCTCTGGTTGTTTTTTATTAAAAAATTTTATTCCACTCAGTATTTCATGTTCATTATTTTGTACTTTCAATGGGCGAAGGGTGGCGAAATCAGAGCATGAGCACGCCAAACGAAATGTTGGCCAGGGCTTCACGAAGCGCGTTCTCCATAACGCTGGACAGGACGTTGAGGATGGTGCCCTTGAAGATGTCGACAAACAGGTTGACGAACACCTCGACCAAGAAGTTCAGGCCCCACAGCAGACCGGTGATGTTCACGTCGATTTTCCTTTAATATTGATTTCTCAGTTAAATTCACATTTTTAATACGTGAAATAACAAATAATTTTCTATCTCGTCTATCAAAGTGGTGACGTAAGGATTCAATTTATTTAAGAGATTTTTGAGAAAAATGTCCCTAGAAGCTATCAAATTTCTGTCTTTGAAAATTTGGTTTCGTTCTGATAAAATGATTAAATTGAAAAACCTTGTGGAGAGAATTTCAAAGCTGTGCAGGGTGGCGGTGGCGTTGGCAATGTTCATATCGAAGGAGAAGCTGAAGCCAAAAAGGATATCGTTGGCAAAGATTTCTGCGTGTCCCGTCGGCCCCAGATCCATGAAAGTCGCTTGAAAGTCGTAGTCAGCCTTTTTCAAAACAAAAGAATTGTTTTCATTCCTCCGCTTTTGTATAATAAGAGCTCCTTAAATTTATTGAAATCGGAGATCGGAGCTGAATAAATATTCAAATTTCGATTTCGTTGAATTACTTTAATGGCAAGAAGGCCCATCTGGGCAGAGACGGTGAGGTTGAAGTTCTCATAAGTAAAGTCTGCGTCGCCGTTTCTGTACAGAGAAGTGATGCCTGTCATCTGGCCATTGCGCATTGATGCCTCGCCGTGCCACACAATTCCCAGGAAGTCCTTATTTATATTTGATCATGAAATCATGTTTTGCAATTGTTGAATAATTTTGTGACGGACTATTTTCTCACCTCATACGAAAAGCCTTCGACAAGGTCTGGCAGAGGCACAGGGTCCAGGTTGTTGTCAATTATGTACTTTTTGATTTCGTTGATCAGTCGATCGACGAAATTGTTGATTTCCTCCCCAGTTACTCTAATTTAAAAATAAAAAATTATTCCGACTGATGAGATTTTTTGAACAAAATTAAACAGACTTAAGTTCTGCATCCTTGGTTGGCTTGGCCTGTGCTGCAGCCGCCAGCAGGAGCAGGACGGCGAGGAAAGAAATTTGCTGTCTCATATTGACCTTTTAAAATTTGTTGAATTAAATAAAATCAAAAAAAAAAATCCAAGCGAATATCACCTTTTTCACATGAAATGTACTGGAGTGCCTAGAGTGATTTGCCGCTTGGATCGTAGAAGTGCCTCTTTTAATTGGTCAAGCAATCTCTGATAAAGAGATAATAATAAATTTTCTTTGATTGATCATTTAGAAAACAACAGGACGTGTAAATGATAAGCTGAAGACCACTCAACAAGCAAAGTTCCCGTCAAAGGCAAACTTAGTACAAAACATTTTTCTTGAGTACTTCAGATAAAAAAGTAAAAAAAGATTGTTTTGAATGCCAGAAATGTGTGTTTTATTAATTAATTCACTCGAGATAACTACAAAGAACCGATATTACACAATTATTGTAGTAATTTGAGAAGATTCTTACATTACACAATAAATAATATTTATCTTTTAATATAATTTTCGACAAAAATTTAATTTTGTTGGTTTTTTTAACAACTTTTCTTGTAAATGCAAAGCTTTGCAGATTACAAAAGAAAAAAAAACATCGTTTGAAAAAACACAAAACTTCGTTTTCCTTCGATATTATTTATTATTTTATCGTCAAACATGCATTTTGCCATCCCCTGATTGAATTTTTTCATTAGAAGATCATTTTCATTGTCGTCTCGTTGCGCTAGCTGGCTCGCCTTGTACTGATTCCTCTATCCTGATGCCTGCCTCCCCCGCCCCATCCCCAAATAAACACTTTTAAATTAAAAAAATCCCCCGACCCCAAAATTCGTTTTCTGTCCGTGAAGAGTCCCCGCGAGAAGGCGGCGGCCACACCAGCGGCCAGCGCCTCATTCGACCGCCCTGCCTCCTCCTCGGGACCGCTCGCAAAACTAAATAGATTCATGAATATCATTTGAGTGCGAATCGTTTTAGAAGGGCAAGAATTTTACTTTCGTAAGTTCAATTCTCCTCTCCCGTCCAAGTTTAGGTTTCTTCTTTAAATTCTCATTTATTTATCACAGGCAAAGCCATCAAAGGCGTCATAATCGTGCACCATCTGTCCGCAAAAAATACTGATCAATTTGGAATTTGACAGAAAAAAAATTATATCGTAAGTACTGAAAAGCAATCAAAATACTGTCTCGCGCCTTTCGAAATTTTTGTGCAATGTACGAGACGCTCTTTTAAATTAATTCAAAACAAACAAGAAAACATCCAGCGCCACTAAAATACCTTTAAATTTACTAGTGTTTTTGCACTTGTAGTACCACAGAGATGCACTCCAGAATTGTGCTTTTTGAATAAGGCTGGACGTTTTCTTAATATCTATTATATTGCTGGCCTTGCCTTTTTTTCTATTTTTAAATTATCCGAGCTTTCTTCATTTCATTTTTGCTTACTGCTGAGAATTATATAAATTACTACAAGAGATTATTGTATAGAAAGTATGAAAGTACAATCAAGCAACCAGAGAGAGACTTCTTGCGGTCTTAACTATAAATTGTCACCAGCGTTTGAAATTCCAAAGACAATTAATTACGGTTAAAAAGGAACTTGATATTTTTGGCGGAATATACTCCCGCTTGGGAATGAAGTGTTCTTTTGGTGCAATGTGTGTAGTAATAGTTGTTGCTTCTTGTGGCTGATTTAGTTTGATTGATATATTAAATTAAAATATCACAGTAAGCGCGAAATTGTGTTCAACACAATTGTTGATTCTTAGTAATTTTCTTTCTCGATAGCTTGGGAGAGGAGTGATTAAATTTCTGTTTTAAAAATTAACTGGCCTGAACCCTAATCAAGAGAGTTCCCCTCAACTAGTTCTCCGGGTGGAAAATTGAAAAGTCAAATTCCTTTCTTTTGTACCGACAAAAGGATGAAGGTTGTTTGGTGTTTTTTTTTCTTGTTCTTTGGGCCACATACACGAAGCGTGGCCTTTCGGTGGTGGAAAAACATCACAGTTTCTTCTTTCTTTTTGTTTAAAACGCGCGTCTCGGTCCATTTCGGCGCGGGACTTGAGAAAATAAGGCCTCCACAGTGAAACTACTCACTTCGGCCATTTGGTTTGAAATTATTTATCCAATGGCAGTCTCAGGACACAGCACAAGGGCCAGATAGCTCTGTATTTTTACGTTAAAACATCTCGCTATTACCCCCGTCGTGCTTCTTCCCCCACGTCCTTCCTTGACGGACGCAAAAACTTCTCCCTTTCCGTTTTTTTTTTATTATTTTTAAATTTCTTTTTTTCCGCTGGCGAATAACGTAATCCACTAGTCTATACGCGCACAGGGACGGCAAATTTAGTTTTGCTTCAAACAAAATTCAATATGGAAAATTTCCTCGCAGGGATTGTAATTCTACTTGTCTGTGATCAAACTGGATTAATGAATAGCTCAAAGAAGTGGTTGATGGTGCGGCGAAGCCGTTTCCGAATCGAAAGCAAATCTTGAAGAATCGAGCCGGACTGAAGAAGTAGATTGCGTCGCCACCATCCTTAACGTCCGTCGTTGCCCCACCAGTCGGTGTTGCCGCCTCCTCCCCCGCCGCCGCCCCCACCGCCTCCGTAAGAGCCGCCGTAGCTTCCGCTGTTGTATCCACCGCCATAACTGCCTCCTCCTCCTCCACCTGATGGAAAATAAATTCAAGTGTGAAGATGGGTAAGTTTCAATTATAACTACAACAATAGCTTGGATTTGAAATTTGATTGAAAATGAACAACGAACAAACATCTTTTCTAATAAAAAACACTATTAACTTCAAAATTTCGAAAAGAAAATGATTAAAAAAGAATTACTTTGCACTTTCAGGGGTTGAATTGCAAAAGAGCACATCAGAAAAAAATGTATTAAAGCTTTCTAATCTTATTTTAAATAAATTTTAAAAAAATGCATTGTTTTGGCTCACCAGGGGCAGAACCAATTTTTCTACTTCCAATATGCTAGCAAATATGAGAAAAAGTTTTAATTACCGTATCCTCCATATCCTGAGCTCCTTCCACCTCCGCCTGAGGTTCCGCCACCACCTCTCTGCTGGCGATAATCCCTGGAGCCAAAGCCTCCGCTGAACCTGCCCTTGCTGCCACCACGACCCAGGCGACCAGAACCGCCACGAGAAGAGTCCTGCGAGAATGCCTCCATCCAAGTGGGCACCTCCTGCTTGGTTTCAACCAACAACTCAAGCAGGTCGCGCACCAGGTTGCGATTCTTATCGTTGAAAAAGGATGTGGCAGTGCCGAGGTTGCCCATTCGGCCTGTGCGGCCAATGCGGTGCACGTACTCCTCAATGTCTGATGGCAGGTCAAAGTTGATGACGTGCTTCACGTGCGGGATATCCAGGCCTCGGGCCGCCACTGCAGTAGCCACCAGAATGGGCGTATGTCCAGTTCGGAAGCGACGGAGAGCTTCTTCACGGTCGCGCTGGCTGCGGTCGCCATGAATGGAGGTTACCGGGTACCCATCGCGGTCCAAGAACTCCTCCAGCGAGTCAGCGCCCTTCTTTGTCTCCACGAACACGAGGGTCAGAGAATCGGGTGCTGAAAATTGAAACATAGAGTATTCATTAAAATCTAAATGTTTAAAGAGTGAAAGACTGTGATTAGCATTTATAAGATTCTGTAAAGACTGGAAATGACTTCAATATTAGGTTTCTATTTTATTTACAGGTGGCTGAAATTTCAAAGTCTTCCAAAATTATCTAGATATATGTTTGCATCTAATGAGTGAAATATTTAATTTTTTAAATTTCAGTTAAAAAATTTCTTCACAACCAGAAAATAATTTCATCTGAACCGAACATCTCAAACTGAATGCTGGATGAACAAAATTCTGTAATATTTAGTGTGAATCGTACCTTCGGAGGGTCGATTCAACTCGGAGGCATTCAGCATGTCCAGTAAAAAGGAGCGCTTGTCCATCTCCTCAACCCAGAAAATCTTCTGCGTGATGTTCTCGGAAGTAGAGCCGACACGACCGACAGCCAAGAAAATGTAGTTGTCCAGGAAGTCCCTGGCCAGCATCTATGCAAAGACAATAATAGAATCTCAAGATAGTGAGAATATTGAACAATATACCTGAATTTCTTTGGGGAAAGTAGCCGAGAACATGAGGGTTTGTCTCTCACCAACTCGTGGCATAGTGTCCTGCTGGACGATTCGACGGATCTGTGGCTCGAAGCCCATGTCCAACATTCGGTCAGCTTCGTCAAGGACCAAGAATTGACAGTTTTCAAGTCCAACTTTGCCTCGGTCCAGCAAGTCCACCAGACGGCCGGGGGTGGCCACCAGCAAGTGACAACCGCGTTCCAGCTCCCTCACTTGATCCAGCAAATTGGCTCCTCCATACCTATTTTAAGTTGCAATTTTCAAAGTTGTTTACAAACAGTTGATTTGAATAAAAAAAATCAACTTACACAACGCAGGGGCGGAGTCGGGAGCGGTAAGCAAACTTTTTTGCCTCGTCAAAGATCTGAGTGGCCAACTCACGGGTGGGGGCCAAAATCAGGGCCATGGGGTAGTTCTTGCGGCGCGAGTAGGAACCGCGGGGATTAGCGGGGGTGGGTTGGGGTCCCCTTTCATACATCTGGTTCAGGATGGGAACCAAGAAAGCCGCAGTCTTGCCTGAGCCTGTCTGAGCGCAGGCCATCACGTCACGGCTAGACATGATGATGGGAATTGCATATTTCTAAAAAAAAGAAGTATAAAAATCATTATATAAGAGTCCACAATCTTAAAAAATTTGCAAATTTAATGAATTATTATTAACAAGAAATTAAATTCTGCAGGTTCACGTGATGAGCTAATTCAAGGTAATTTTGAAAAAGTAGGTTTTACCACAGAAGAATTTGAAATTTGAAATTTTCATTAATAAAAGAAAAACATTTTACTCGGGAGTCAAATTTCGCACTGATTTAAGTACCTGAACAGGAGTGGGTTTCTCGTAGCGAGCCAACTGGATATTGTTGGCGATGATCTCTGTCATCTGAATCTCGTCATAGGAAGAGATGTGCTGAGGGATGTCATCGCCCGTCGCCTCCACGGGAATATCTTCGTATTTGTTGAAATTGATGCCGGTGTGGTCCTGGCCGAAGAGCTCCAGCTCAAGGCGTTCGTCACGTGGCATGAGTGAGGTGAAGTTGCCAGAGTCAGTTTGCTCCTTCCAGCGGGTATTGCCGCTCCAGTTTCCTCCACCGCCACCTCCGCGATTGCCTCCGCCGTAAGAGTCGCCACTCCAACCCGAGCGACGATCGCCTCGGTCATTCCAACGCCCTCCCCCGCCACGACCGCCCCAATCATCACCACTAAATAATTACACAAAGAAAAATTAATTTTCTCCTCATTTGTCAATTGAAGTTTATAAATATTTTAGTAAAGACTGATTAAAACTAAACAGTACTTAAATTCGTAGAGACCAAAAATGAATAAATTTTTTTAAATTAAACGAGGCTCACCGTCTCTCTCCTCCGCGGAAGCCACCTTCACCACCGTTCTGATCGTCGCGGCGACCACCACCGCGGTTGAAGCTGCTGAAGTCAGCGCCTCCTCCTAAAATGAAATTGGTAATTCACCTAAATGTTCAATTATCTTCCCTACTTCTCAATTATAAATTAAATTGGTTTTTTTTTTAATTACACTGCTGTACATATTTAAGATTGATTCTAAAAAAAAAGTACCTCGGTCGCCTCCACGCCCGTAAAATCCTCCTCCGCCGCCGCCTGCTCCTCCTCGAGCTCCTGGGGGTGGACCTGAAGGAGGCGGATAACCGTCCTGAGAGCCTCCTCGATCCCTTTCTTGTTCAAAATCTGAAAGGTTGATTACGTGAATATGGTGAAAATTGGAAAAAAAAAAATGTATTTGCAGCCTCACCTCCGCCGCTGGGTTGCGGCTTGTTTCGCAGGTGCGGAGGAACGTATCGGTTGCTACCTCCGCCGTTATTAGATCCTCCACGTGAATAAGAGGACTGCTGCTGCGACTGCAAGTCCAGCTCAGCAAACTGCAAAAACGTAAAATTGATGATCAGCATAGAATATGGGGAAACTACGATTTGCGGAGGAGGAGGCAATTCATGGAATTTCAATTAGTCATCCATTAGGGAAATTTGCGTAACTGCAGAAGTGGAACGGGCTCGATGGGCAAAGATCCCGTGTAGAAAATAAAGCCTTTCTCTGGATTTGTGAAGAAAAAAATGTGTTGCAAAGGGTTTGCAGAACGGCAACGGGACACGCGCGGAAACGGTTTCGTTCAAGGCTTTGAGAAGCGAGGGTCGGCGACCTGCAAATCCCAGCGCACGAGTCCCTGTCCCGATCGCTCTCTCGAGCCCCAACGAAGGCCCGAGGGCTGCTCAAAATCGATTCGAAATTTGCTCACCTGCTGCTCTAGACCTGTGCCATTTTGGTTGGGTACATTACTCATATTACTTTGGCTCAACGATTTGTGAATAAAAATTCAGACGAGCACGCACGAATCCACCGAACGAAGATCACAATGGATGCCTCTTTTCCTGCTGTGGCTGCGGCCACTCGTTTTCTTCCTCCACTCGCTGGCTTGTGCGCTGACGTCACACGCCGAATCCACCAATCGCATTCCTTCGAACACTCTTCCTGTGCATGCGTGCACAGGACACGATGCAAACTTCTTGATGGGAAAGGCAGGATTTGTGCATGTCAGCGCCATCTCCCGGCATGAAATTTGCGAAAAAAAAATATTGACTTCATCGAGTTCAGTGCTTGCAGTGGCACCTGTCGGGTAAATTGTAAGTTTTACGTAGGATGTACAGAAAGGAGAAAAGGTTACAAAGCAGAATGTTGTTTATTTTATGAAAAAATAATAAAAAATAGGCATAAACAAATTGCTGGAATATTAAAACTTATAGATATGTAATATTTGCATATTTTATAATCTTCAAAGACCCATATTAGAAAATTAATTTTCAATATGTTCAGCTCCTTGATATTTACCACACTTTGATGATTGTCTCGTTTTGTGTTTTGTTTACATCCGAAATCCGAAAAGAATAAATATTTTACTCCTGTTTTATCAGGGTTTTTGGGTATGTAATTCTGCAAATTGAACGGAACGAAATATATATAAATAAACAAACTTTCATTATAGTAGATTCAGCATGAGTGAGGTCCCAAAAGAGCAGGACACAATGGAGGTGGACTCGGGAGTGGACGAGGCCAACAAGAGCGTGATGGCCCTGTCCAGTGGCGCCGGCAGTATCAGTCTTTCCCTTCACCCGCTCGTGATAATGAACATTTCTGAGCACTGGACAAGAACTAGGGCCCAGGAAGGCTCGGCCCAGCAGGGTAAAAATTTTAAAAATAATCGATCAGTTTTTTTTCTAATAATTAAATGAACGTATCAGTCGTTGGTGCTGTGATCGGCAAACAGAAGGGCAGAAATATTGAGATTATGAATTCGTTTGAGCTCATGTTTGACTGGGTCGGTGAAAGCATCATCATTGATCAAGAATACTACAAGACCAAAGTGGAGCAATGTAAGATAAATTTTTCTCAATGATTAATTTTTATTAAGTAATTGTTTTTTGCAGTTAAGCAAGTGTTTAGTGACATGGACTTCTTAGGGTGGTACACGACAGGCGAGGCGCCAACAGACAAAGACCTCGAGGTGCACCGCCAATTTGTAGAGTACAACGAGAGCCCTGTTTTTCTCAAGCTGAATCCAAGTACGACCATGGGGGACTTGCCCATCACGGTGTACGAGTCAGTCATTGACCTGGTGGGAGGCGAGGCCACCATGCTGTTTGTTGACCTGCCATACACTCTGGCTACCGAGGAGGCAGAGCGCATCGGTGTTGACCATGTTGCTAGGATGACTGCCAATGAGACAGGAGAGAGCTCTCTCGGTATAAATTTTGGCTATTTCAATCATATAAATTAAATTTTTAAAATAATAACTCATTATTATTCTTCATTTGTTGCTTATTATTAAATATTAGTTTTTCATTTTCATTATTAATAATAATGACTTTGTAATAAATTTCTCAGTGGCTGAGCATCTGACAGCGCAACATTCAGCCGTCAAAATGTTGCACAGCAGGGTCAAGTTGTTGCTGCAGTACTCGAAGGCTGTGCAAAGTGGAGAGCTTCCCCTGAGACAAGACGTCTTGAGGGATGCGTACAGCCTCAGCAAGCACCTTCCTGTCATGGACTCAGAAAGATTTAGGGCTGATTTCTATAATGTGAGTTTTTTAATACTGATCTTGTTCTATTCCACATCAAAAATCTTTTCGAAAGTTTTTGCTGTTCTAGTCAGGCATTTTGTTGGAAAGAAATAACTTTAATAATTTGCTCTTTATTATTATTTTACTTTTCAATTGTAACCTATTAATTTCTCTTGAAAAATATGAGCAACAAATCAAAAGAATTTCTCTTTCAGTTTTGTATATTAATTGCTCTCATGATTTTCCAGCAATCAAGCGATGTTGGTCTGATGACATATTTGGGCACCATCACAAAAGGCTGCAATGACATCAACCAGTTTGTAAACAAATTCAACATTCTGTTCGAACGGCAAGGGATGGGCCGCAGACCTCGGGGTCTTTTCTTCTAAAGTAAAAAAATGTAAACCTTAGGAAATATAAAATTTATTGGAATTGTAATTTGTACAGCAAAAATATTTAGATTAATTTCACACTGCCACTTTTGACTAAATTCGCAACAGGCTGATATGGCAGAATGTGTTGCGAGTTCTCATCAAGGTCAACCTCCTCATCTGGCTCTTCAGGATCCTCAGAGGGCAGAATCAGTCCAGACACGGCTTTCGTGGCCTTAACAAAGACGTAACTGTTTAAGGGTGGTTGGACAGCCATCTTTGTTGGCTCAAAGGAGGCCAGAGGCCGCGGAAAGTGTCTCAGGGCAATGGTTTGCAGGGCGGTCTGCGTGTTGGCAAAGTGGTCCTTGGCAAATTGGAACTCTCCTTCGGACAGGTAGAGGTCGTCACCACTGCGGCTACTTTCGGCCTCTAGGATGCTAAATGTGAAGCGCTCTATCTTGCTTAGCCGAACTCGAAGGTAGTCGGTGATCATGTACTTGATGCGACTTAGCTCAAGGGCGTGCAGCGCCGACCTGATATCTCTTTTGTCCAGCTTGCGGACATTGTTATCCATGTACTTGATCTGTTCTATCAGACACTCGACAAAGTCTCCTTGATACGGCAGCAGCTCTGGACTGAACTTTTCATTGATCCATGCTGCCTGGAACTTGTTCAGAACACCTGAAGCAGTCTCAGGTTCGTCATCGCTCAGGCCAAGGTCCTGAAGGTCCGAATCTTGGAATGTGTTTGACGAAGAAGATGCCATCTTATAGATCTACAACAATAAAAATAAAATTAGTAAAATAATAATAACGTAGGGTCGTTGCTGTTGTCACTCTCATTTAAAAAAAAATCTAAATATTTTATGTAAATAAAAGATAAAAAAATCCAATTGAAATGTAGAAAATAAAGTTTTCTGATCAACCTGCTACTTTAATTGACTGTACGTGTGTAAAAATATTAAATTTCTCTCGACGATTACAAATTTTAGGGTAGCTGAATTTTGTCTCTGGACAGCCTGGACCCTTAACGGACACTTGAACGTTCGCCGTCCAAAGCAACCAAACGTTGTGCTTGCCGCAAGCGGAAAAAGCGGTAAAATGTGGTACCAAAACAACAACAAACCAAAAGAACACAAGTATCATAGAAAATAAGAACAAAGGCGGAGCTTCCGTATCCTCACCATGTTAAGCTGGTAAATTTTATCAAATAGAAAGTTGATGCGTGGCTCCTCCCCTTTTCGTACTATTTATCCTAAAAAACTTGCATGTTGATGTTGTCCTCAGTTCTCATTTTCTCTGGCGTTTCATCATTTCTAGCTCGTTTGTCTGAATCATTCAGACAAATTTCACTTCACAGTTGATTTCAAACAAAAATATGCACACGTTGAAAACAGGACTCTCTTTTTGATTTTGGTATATAAAATTGAGAGCAACAGAGCCATGGACAACACCGTCGAAAGTGATGCTCTGGAAGTTCCAAAGTAAGAGTTTTATTTTAGAAGTTTTTGTATTCTCTCATAAATAATGAGAAATTATGTTTTAATTTGAAAATTTAATCTTCATAATTTATTAAATGGTTGCAGAAAAAAATTGGTGTCTGATTGCGCTGTTATGGGATGCGATTACAACCGCAGCAAGGAACACCACATACCTGGAATCCAGAGACATTATTTTCCACGAAACGAGCTGCTGTAAAGATTTTTTACTTAAATAATTTGATGTTCAATTAATCTCTTCATGATTTCCAGCTGCTTGAGATGGATGTCATTTTGTCAGAATCCAATCGTCAACAGTAAAACCCCAGAGGATTTGTCGACAAAGCAATCTCACTTCATCTGTAGTCAACATTTCGACGCTCTTGATTATTACATCAAACAATCAGATGATATGGCAGAGCCAGCACTACGACTTCATAGATATAGGGCCATCCCTAGATTCAATAAGCCCAAAGCCCTTCTTACCGTTGAGCCAAAACCCCAGAGCACTGAGCCAGAAGCCCAGAGCGTTGATGGTAAACAAGATCAAGATTGACTCGCGCTTTTTTTAAGTCTCTTCAATTATATTTTATTTCAGGAGAGCTTATAAATACAATAACAACAGACAATGGTCCCTCCCAGGACATGACGGAGCAACTTGCACCTACAGAGCTGATTGAGAGGCAAGTTTTTTTTTTAGTGGAATGCAATTTTGTTCATAAATTAATTTTTTTACAAAATTTTAGCTCTAATGTGCTATTTGTTAATTCCTTAATTTTTTAGAGTGAAAAGTTGCAACGAATGCGCCGTGAATGGATGTGATTTCAACAGGAAAAAACCCTACCATAAAAATGGAATCACTTGCCATTTTTTTCCAAAGAACAAATTGATGTGAGTTAATATTTATTTTGTAAATTATTTAATCATCTTTGATATTAATTACACAGCTGCATGAAATGGATGTCCTTCTGCCGGAACACTGCTTTGCTAAGTAAAACACCAGAGGAATTGTCCATGCATCGCACCTACTTCATTTGCAGTCAACACTTTTCCAATTCTGACTCTCGTAAAGCTAACAAGCCGTCGACTGCTGGTCAAAGCCCAGTTGACATGCTGAATGATGCAGCTGATGACATTATCAGCCCGATTATGTCTCGCTTTGTTCCCATATTAAGCAAGCCTGAGGCCCCGTTCAGAGGTGAACACCAACAGAAAGGTTAGTTATTTAAAAGTGAAAGAAATTAAATAAAAATAATTAATTTTGAAACCAGCTATCATCTCTGACCCTGTAGAAAAACCCACCAATCCGGAACCGAAGCAAAAAACTGGGACTGTTGATGACATCCAGGTGCAACATGTGAGCAAAAAGAACGTCAGGGAGTACAAGAAGCTGCCGGAAGACATCAAAAAGCTCAGGCTCAAGGTGCACAACCTTCAGCGCATAAACAACAGGCTCAGGGCGGCTGCCGAAAACATAAGATTTACAAGAAAGTACTACAAAGAAATGTCTCTTCAGTACATAAAATCTGTCCTCAATCCTGTGCAATATGAATTAGTCCTGTGCATTGTTACTAATGCTTCACGGAGTGGTCGGGGTTGCAGATATACTCAGAAGATGAAAAATATCTGCTTAGGGTTGTACCAGTGTAGCCCTAAAGCATACGAAAACCTTCGAGATGTGTTTGGCTGTTTGCCTTCGTATGATACTTTGAATGAAATTCCTACGTCTGAAACTTTGGATGAAGATAAAGAAACGCCTTCCTCTGACACTTTGGATGAAGATAAAGAAATGTGAGATTACACGACTCAACTCTAAATTTTATTAATTGCAGCAATATAATATTTCTAGCCCTTCTGCGCAGATTGTTTGCCAGAGGTTTAGCCATATATTTTTTTTTTGTTTTTTGATGTTTGAATCGTGAATAATTATTTATTAAACTCTCGATTAAATTGCAGAACACCAGACATGCCTAAGGAGAAGGTCAGCTCAAAGTTTGCCAAGCTGGCAGCAACCTTAAAGAAAAGAGCTAGGAGCAAGGCTAAGGATGGTGGAGAAGATGCCTCTGCTCTCTTTGGTGCCCCCAAGAGAAAGCTGACCCATGCGGAGAGTGAGGTAGATGAGGACAACGAGGATGCACCACTGGATGACTTGCTGCCTTCAAAACGTGCCTGCACCCAACCTACTCCAAAAACCGACGGAAAGCGCCCTGTCATTAAAAAGAAGAAGTAAAAAATACTAAAAATCTGAAATCATTTATTAAAAAACTGTCTCTCAGCCCCCAGATGCGCCCTCGATCTAAAATAGACCCAAGCCTTGCCTCTTGCAGCCCCAAAAAAAGTCCTCAGGCCGTTGCAAGCAGCTGTCCAAAAAAACAAACCATCTCCACCCCCAGCAGCCAATCACTTCTGATTATGAGCCAACCTCCAGCCTCACCAAGCTCACTGCTTCTAGATACTCCCAACACGCAAGGAAAGCGCCTAGTCATTTTGAAAAGAAGGTAATAAAAATGGCAAAAATCTTCAATTGTATTTTAAAAAGCTGTCTCTCAGCCCTCAGATCCGCCCTCAATCAAAAACTGTCAGTGTCAGCTGCTCCCCAAGTCTTTCCTCTGCCAGCCCTACGACTAGTCCTCAGGCCGTTAGAAGCAGCTCCGCGTCACTGAGCCGTCCTCAATCAAAATCCATCTCCACTCCAAGCAGTCGATCACCTCTGATTGTGGGCCAACCTTTAAGTCAGCCCTTACCAAGCTCGCAGCAACAACTGGTCTTTATAAAGAAAAGGTAATTAAAATGGAGAAAATCCAAAATTATAAATTAACAAGTTGTCTCTCAGCCCCCAGATCCTCCCTACATCAAAAACTGTCAGTGTCAGCTGCGCCCCTAGCCTTTCCTCAACCAGCCCAACAACTAGTCTTCGGGCCGCACCCAGCATCTCCTCACCTCCAAGTCGACCCTCAGCCATAACAATCCAGGAGCCACCTCCACTAGTGACTATTCGTCCCCAAACCACATTTGTCAGACCCAGTCCTCTCTTGGTTCAAACCGTAGGCGGTCAGCAGCCACGGGTCATCCGTGTCCTAAGCCGGCCCGTGCCCGGACAACCCCAACAAATTCTTCAAATGCTGCAAGTCAAGGCAATCCAGCCATCTTTTGTGGTGAAGAAGTGAAAGAAAAGACAAAAAAAAACATTAATAATATGAATTTATTATTAATATTATGACTATTGAAATCACTTTCAAAATGTTGCTTTAATTAAATTTCAAATGAAAATCCTGTGAAATTTTTAATAAAAGATATTTTTGAAGGCAACTCCAATTTAACCGATTAAAAAAAAACAAAGACAATAAACTTTCATCATCGATCATATAAAATTTTCCCTCTTTGGATGCTTTTTGTAATATTTTATATTTATTAAAATTAATTTAAATGCAGACAAATATTTTAAAAGTCAAATATTATTTCAACCATTTCAGCAGTAAATCACAACACTAACCTGTCCAGAAAATAATATAATTACTAAATATTTAAACAGTTTAAACTTTATTATTTTCTTTCTTCACATATTCACAAGGGAAGAAGAGCACTTTTTGATGTACTTCCCCTTTTGGTTTCGTTGCTGGTCCATAGATGGCGCGGAGAGTACCTCGATAGTCAATGCAAGATGATCGATGATTTTCGAAAGGACGCGTGAAAAGAAGGGACTGTACGGTTCGTCGAATTCAGGTTTGGTTTCTTGCGTTTTTAACCTGCCGGTGTCCAACGCTTTCCCGGAAAAGCGTGTCCCCCCTATTCTTGAGCACCGTGCTCGCGGAATGCACTGAGTCGAGGTGCGAATTGGCCGTCTCCCGACACGAGGCTCGCCGCCTCCTTGCCGCCCTTATGTAATGTTCAAAAACGAGCAGATCCTCGCTACGGCAGACTCGCTGTGCGCGAAAGTGACGCAATATGCTAAATTATTTTTAATTATTCGCAGATTGCGGTTGCCCCTGAGCATGGCAGATGAAGAAAAAGCGAGCGAATCGGTTGAAGACATCAAAAACAACAAAATCAAGAGGAACAGGGAAAAGTGCGTGAGATTTCAATCAGTCTGGCCTTCTATGGTTTCCGTCGGCCGTTCCGTCGGGGCCGGGACTAACCGAAATAATTTTGCCGGATTTCAGGTCATTGAGTGGATCTAGCAAGGAAAAGAGGCAGAAAACGTCACCGAACGGCAATCCGGAGTTGGAAACTGAGGCGGAATTTACTCTCGAGAACTACAAGGAGGCTGACAAAAACTTTGAAATCCAGAAGAACAATAATTCCAACAAGCTTGAACTTGAATTCAACAAAGGACTTCGCATCGAAGTTAAGGACCTTCCCTCAGACATTTGGTGTGTAATTCAAAATCCAGTTGAAGAAACAAAACACTAATTTTCCGTGTACTATCAAGGTATGTGGCAAAGGTAGTGGATATTGAAGGTGCAGACGTGTTGATACACTACGTAAACTGGGCCGCGAGACACGACGAGTGGATCCCAATGGACAGCAACAGAATTCGGCCGTTGGGTGAAAACGCCCCTCCAGCCCCTCCAGTTGTTACCCCTGTCCCGAGCAGAAAAAGAGGGTCAGTTAAATAATACATTTTTTTACTGTGTTAAATTTAACCCTCAGTCAAATTAGGAGGCCAGCAGGATCAGGGGTGAAGAACAAGACGCCGTCTGTAGCGGCCGAGCCTCCCGAGATTGAGAACAAGGAGGACTGTGTCTCGTTTATTGTGGGCGAGTGCGTCAAAGCCGTCTGGACAGATTCGAGAAAGTATCCTGCCACAGTGGTCGACGTTCTTGAAAATGGTGATTTGCGTATTTTCCATTCATGCAAAGTAAAACAGGTTTTGTTCTCCCAAAGTAATATCTCTTTATTTGTCCACTTTTTATTGAATGCAGTTTAAAATTCCCGAGTTATGTACAATGCAATTAATCAACTTTGTTGTCCATAGATATGTATAAAGTGGTGTTCAGTGATGGACTCGAGAAGATAGTGAGCTGGAGCAAAATTTCCAAAAGCAAGACCTCGGACCTTTTGGTAAATTTTCTTTGTATTAATTTTAAGTAACAAAACTGATTAAATCATTTAAAACAGCCAAGTCCACCGACACTAGTGGCACTTCCTGCTGCTCTAGAACCACAGGTTGAAGATCTGGAAAGCAAAGAGAGCAGAAGGCAGCGAAAGAGAAAAATAAATGTCGCAGAACTATTCAGGAGAAAATCCAGCACTTCAAAGCCGATGACTTCTGAAAGCTCTACTCCAGTTCCTGCTAAAAGACTCAAGACTGAGGAGCCTGAAGAGCAAAAAGTATTGAATTTTATCAACATTTAATCGTTTTAAGTAACTCTTTTAACGTGAATCAGCTTCCGTCTCCAACAACAACAAATTTGCCGGTGGTGCATAAAAGAGGTCGAGGTCGGCCACCCCGAAAATCCATGGATGCTTCCGTGCCTTCAGAAGGCAAGGAAGAGCTGGAGATGGAGTTTGAGTGTCCCACAGCTGAAACACCTGAGAGTAAAAGTTTTAAAGAAATTGTGAACAAAGACATACCATCGCATCAGTTACTGCAACCAAAAAAAGTTGTTTCTCCGGAGGTTATTTTGCCAGAAGTACCCTTGGAAGTGCCAGAAGAGCAGAATGGTATTTGTGATTTTGAATTTGTCTTAAGATTTCTCTAAATGTGATGTTGTTACAGATATTATAATTGGCACTTTGAAAGTCGAAAAGGACGGAGACAACTTAAAGTGTCCAAAAGAAGGCTGTGGAAAACTCTTGAGAAAGGAGAAACTTATCATGGTGCGTATAAATATTTAATGAAGGAGAAGTAAATATTCAAAATGCAAAACTACGCCCATATTTATTTAAAAATAAATATCCTTTTTAAAATATTGTAAGAAGGACTAATTTTTATTTTTATTGCCCCTAATTCTTGCCTTCACCACTTCTCCTTGTATATATTTTACTGTTTTTTGCTTATTGAGTCATGTTGGAATAATTTTAATGAGCACTGCTATGAAATAAAACTTAAACAAGCAAAATATTCATCTTGCTCAAATGAGAATTTAGCTCTCAATTTAATTTAAATTGCAATTTGGAGTAAAGATTAAATTATTTGTTTTTCTCACAGATGCACATAAAACACTATCATCCGGAGCTCAAAGAGCAAATGGATGTGGTGCCACAGGTGCTGGACTACGCATACGCCCGCTACATTGGTGACCTCCCCTCCACGGCATCTATGATTAGAAATTTCAGCAACCCCCACACATCCAGTGCATCCTCTAACTCGAGTAATGCCCCTAAAAAGAGACCAGTCAAGTGAGTCGTTTGAATTAATTCTTTGAATATTGCTCTGACATTGTATATCTGCAGAAGTCCTGTTAAAGCGCCAATTCCTGAAGTCGTTAAAGTGGAAGAGCTACCAATGACGCCGCCACTCAGCTCGCAAACCCCCAGAATACAGCTGGGGAAACCAAGCTCAAAGTCTGCCTCTAAATCTGGACTAAAAGTCAAGTAATAATGTTTCTCCTGACATCGTTTTTGTTGTCTAAATAAGATTTTCTGCAGAACATTGTTGCCTGTAAGAAAATCCCTTCCGCCAAAAGCACCGGAAGTGAAGGAAAAGCTTGAGAAAACAGAGCCAAAAAAGTGTTTCGAAATGCCTGTTTTGAAAAAAGCCTTGATGACGCCGCCAATGAACTTCTCAACACCCTTGAAGAATGTGAACAACTGTAAAGAATTCGCGACCAAAGAAGAAAAACCTTTGGCAATTACAAAACGTAGGTTACATTTTCAATCAGCTTTGCTTTTGAAATAACTGTCTTTTGGCACCAGAGGGTTAAGAATTTTTTATTTGTTCTTCTGATGTTTATGTACTAAATTCATGTTTGGATGAGATTTATATTCAAGTACGTATTTCTCGACAAATAGAAATTTCATCCTTAGGGAAACGGTAAAACGCATTTTATTTTATATAATTAGAATCAACTGCAAAAATAATATTGTTTAAACTATTTATTAAATTTTATTGGAATGATTTAAAGCACTAATAATATCTGACTACTTTCTACAATGCTGATGCTAAAAATAACTTATTTTAATTTCTGCAGCGCCTGCTCCCCCGATCCCAAAGAAGTCTCCACGGAAATCTCCCCGAAAGGATCAACTGGTGGATGACGGCGCAATGGAGTTGATCAACTGTGTTTGTGGCTACACTGAAGAGGATGGTCTGATCATTCAGTGCGACCTGTGCTTTTGCTGGCAACACGGTCTTTGTAATTTCATTGACCGCGAGGAAGATGTGCCAGACAAGTTCATATGTCACGTGTGTCGAAATCCCCCTCGAGAGCGAAAGTCAAGGAAATACTCGCACGACCAGGACTGGCTCAAGAAGGGATCTCTGCCTAGGTATTTAATAGCAAAATGCTAAACAAGATGGATTTTAACATTTTCCTTGTAGGTTACCTGTTTTGAGGCTTAATGAAAAGCTGGAGAGAAGTTCATTGGAAAAAGCATTGAAAGAAACGCAAGACCTTGCAGCCGCCGCACTTAGTCTCAACGAAATTATGCACGCATTGAAAATCCAAATTAATATTTCACAGTGAGTTACTGAAACTTTTAGAAACTTGAGAAATTACAATTATTTAAATTTAACAGAAAAAAAGACCATCCAAAATTATACCTGTGGTCCAAGGAGTGGAAAGAGTTGGTAAACGGAGAGCCGTGCAGGTCGGGTGATCTCAAGGGCAGCCAGCTAGCAACAACAGCAGCTTCACAGAACACCTTCGTGCCCTTGGAGGTGGTGAAATTGGAACCCGACTTGGTCGAAGGGGACGTCCAGTTTGAGCCCATCCCGGGCACTTCTGGCAGCCAGGGCAATGTCGACGATGCAGACCTACATCCTGCTTTGAAATTGCCACTCAGCGCCTTGGAAATCGAGCACCTTGCCACCAACTTGGCCGAAAGCATTCCAACTGCAGGTGAGGATCATTAAAGTAGTTGTTGTTCAGACAACTTGCAAAGTTAAAATTTAGAAACAAAAATCCACAATTGGTAAATTCAACGAAAAAATTTTCCACAGAAACAACATTAGACAACACATCAGTGCTGGTCTTGAACCCTCCAGCAGCACCCGAGCCCGAGGCAGCAATCAAGCCGGAAAAGTGCCGTGTGCTTCTCTTGAAGCACATCCACTTTCTGCAGGACCAGTTGGAGGAAAGCATCAACGAGCTGGAAGAGCGGAACCTGACGCTAGAGCGCCGTGCTCCGCAGATCTACGGCAAGGAGGTTTCGGACGCCAGAGTCAAGGAGACCCTGCGGATGCTGCGCAGGGACATTGGTTCAGTGCACAAGATTGGCAACTACGCGATGAAGGACACCCCCTAGCATTCAAAGTCTGTTTTTACAGTGAAAAAACTATTTTAGCGTTCCCGGCAAACGTTAATTCATTTTAACTTGTTAATCGATCATTTTATAATGACCATTAATCATCAGAATTACTACTAGAATAAAAACAAATGAACTTAAATGAGCTTAAATTTAATGATTATGAATGAGCAGTCGTGTTTCCAAACAGTCTGAGGTTGCGTTGAATTCGATCGAGCGCCTGTCCCGTGTTGTTGTCCTCGGCCTCGCAGATGAAGTGCTGGACAGCGGAACAGTCGGCGCCCACCAAGTTGTAGCCTCGGAAGCCAGGGTCGTAGCCCAACAGCAGGCAGCGGCCATTGCCTCGGATTTCCTGTTTTTTCCCGCCACCAGGCTTCTTGTGACCGCCGTTGGCCGATACCGGACGTCCGCTGTCGGCCCAAATCCACAACAGGCCAGGGTTCAAACCTCCCGTCCAGTAACTCTTATCTATTTGACAGAAACAAATATTAGAACTATAAAATCTTTATCTTAGTTAAATGTTATTTTTTGTCTTAATGTAAACGACTCGTAAAAGTTTCTATCACCTCTGATTTTTGGGTCCGCCTTGAGGTGTGTGACAATATCTTGTGTTTCTTCCACCGACTCGAGTTCAACCAATGCGGCGCCCTGTCCCAGCGCTTTACAAGCCGCAGCCGCTGCCTTCCAGTTGCCCATGGCGCTGCCCCTTCTCTGTCCTGGCAGCGGGTCGGTGCTGAAGAAATAGCAGCCACCGGCCGCCCGTGTGAAATTCGCTGGACACGCGTCCGCCTCTTTTTTATTTTATTAAAAATAATTAATATCTTCGCTCAAACTTGATATATAAACTCACTTTCACCAGGTTGTTTGTGGGCAGCGTTGTTCTGTCCGGCCATTACATGGTAAAGGAGGTCCTCTGTGCGCCGCAGCCTCTTTTCAATAAAGTCGAGGCGGTAGGTGAGCTTTTCGATGGCGCCGAGAAGGTACAGGTCGGTTTCACTCACCTCGCCTCGGTCCCGATTCAGGTGTTGCTGGGAACCTGAGGGATTGTACATTCCTGACGGGAAGGGCGCCTTCATCACTTTGTCTACCCTCGAAGACTCTTCTTTTCAGGAAATTCAATATAAAAGATAGATTTTTGGCTTTTATGAATCGAAATTTAACTGACCTGTGGTGGTGGTCACGTTGTCTGCCGAGACGCAACCTAAGACCGAGAGGAGCAACGCAATCAACGGCCACCGCATATTACGTCCGTCTCGATCAACGCCTTGCTGAAGATTATTACGCTGCTGTCGTAAAAAGTCTTAAGGGTTTTCCCTGCTACTCTCTCTTTGTGTCATTGTGCGCGCGAGTTTAGCATCCTCCTGCAGGCCGTCGACCCACTGACCTCGTCTCAATTCATCACACTTCTTATAAGAAAGCGCCGTGCCCGCCCTGCTATTCATTTCACTTTCTTATAGATAATGGTGGGCGGAAAAATAAATAAAGCTTTGAAACTTCTTAATATTTATAATGCCTATTATTATTTTGTCTTACAAAAAAAAATTAGTAATAAACAAATATCATAAATTAAGCAATACATTTTTATACTACAGATAAAAGAGCTCAGTAAATTTATTTGGTTTTGTAAAATCACATTTCAGCACTTTTTTTTCTAATTATCAATTAATTATTTACATTTTTTTTGTGCTGTCGTGGAAATTTAAAAGTAAACCGTCAGACTGGGTTCGTTGTGGTTGGTCAAAGGAGTGACGCTCACGTCAGGGTCCAATTCAGTCTGAAATAGAAATTTTTGATAAAGAATAAAAAATAATAATTGAAAAAACGAAAATAAAATACCCTTCTTCCATTTGGCGTGGGGCTAACGGTGCTGGAGGAATTGTTCTCGTCGTCCCAGCTGAGCTTCTTCACTCGTCTCGGGATGGAGCCCTTGGGCCACGAGACCTTTGGAGGCGCCGCCGGAGCTACCTGTCGGGACATGTTGGACAGCATTCCGCCCATGCTGACCCCATTCAAACTTCCTATTTTTATATAAAATAATTAAAAATTATTTTTATTTAAAAAAAAGTACTTTTGACGGTGGCAGTATAAAGAGTGGGGATGTCGTTGGCACTGATTCTGTTGCCGGCCGTCAAAAACTGCGCGCCCCCGAACAGAGGGTTGTCCATCTTGGACGGCAGCTTGTCCCTGCTGTTGTCGTCCACCATTCGATTTCGCTTGCTATTTTTACTTTAATTATATAATATTAATAATAAAAAATATCATTTTGCGGTTTCTTACTGTTTGTATATGTAAATGAGCAGAAGAGCCACTATTAGACCTAGAAGACCCAGGAGGGACCCTAGAACGGTGGCCAAAAGGGCAGGTCTGCTATTTGGTTCCTCAATCGAGCCTCGCAGACCGACTGCTTCAGGAAAACTCACAGTGATTGGCACAGAGGCCTGAAATTTATATTAATTTTAGATATGTAGTCAATTAAAATCTCATTAAAAATCAGAAAGTGCAAAAAAATATCAGCAAAAGGCAGACTCACAATAATTTATAAGAAAAAAATTAAATAGTATTGAAAAAAGATGAGATCGCACGCACAATTCCCGCAAAACATTTTGAAAAACAGGGCGCTAAATTGGGAACAAATTAAGAAAATCCTCAAGATGTTGATTTTGTTTTAACTGGACAAGTTGCCGTGGTTGTTTAACTCTTTATATTGAATATTTTTAAACGATTTTTCCAACAAAATAACCTGTCTAGGAGGTTGTCCGCTGTCCATGGCAATAGCAACCAGATGGGCCGTGCTGGAGTTCAGAAGCTCAGGTCTGCTCACTCTAATTTCACCCTTGTCATTGATGGTGAACGCTCTAAATTTTTATCATTTATATACTTTATTTTGCTAAAAAAGGAATTTTTTACCTCGACGAGGGGCCTCTGAGTTCAAGACTGATCTTGTCCCCGAAATCCCCGTCAGCGACTTCTAACGTGCCGACGATAGCCCCACTCAGGGGCAGGTGGCGGCCGCTGATGCGGAAGTCGTATTGTGGGTACCTGAAGCGCGGGTCCCAATCGTTAACGTTCAGCACTTTTATCTCCACTCGCGCTGTCGAATTCTGAAAATTTAAAATTTTAATAAAATTAAAAAAATGGTCAAGTAAAAAGCATACCATGATTCCGTCGGTGGCGTGCACCAGGAATGTGTACTTTTGCCGCAGTTCGTAGTCGAGAGCCTTCAGAAGGGTCACGTCTCCACTTGGTGTCACCGCAAAATTTCCAACCTTCTCTCCGCGTTCCTCCACCCACATCCGTACCTTCTGCGCTCATTAAAAATTAAGAACAAAAATGAGTTTTCTTCATAAAAAATTAATATATTCAAATTTCAAAAAAATAGCGTGCAAAATGAAAATAAAATTTGAGAATTTATTTGTAAAAATAAAATTAAGAAAAAAATTAACCTTATCGCCAGGCCTGGAGGTGAGCAGAGTTAGGATGACGCTTCCGACTGGCAGGCTTTCGAGGACACTGGCCGTGTAGTCCTTTTGTAGGAAGGTCAGCATCTCGGCGCCTCTGGTGCCGACGCGGGCCACCGTCAGGGTGGCCAGCGAGTATCTGTCAGGGTTGTCGTGCTGCGAGGCCTGCCAAATTCAAATAATATGAAACTTCTATAAGGAAAAATTGTTAAATTTAAATACCCTGACAACCAAGGTGGCCGGCTGCAGAATGTCATCGTCGTTGATGTGTCTTCGCAAGGTGACCTTCCCCGTTGTTTGGTCCACTTCAAAAAATCTGTAGTCTCCAGTGACTGTTTTGAGAACAACCAATTATATGGCATGGTTAAAAAAACTTAATAAAAGCAAAAACCTCCGTTAAATGTGTAGAGGATGGTGGCGTTTATGCCCACGTCCTGGTCGAACGCCATGATATCCCTGGGGTGGATTTTCAATTCGGTCCCCTGAAGAGAAAAAGAAAAATTAAAATTATTGAAATTAGGGTTTTTTCATAAAAAATAGCAAGTTAATAATATTTTTACTAATTAAAAAATTATTTTAAATTTAATTATTTAATACTTATAAATTTGACCTGGGTAAAAAGAAAGTCTAATCTTTGAACAGTTTTGTGTCTAAAATTAAACGAAAAATTCACCTGCAAGGGTCTGTCAGGGACAATAGCCATGTATCGGTCGTCGAAGAATCGAGGATTCTGATCATCCGCGTCCACCACATTTACATAAAGAATTGTGTCTGTCACTTGCGGCGGATTTCCTTGGTCCTTTTTATTTTAACAGTAAAGTATTTAATTCAACCTATAACGTAAAATGCACAAACCTGGGCGCGAAGGGTTACTGTGAAGTTGGTCAGGGTCTCATAATCAAGCGCCTTCCTTAGCACTAAAGTCCCCTCCAAACCGTTAATGAACACAAAATAATCCTAAATTTTATATAATTTTTTAAATTTGCCAAAGCTAGAAAAATAGAAAAATACTGAATGTGGGCCAGGCAAGACGGAGTACTGGACTGTGGAGTAAGGGCCCTGCTGGTCAACGTCAATAGCCCTGATGCCCTGAAGAACGCGCGTGCCGACCACGGTCACCTTACATAAGAAAATTAAAATTTGTATAAAATAAAATTATGTGGCAAAAACCAACCTCAGAAATGTTGAGAACGTAGGGCGCGTTGAGAAACTGAGGCGCATTGTCGTTGGCGTCAGTAACCCTGATGTTCACGGGGATGACAAAACTCTGCTCAAAAAAGTTCGTTTTAAATTGTGTCTTTGAGGTTAAAGGGTTAAGGAACTCACTGGGTCTCCGGGAGCTCGTTGTCGGTCGCAGATGACGTTGACATAAACAGACGAGGGGCCGTCGATGCCCTAATAATTTTTTTTTCAAATATTATTTTTCTTTTTTCAAAAGAATTTTAACGTGGATTCAGAAACTGAGCGAGAAAACCAATGCTCGGAAAAACGAATTAAAATATCCAAATTTCAACTTTTAATTGGAAATTTTAATTATTTATAAAACATAAAAAACATAAAACATAAAAATTTCTGTTCGAGGTACACGTTGGAAAAGGCTAGCTGATGAGCTTTCAATAAGCGAAATCATGATCCTAGTCATGTTCAGGGTGTTGCCGCTTGTCTTAATTCTTTAGTTTTAAGTGGAAATATTAATTATTTTAAAACAGAAGTTTTAATCCGTTTTAAAAATAATTAAAATTTCCAATTAAAAGTTGAAATTTGGACATTTTAATTCGTTTTTCCGAGCATTGGTTTTCTCGCTCAGTTTCTGAATCCACGTTAAAATTCTTTTGAAAATTTAATACAGAAACTGAAATACACTTAACAACGCAAACACGACACAACTCTACACTAAAATTTACAAAAAACACACTTTCACACTAACAAATTAACAACATTATTTTTCTTATACTAAAAAAATTAGGCGTGTAAAAGGAAAAAAAATTGCAAATAGTTTTGCATTAATTTCTTCAGTCGCAAAAAATAACGAACGCGTTTTAATAATTAAAATTAGTGAAAAGCGCATAAGCAAAAATGAATTAATCAATATGAATTATCAATGGAAAAATCGAGAAAAATAATTCGGTATGACGAATGAGTTTCAGTGAATCAAACCTCCTTATCCAGTTTCCTGGTGAGCGTGAGGTTGCCGGTGCCAGGTGCAATTTGCACGGGTGAGTCAGTCTCTCGGAGGCGCAGTGAAATGTCACCGCGTTCTCCAGGGTCACCGTGCACCCTGACTGAGCCTGAAATTCGGCATGAATTTTGGAATAAAAAGAGAAATTGAAAAACACTGACCGATGACGGAGCCGACGGGCGCGTCCTCGGCGACAAAGAAACTCTCGGCCGAGCCGCCTGTCTGCAGGTAGCACCTGTTGTCCAATCCTGTGAACAACGAGAGCGAAACCGTCAGTATATAACGATTCGTCGAGCCACTCGAGTGACAAGCGTGAAATTTTTAATTGGTGCAAAAAGAAAATTTGTGACGGTGAACGTTTTTTATCAAAATTAAAGCTACAAAATAATTCCTTTTTAATAAAGATGATAGGATTTTTACGCGAATAAAACAATCAAATACTTTCAGGAACATGTTGCATAATTCTGAATTTAATTACACGGGAATATAATAAAAATTTGGGAAATTAAAAAAAAATCAATTAATAAACAAAAAATTATAATGTAAAACTCGATTCTTTATTATTATCATTTGAATCAAGAATCGAAAGTATTGGAATTCTTTAAATTTTATTTTACAGCTTTGCTATCCTCAGCGCTGATGCAAATTGCTCCTTTTTAGTTCACGGCCGAGTAGCATCACAAAACGAAATGACGAAAGACACGCCGCTCTTTGTCTTTAAAAAGTGCAGTTACCTCTCAACAATTTCTGAAATCACTGTTGCAAAATGGTAACCGTTTTAATATTTTGTCATCCCAAAATTTTTGTTGCCCAAAATTAAGAGCTGACCAAATTCTACATTTTATTATTAATTTTTGTCTGCAAAATTATATTTTACAATTTAAATTTAATAAAATCCACTTTTCACGACACCTCATTCCTGGACCAAAATAAAATTTAACTTTTATTTAATCTTTAAAAATCGAATTAATAAGAAATATATTTCTGGTGAGAGCGCAGTAGTGCGTTTTACGGCAGGTGCGAACCACACTTCTCGATTCGGTGCACTTTCTGCAAATAATTTTGTTACGAAAGAAATTTATCAATTTTCTCCCGTGGCCGAGTTGATTACAAAGAAAGAATCTCTCGTGAGATAAAAAAAAACAGTCTGTTACGGAAGTAAATGTGTCTCGTTGGTTACGTCAGCTCGGCGCGGAAGGTTTCGAAAAAGGGAAGCAAAAGGAGGGCGTCTATATCAAAGTTGGCTCTCCTCTGTATAAAACTACAAAGCATGATTCCTGTTCGGCTCGTCGCGCGCCACGCCGCGATACCCAGCAAGAAGCAAATCACATTTTACATTCTCGCGGCCGACTTTCAGGAAATGCACCGGAACAGTACACCTGCCTCGAAAAAAGCAAAAGCAAGGGTTGAACGTACCCGTCGATTAAAGTTCTCCAAGCGAACTCTTTTATTTATAAAAATTTGTCTCCGTTCGTGATTAACGTAAATAATAAGACTGCAATTTTCCTCATTTCATCAAAGAAACAAAAAGTAAAGAGATGGCACCGATTGCTGGCGTTCTCAAGGCAAGCGACGTTCCCACAATTAAAGCTAATTCCTGCAGCGAGAGTGAATCCGCCGACATTGGCCTATTTTTTTTTCTTTTCATTAAACCGTGGCCTGCTGCAGATTAAAAAATTAGCCGCTTTATTGGAAATCCACGACTTTTTTAGTTCACCGAAGAAAGCGAAAAATCGATCAAAATTTTGCACAAGCACAAATAATTTACTTTTCTGAATGAAAAAATTTTAGTATAGAGGTGTGATCATGAAAATTTAAATTTTTTTCTCACAATGAGAAAAAGAAGTTAATTATTTAAATTGCAAAAGTCTCATTTTTTTTAAATTGGCAAGCCTAAAAAAGCGTATAGCAATAAAAATTTTATTGCGGCCGGCAGAATAAGGAGCAAATAGTGCGGAAAAACTGAAATGCATTAACTGTTGTTAAGAATTAAGAAATGAAGAGTGGAACGCACAAAAGCGTTCAATAAAAGTGCCGATTAGCAGAAGCAATTAATTGATTTGCGCCACAAAAAATTTTGAGAAATCCCTTTTTTATAATAAAAAAAATTTATACAATTATACAAATGGTGTTAAAGCTCAGGACTTGAAGAGAAAGAAACTTTGCGTTGGCATATTCTGGTTGTTGGTGTAAAAACGCGTGCTGCATGACCGTCTCGCCATCGGGCTGTGATCCGTGCACGCATTCAAGTCTCTTTCTTCTCCCTTCGCAGATCCCGAAGCTCCTTTTTTCGTAACCGATTCCTTTGTCTTTCGTTCCTCTCGTTCATTATGCATGCGCCCGACCAAATTTCGGATGCTCACATTTTGTAAATTGATACCGAAATCGCCAAAGACAAAAGCTATTCTTCTCCCCAATTGAAGGTTAACAGATGAAGTCATTCAGAACCGGCGTTGCAAAAATAAAATGAGTAATAAATTTTTTAATAAATACAGAGGTTGAAATTCAATTTTGATTTTTAAAGTAAAATAAATATGGAGATCTTGCAAATGGTCACTCTTTTAATTTGCGCTTTTGCCAAATCAATCAAGTAAAAATTTAAATTATAAGAGTATAAAATTTCAATGTTTTCATTTTGTGAAGTAAAAACAGAGAAAATTTCAAATCTATAATTTTTAGTTCTAAAAATACGTGAATTAAAATTAATTCTTATATCAAATATGATTTTTCAAAGTGTTTTTTTCTTTTCAAACTTGTTTCCGAACAATTTCAAATCTTGACTGAGTCCAAACTTGTGTGACTTTTTTTTAACAAATTAAAATTTTAACAGTTTTTTTTTCGGGAGATGCTATCATGTTGGTTACTGTATTCTTTTGTAAAATTGACACTTATATTTAATTTGCAAAAAATGGAATTAAAAGAAAAAAATAATCTTGGAATCCGAACAAAAGGTTGCACTCATAACACTTTTCTAATTCAGACCACCTTCAGAGGACATAATAAAAAGGGCCGCGCTATACATTTTTTGGCTCCGAGTCTTTGTTCCACCAAAGTAATTTGAGAAAGTGAAGTGGAAAGAACAAAACCCGTGATGACTTGCAAACCTGCTGCTGCAAATAATTGCTGCCTTCAGCGGCGGATGGTAATCAAGAAGATTGTCCCAAAAATACCGTAAGCTAAAAGAGCGAGAGAATGTCAACCTGCAATTTGAAACGGAGCTTTTTGCTGGCGGACCAAATCGATTTTGTAGAGATTTATAAATAAGCTAAAAATAATTATAATCAAAAGTAATGAATTTCTAACTTATTAATTTGAAACGAAATTCAGAATTTATAAAACACATCCAAGCAATTGATATGATGGACAAGAATATAAAAAATGTGAGCTTTTAAAATTTTAATTTCTTTTGGGCCAAATTATTAAAACAATTCCTGATGAGTGATGACCAATTAATTAAAAACAACTGAAGAAAAAATGTTTAATCCAGTGATTTTTTTTAACAAAAGTAGTAAAAGACAATTTTTATATTTTTCACGCAATATAATTTGGTTTTTAATCAATTTTGATCTCATTTTCTGTAAAAAAAAATTGGAGAAGGTAGAGCCCTAGTTTCTTTTTTACTGCAGAAATTCCAGTCACCGCAGTTCTCAAATTACCCTCGCTCGTCTGTGAGCGTAATGAATTTATATGCACAATCGCAATTGTTTCCACAAAGCTTTTTTGTCCACCTGACCAATATAAAGTTTTTGCTCCGCGCCTGTGTGAAATTCGCGGCGCGAAACTGTGATCGATCAATTGACACTGTTTCTCTGGTCGAAATTGATCTACGGAGAGAATATCAAATTTGGCTCCTTTAATATTTTGCATAGAGCATTGCACTGCAGGCATTTACGCCACATAATTACTGAAGCACGCAAAAACAACTTTCTCGCAGCAGACGCTTCTTTGAACCAATTTTCTGGCACAAAAAGGCAGACGCAAAATTAAAAAAGAAATAATAATAATAATAAGTTAGTGTTTTGCTTTCATGCAGAAGAAATCTAAATTAATTGCAATTAATCTAAAAAATGAGAATTTTGTTCATAATTTTAGATAAAAAATTTAAATAAAATAATTTTATCACAAAAAAGAACCTCTAAAACGTAAAATATAAATTTAAATTACTAAAACTAATGTTATTGCTGTTTAAAGTATAAAATTTTTCAAAGAGTTTTAGCATATTTGTGTTTTTTCGTTTTTTTTTTTATTCGTTTTTATTTATTTGAAGTCAATGACTTTTGGCGTGGCATGTGAAAATTGCCGGTTGGTATAAATCGTGTTCAGAAAGAATTACCAAAACCAATAATAAACAAATGCCAAAGGTTTTGTGAGATTTTCCCAGCAGGGTGTCTCGGCGATTTTTACAGGGGCGACCAAGCGGAATGAAAATTATTGTGCGCCCGAAACTGCGGTTTTCCGAATTCAACTGACAGTTACGTCGTGAAAATCCAGATCTCGTTGCAAAACAAGAGTCAGGTGCGCACACCTGCCCTGAGTATTGCACTCGTTCGGTGAGAAACAATCGAAGGGATATCGCGGTGGTAAAGGGGCGATTGGCGCAAGGGGCCGCGGCTCGGGTTACCTTGCGAGTCGGCCAGGTGAACTAGAACGTGCAGCAGCAGATACCACAGCAGCGAAATGCTCTGCATTTTTCTCTTCCGACACGCGCTCTCTCACGTCATAATGTAAAGCAGCGCCTGCAAAAATAATTAAAAGTCACATTTTACATTTTATATCAATTTGAGATGGAAGAGTTGAAAGAGAAATGCAGGAAAGGGCGATGAAAGTCTGTTTTTCGAATAGGGACAAGAAGGGTTCACTACAGTGGGTGTCATTTTTTATTTTTTAAGAGGTTTTTACGTGGATTTACTGAAACTGTGCGAGAAACACTTGGCTTTAAAGAATTGAATATACAAACCAAAATTTTGACTTTAATTGAGAAATTAATTTTTAAAAGCCACAAAAAAATCAAAATTTCAATTAAAACTCGGAAAATTAGGATAAACAGAGCAACATAACTGGATGAGCCCTGGAATTGGGCGAAATCGCGATCCAGACTAGTTTATGTTGCTCTGTTTACCCTAATTTTCCGAATTTTAATTGAAATTTTGATTTTTTTGTGACTCTAAAATATTAATTTTTGAGACATTTTAAAAATTAATTTCTCAATTAAAAGTCAAAATTTTGGTTTGTATATTCCATTCTTTAAAGCCAAGTGTTTCTCGCACAGTTTCAGTAAATCCACGTAAAAACCTCTTAAAAAATTAACCCCTGAAACTGCTTTACACTAAAGCTGAAACACAAACAAAACACTACTTTACACTAATTAAACTAATTTGAACAGAAAAACACACGCACACTAACAATTATCTGAGAGTCATTTTTTATGTTGGCAGAAATCTCAATTCTTTCAAACTTTATTTCTTTAACACAATAAAAAGATAATTTTTTGGCAAATAAAAAATTTCTTAATTCAAAGCTATTTTTGTATCTATTGCATTTTTTCAAGCAGTGTCAGTAAAAACCTGTCAAGATATTAAATCCAAATTTCTTTTCATCAACAAGAATATATAAGATAAAACCCTAATAATTTACAATCCTGAAAAAAAATAAAAATTAAAAAAAAAACCCATACAAGCAATAAATTGAGTAAGAATCTTATAGTTCTTGTTTTAATATCGAATATTATTGTCCTTTTTACTCACATTCCTAATAAGAATCTTAAATGTATTTCTTTTTATAATATTGTTATTATTATTACTTTTTACTTTTTATTGACTTATGAGACCTTATTTATCCTTTTTGCTCATATTTCCATTAATATTAAGTTGCCTGTTTAGCACTGACTTGAAAATATAGAGTAAATTTAAAAATAACATGGTAATAAATAACCAAATTTGCATTCAAGTTATTTTTCTTTAATTTGACAAAAGCTTTGCAATGACTTTATTGTGCTTGTTGAATAAAAAAATTTATGTGGACATAAAAATATCCTCGAGTGCCAATTTTTGTTACAAAATTTTTTACTGAAAGGGAAAAGGGATTGATGAAATTCAGAAATCAAGATAAACAAAAAGGTATTAAAAAAAGCACTTTATGATGACCAGAGCCCTGGAGCCAGTTTAAAAAATAATTAGAGGAAAATAAAAATAAATAATTATAAGGCACTAAGAATTTGCTGAACAAATCGAGTTTACATTTCTATTCAGCTCATTTATCAATCGTTTTATGCATAATTAAATTGTTAAAACTTACAATTTAGCATTTTTGGAAATAATATAAAAATAATTATCATGGGATTAATTACCGATGAATCACGTCAGAATTAAGTGGCGGAAATAAGTTAAAAAGAGATGAGCTGTCCTCAATTATTTTATTTCTGAAAATATGATATTATTATATCAAAAATCCTCGTCATTTTAATTAAATGCTTTCCAGCCAAGGGCAAAAAAATTGTATAATTATCTATCAATTTTTGAACCATTTTGACTTCTTGTTAATTGTGTTTGCACTTTGGTTCCGAAATTACAACGCAAATGAGTCGAGTGCATGTTTTCTGTCTGCTCCCCCTCAACGTTCTAATATTCTAATGTCCACTGATGTCTAATATCTCTCCCCCTCAGCCAAGCATGAAATTTGAATGAGCAAACAGGGTTCCCTTTTTTTATTACAAATGTGCAAACACCGCGCAATATTGGACTGGCGGAAATAATTATTATTGCAACTCTTTATACTATTTTTACAGCCAGTTTTCTCACTCGATTTGATTCCGCGCGGCGTTTCAGGAATAAAACTTTTCACAGATTGAGTAACTCATCCAAATTAAAAAAATATAATAGATGCTTGGGAAAATTGTCACTGTGGGATTAAAGATGAGACACAATTATGAAGAAAGTGACACTTGTAAAAAAAGATGGCCCGGCCAGATTAAACTGAAGTTCCTTTCATTTTAATTGCGCCGCTCATTTTGCATTCAACAAAATATAATTACAAGCACACACTTTCCATTTTAATAATTTAAGGTCGTAATTGTGGCAAAGAAATGAAAATTTGTTCCAAAAATATAATAAAATGGAGAGAAGCAACAGAATATGAATTTACGCATTTTCACCGTGATTCACAGTTTAATTGAGCTGCATTTTGTGTCCCTCCCCCGCTAACCCTGCATGTAATTGAGGGGAGACCCTCTCACGCAACATTATTGTCTTCCCTCTGCAGGAGTAATTTTATTGAAGATGAAACAGATAACTTTGACAAAAAAAAGTAATGGAAAAAATTCATGCCAAATATTCAATAAAATTAGTGACGTGAATTTAATTTTGAGCTGATATTGCAATTATTCAAGGCATAAATTTTATAAATTTTAATATTTAAAATTGAAAATAATATATTCGTCAAATAATTTAGATTATTAAAAAATTACCTTTTCGGCTTCGAGTTTAATTCGCAAGTTGATTTGCATGCAAATTGGCCGCGTTGACATAAATTCACAGTAGTGTCCACTCGAGATCAAGCACGAAAACACACTGGGAAACGCACGCGAAGAAACAAGAGCGGCGCCGCGGCGAACGCGCGCGGGAGGGGTGGCGCGGCCAAGCGTGGAAACGGAAGGGAAAACGGGGGCCTCGGCGAGCACCTCCGAGCCAGCCATGGGGAACACCAGCAGCAGCAGCACCTGCTTATGTCTTCTCGGGGCTGGCAGTTTTTTATTTTTATTTTAGCACTTTGAAAAAAGGGCAAAATCGAGTGAAATAAAAAGTAATCAACAGTATTTGATACATAATGTTTATTCATTAAAATTTATTTTCTTCATGGGGATTTTAATTTTTTTTTTCAGTTAGAGAAAACACTCGTTTCTTACAATTAAGCTGGATACAAATATATCAGTGCGTCTAATAAAAAAACGTATTTATATCTAGAAGATTTTTGATAGGTTGAATATTAATTTTATAATAAATCTAGTTTAAAAATGAAAATGAAGAGATCGGGATTTTTCTTCGTTGTGAAATTAATTTTATTAAAAATCAAAATAGCTTTTTTGAATAAATAAATTTTACAGTTTGACAAAAAATCCCAATCTCTTCATATGCATGATGATAATCTCTTTGAGTGTCAGCTTCTTCATTCAAAGTTTAATAAATTATTTCAAGATTTTCAAAATCAGCCCCTCTTAAAAGGGAGCGTTTTTTTTCCTTTAATTTATTAATTTTTTATTCGTAAAAACTATAAACTTAATGAAATGTATGTTCTCCTCTCCAAGGCTATGAACTCTCATATATCTGCAGTGTCAAAAATTTCTCCAAAAAACTGTCACCGCCGCCGCCTCTTCATTTATTTTGTAAAAAAATTTATGAAATTTATGAAGATAAAGTAGTGAACACACGGAATTCATTTATTCTCCATTCCCACACTTTTTGAGATAGAATTAAAAAATGGAATTCTAGTGATTTAATATTTTATTTATTTTCTTTATATTAAAAATTTTACTTCTTTTCCAAAATGAAAAATATGTAAAAACCATTTCGGTCACGGTCTGCGAGTTCATTGAGCAAGAAAAACACACAAAAAATCAGCAAAATTGAAAAAAAAAAAACACATTATAAAACATAAAAAATTAAATCTTAAAACTAACAGATTCAAGTACCAACCTATTTCAAAACTGGTGGAGCTATTTTTTTTTTTTGAATAAAAAAAAACAATTTTTTTTTTTGCAATCAGGAAAAGCCCGATCTCTTTCTTTCCAAGAATTTTTAAAATAATATAGTACAATATTTATTTTTTAATTTGTTCAGAATATTTCATATACCATTTTTTTATTAAAAAAATATTCTATTGTTAAAATTTGTGTGATTATTTATATCAAAACAGAAACAGTTTCTCATACCAGACTATTTGCTACCATCAAAATCCCATTCCTGAACGTTTTTAGATTTTTATTCTGGCAAGTTGGAGTCATGATGCGTCAGTTTTAAATATTACATTCCGGCCAGTTTGAAAAAGCAGTGAGTTGAGTTTTGAGTTTTGACCTGTGGTTTTGGACTTTTGGTGCAATCAATTGAAGTTACCTTCATATCGCGCCAAGCATGTTAAATTCTTATTTTTGAAATTCCCGCTAAATTTATGTCATACATTGTACAATTATTTGTCTAATTTCCATTGGGTGGAGAATGAATAAATAAACGTCCTTTTCAAATTAAAAATTTATTCCAATGATGTAAAATTAAATATTAAACATAAAATACACATAACTGGATCGTCTTTGACAGTTACAAGTCCTCTTGGTGCTTTTATTGCGAATTTTTTAAAATTTCTTAGGTTGGCACCACTGTCGTAGGGAGGGAAACAAGAAAAGAAGACAAATCTATGGAGGTTTCTGTTTTCGATCATAGAATTGCGATTTACTTTGCTCAATTTCTCTCTACCGTGCGTAGTGAAGCGTGAAAATGGAGGACGGAGAGATCATCGAGGAAGAGGTAAAGTAAATTTGCATCCGAAAATCAAATCACCAGCATCTGTAGCGATCTAAATCGAAAAAATTCAAAGTCGCAAAAGCACTGCAATGTCAACAATTTTCATCATGTATTTTCGCAGGTCGACCTCGACTTCGGCTACGTGCCTCTTCAGCGTCCCGCAGAGCTGATCGACCCTGGTCCGAGAGCGGCGGTGCAGCCGCAGGACGAGAGCGAGCCCGAGTCGAGTTCCGAGGAGAGCGACTCGGACGCCGACAGCGACAACCAGCACCGCCAGCCGAAGAAGCGCAAAGTGAAGCCGGTCAAGCCGCGGCCTCCGCCGCAGGCCACGGTCAAAACCAAGAAGTACGACATCTGGTGCTCGGGTCTGCAGGAGGAGGTGCTGACCAGAGGACTGAACAGCTGTGATGTGGCCCAGCGGCCCGGCAAGGACAGAAGCGTCGAGTCGTACGACTACCTGTCCCACAGGGTCGGTCGCTCCGCCAGCCCTGAGGAGGAGTTGGCCGAGGAAGTGCCCAGGAGGAGAAGTCCCAAGTTTCCCTTTAGCAATAAGAGGAGCTACGCCGACAGCAAAGTTGGCGGCGTCAAGAGTAGGCTAGGTTGGCACCCAAAGCAGGGCCCTCCGATGGACAGGAGGGGCACCAAGAGGGTCTTGGAAGACCTGCAGGTGACTCAGGAGAGCACCGATGAGGATTTTGCCAGGGATCTCACTGAAAAGCTGCACGAGGAGAAAGGAGAGCTCATTTGTAAGTCATTAGAATATTTTATAATGTTTTTGGCAAGTCAAGAAAAATCACTCTGAATTAATTGAGACAAAATAAGATTTTTCAAACAAAATTTAAATTAAAATTAAATTAAGTAATTGATATTTTTCCAAAGAAAGGTCAGAAAAATCAATTGTCTAAATTTCCTTCAAGCCAAATTAAGATCATTTTTCACAAAGACCAAAGGCAATCTGATGTAATTTCTAGTCAATAAGTTAAGCATCAGGTTTCAGATTTGATATAATTATAAATTGAAATTGAAGAAATCTGAACTATGTGAAAAATTAATGTTCATTTTTGAATTATGTAATTCATTGTTATTAAAATTCATTTTTATGAACTAATTTTGCTTTATTAATTTCAGTGAAAATTGTACAAGTGCTTGGAAAGGAGAAGTGTGCTCAAGTTTACAAACTGACCAAGAGTGTGGAGGAAAATGGAGGAATGCTGATCATGGTACTTAAGCAACAATAAAATAAATTTGTGAAAAATACGAACAAATTCTTTCAGAACCAAACTCGTCGTCGTACCAGTGGCGGAGTTTTTCTCTTCCACGTCAGGAACACGTGTGACTCGGAGGATTGTCTCCAGATTTTTGACGAAAATCGCAAAGAGCACGAAAAGGTGAAGCGGCTGCACAGAGCACAGAAGAGGAGAGAAGAGAAACTCGCCCTCCAGGCCCAAGAATCATCAGCCACTGTTCCTATGGCCATTACTGTCACAAAAGGTGAGATTTAAAAGGTTGAAATATTCAAACAGAAAATATGAAATCAATCAAAGTAAAATTTATCAATAATAATTAATTAAATTCAATTCCAGCTGCAGAAATTTAAATAATTCTTCTTGTTGGTGCAAAACTTGATTAGTGTAGTATTCTTTCTTTTGCAATCGTTAATACTTTTGAGAAATCTTTTAGAGAGTAAATAATATGAGCGAATTATAAAATCAACTAAAATTGTACATTTTACATCTTGATACAAATATTACATTTTATTGAAGAAGTTGACACTCGAGGAGATGATCATGGAAATGAAGATTCGGGCTTTTCCTTGTTGCAAAAAAATGTTTTTTATTCAAAAACAAACGGCTCTAAACGGTTCAAAACAATTTTTTGCAACGAGGAAAAGCCCGAATCTTCATTTCCATATTACATTTTACTTTGGATTTCAAGAAAAAAGAGGAAAAGGTCTAATTTTTGTTTATCTCTATTTTCAGTTGATGGCGCGGAAGTTGAAGATGGTGAGTTGGAGGAGGGAGAGCTGGACATGAAGACTGAACCCACAAGTGGCGAGGAGGAGGACCCGAGGGCCAACGTGCGCAACCCGCCTCCGTCGCCCGTGACCGACTGCCGTGCCGACAGCAGTCCCGAGGCTGCTCGTGCCAACAGCCCCGAAACAGCCATTCCTCCCAAGTCAAACAACAATGTGCCTGAACGTGTTCTCACTTTGTACGAAGACGATTTGCTCGATGTGCACGTGAACTACGAGGAAATGGACGATATGGAGACCTTCTGATTTTCTAAAAATGCTTAACGAATTTACCGTACCACGAAATATGTATATGATTGTGCTAAAGTGGTAAGATCATGGCCAGCTGAAAACAAGTCGAGATTAAGAAAGAAAAATGTTTCAAAAATTGATTTTTGTGTTCGTCTGCTTAGAAACAGACAATAATGATTCGGATTTGAATCCGGAAATTTCTTATTAACAGCTTTTGTTTTAATGAATCTATGATTGAAAATGATCCTCACCGATTTGTTGAGCAACTTGGAAAATAAATAAAAATTGAAAAATTCATCATCTTCTACTTAATATTATAAAACACCATTAATTTAAGAAATACTGACTTATAAATTTCATAAATTTTTAGCAGCTTATGAAATGTCCCTGCTATTAATTGAATTTGATTTGCTTAATTCTTAATATTTCCAGAACTTATTTTCAAACTGCAGGTTTTGAAGTGATTCATAAATTTTTTCCCGCATGGTTGGGTAATTAAATAAGGCGGATTCATCGTTGCCCATTATTAAATCTACAATAAAAGATTTTACACTTAATAAAGATTCATAACTTGAGCATCTGAACTTTATTAATTAATAAATCTAATTTAACACTGATATTCCTTCTTATTGCTATTGCAGTGCTTGACTATGATTAGCAATTAAAATAAAGCATTTCAAAAATTTGTCCAATTGAAATCACAAAACTTTGGAGTTGCTACAAGAAAATTGAAATTTGCAGCGTACCAAAAACAAATCACAAAAATTTAGCTTAAAATCCGCTAAAATTGTATATATTTTATGCGTAGTAAAATCACATGAGATCTAATCATGTTCCTTAATTACAGCAATGAATGTTGCACAACTTACAAAGTAAGCTGGAATAAAACTTGAATAACTGTGAGAAACATTCTCTTCACTTACATCTTACATCGTAGACTATGAACTATTAAGTGAAAAACTTTTAACTCCAGCTTGAGGAAATTGCAACAATAATAATACGTCTCGTGAAACTACAATTATGTCTTAATATTTTGTCCATTATGGAATTTGTAAGCACTTAAAATTAGCATATTAAACATATTTCATGAACATTCTCAAAGAACAAATATATTGGTTAGTGTCCCTCGTTGACGGCGTGATATTCTTCTTCGTAGTCACTTTCGTCCGAGGGATTTGTCAAATCCTCTTCAGCTGTGCGCACACCACCGAGGCCAGCAATTCCACCAACGACCCTAGGAGCAACAATAACAGTGAGAAGAGTCCATTTTGATTTTGATTATGTTAATTATTCACATCTTAAAAGGCATAGTTAATTTTTTGCGGCAAAGTCCAATATTATTAAAAAAAATCCACTCGATTAATGAAAACGTCTCTTTTCTCAGATTGACTTACATTTCTGACGGGATCTTATAATTACTGAACATTGGGAACACTGAGTGGACGAGATCTGTGACAAAAAATACAACAAAGGAACACAATTACAATTCCGGCAAGCTGTGAAAAAAACCAAGGGAAAAAATGCCAATTCTCAAAAAGTGCAAAAAATCATATATTTTAATTCTGATTAAAAAAAATAATAATAATAAATAAATAAAAATATATGAAAATTTTTAAACACCTATGGGGTTGCTCATTTGCAAATGACTGGGGGGAGCTGCAGGCCAAAACCAGCTTAAGTTTCCATCCGTCGTCAAACAAAGTTCCGAGAGCCTCACACAGGTTGCGCCCCATTTCATGAAGGTGAGCCGTGCCCAGGTGATATCCCTGTAAATTAATTTAAAAATTTTAATTTCATTTATCCATTTTAAAATATTAAATTAATATTTAAATTTGTTATTTTGTTACAAGACGAGTCAATTTCTGAGGAAATTAACGGCTTGTGCTTATTTTAGATTCTACTAATTTTTTATTATAATTTTTAGAAACCTGATAAGGGCCCTGGTCGCATCCGCAGTAGCTGCTCTCCAGGGTGTAGCTCCTGGTGATGCCGAGCTGCCTCCACAGGGCGACCCTGGCCGTCGACTCCCTGGCGCGCTCGACCCTGAAGTTGCAGTGATTGAGGGCAAAGGCCGGCGCCGTCTGCTGCAGAATGTGTGGCAGCAGCTAAAATTTAATATCGGCATTAAAATTTCTGGTCAGGTGTGCGGCTGGCAAATTAAAATTCGCACCAGAAATTCGGTGGGGTCTTCTGGCACGGTGCGGTCGGCGGCATTCCAACTGCCCGCGTGCGAGCAGCCGTAGAAGAAGACGTTTTTGCGTCTGGAGTGGCCGTGCAGGTCGCAGTAGAAGTACGGAATGCGCTGCAGCACTCGGCAGCAATACTCAATTAGACCCTGAAACACAATTGACACGGTTTATATTATGTAACCCTGATTTGTGGTTCAAATTCTTGTAAACCGGCGTCTTCGACAGATATTCTATTTTTAATTGAAGCATTTTTTAAAATTTTTTTCACTTGCAACACCGTTTTATTGCTAGTTTTTTAATATTTTTTTATATTTACAAGTAGTTTTAAAAGTAAAATTTTAAAATATAATTATATAAATATGCAAAGTTTTCCTCTCGTTGTAAAAATTGTTTTTATTCAAAAGCAAAACGTCTCTACCAGTTTCGGTCACATTCCTGCTTCATGAGCAAGAAAAATAAGCAAAATTGAAAAACACCACATTTTAAAAAAGAAATAAATAAAAATCTTAAAACTAACAAATTCAAGTACTTTTGCAAGGGAAAACAAAATACATTTCACTAATTTTTGTAGTTGTTTTTCCAGTTATTTTTTTTTTTTTAATTTGCTGTTTTTCAGTAAGAGAAAAAAAACACCCAGACATTTTTATTTTTTCATAATTTTGTAATTCGAATATTTACAAATATTGTGCAGAAATCGCCAAACTCAAATTTCAAAGTAACTACTTGAATGAAAAATTCAAAGCATTTCTTATACCTTAGCGTTGAAAATGACAGGATGCAAGGTCGGATCCGGTCTACTCCACCTGCGATTGAGGTCCTCGTCAGTCAGGCCGCATCGATGGCTGAAACGAAAATTGAAAATTCCAATTAAATTTTGTAATTCTGAAATTGTCCCGCCTTTTATTCACGTCAAATAAATTAAACTCCTATTTATTTATTATGCATTAAAAAAGCAAATAGAGTAGAGAAAAAAATCAGAGCGCGAAGAAAATGTATGCAAATATGCTCGCATTGGTGCAAAGAACTCTAAATGAGCGGCAATAAATCGGTCCTCGACCTTTGCATGTGCGGCTCCGTCATTTGCGAGGCGCAAAAAATATTTCCAAAGAGAATAAAATGAACGAATTTTAATGCGCAGTCATCAATTCGCTTCGTTAAATCTCTGGGGCGAGTGCTAAAATTTTATTTCAATAAAAATCTTCGTCTTTGATATAAATTAATCTTAAGTATGGCATTAAATTTGAGCACCAGAAAGTCCTGAATTATTATAAAAAAAAAAAAAATACAAAATAAATAAAATAAACCGTACGTTTTTTTCTTTTCAATAATTTCAATTATAAATGGCAAATCTATGTTAGTAAATTGATCGTTCTGACTTTGTTTGCGGAAAAATAAATGAATTGACTTGAATAAAATCAATTTTTCCCATTTTTCCGGTACTTTTATTTATTAATAATGTTTAAAAATCAAACAAAAATTTCCCAAATTTATACAAGTAAATTTTAACTCTCTCTAATGATTGCATATAATTCTAGAAAAATGGGAAAAGGAGAGAATTTGAAGCACGTTGAAAGGAGATTTGTGCGCCGAGTGTTGGGACGGGAGGAAGTGGCGCGCGATAAGGAGCCGCGACAGGCGTGAATACTAATGAACGAACGTTTGCTTCCCGCTGCTCGGCGTAATTAAATTCGCACGCGCCCTCGTGTCGCGAACCTGACCATTCAAGGACAAATGACCTGCCGGGGCTTTCTTCCTGTTCGGCGCAGGAAGTGTGGGCACTTTTCGTCTTGCAGCGCTGATGAAAGCAGCAGACAAAAAAAAGCCGATTGTTTAATTAGCGCCGTGCGTACGCGCGATGAATGAACCGCGAGGAAGTGCATCCGCTTTTTCGGCCACTTTACGTTATTTGCAATCGCATTTTTTTCCTCGCTGAAAGGGGAAGTAAGAGGATGTTGTGAGGAAAGGGGGGACGACGAGAGACATTCCTGCAGGTTCTGCAAAATTATTTTCACTCTTGCAGACTTGCAGATTGTTATTTTTTTTAAATATTTCATTCCATTGAAATTTAAAAGTTTTAATGAAATTATAAGTATTTATTTGATAAAATCTACATGTAAAAATTAAAAAAAAAGCTTAAAAAGCCTGTAATACCTTTCTTAGACAACGTGAATTTAATCAAAGTATTTAATATAAAATAAAATTTTGAAACTTTCAGACACCATATTCTTGACATTACATTAACCATTAACCTGCTTACATCATTATTAAATTTTTTTTAAACAATAAATACCCATCACTGATTTGTCCAAAATTACAAGAATGTTCGCGATCTCAAATTTTACTATCTAATAATTTTATTTTGGAATAACAAACTACACATTTTTGAACGGTTCTAAATAAATTTGGAATTCAGAAAAACGACTTGGCACAATGGAACATTTTTGTTAAAGAAACTTTTTGTACCAAATGACCAAAATTTGACAGTTTTTCTTCCAGTTTTAGCATTAAATTCACACAGATTAAGCATTGAAATTGTTTTACGTGATCGCAAATGATCGCATGACTTTCTTATTGCGATTGCGATCATCTCTTCAAAAAATTGGTGCGCTCGTGATCGCTTTTGCAATTTTGTCCATCCTTGAAAAATTATTTTAACTTTGTTTTAAAAATTAAATCTTTGGGGTCAAAAGTTATTAATTTATGTGCGAAATTATCATAAGAATTGATAAAATAAATTAAATAAATTATAAATTTTTTGTTCGTATTTAGCAAGAAAATATTTCCAACCTTATCAAATTTACTTTCATATAAAGAGAGTTTTGTTTGGATTTATGTTTGTTTTGAATTCACGATATGATAATTAATTGAACCAGGATGCTGAGGTTGAGGAAAAATTTAATACACCGCGCAGCTCATCCTCCCCGGCCGCATAAATCTGGCGTTCGTGAAAAGGATACAATCTGACCTTGGTCCAGGTGGTGCATGAAATAATTTACCAATGGTGTAGTGAGGCGGCGGGCGGTGGCCATAAATCACCCCCCGAGACAGGCCCCAGACGCTGAATCACGAATGCGTTCCCAGAACTCCCATTCAACCCTTCCGCGCCCGCATTAAATAATATTTTATTGTTATTTGGCAGTCTGGAATGTTGCAGCGAGAAGAAGAAGAAGAAGAAGTGCATTCAGCCTTGTTATTATTTTAGGCGTCAACCCCGAAATATATTTATTACCTCACAACAAACAGCAGGTAGACGCGCTCGGTGTTTTTCCTGAATTATACAAGAGCAGAAGAAGAGGCTGACGTGAATTTAAAAAAGAGAAAGTTGCCCAACAGAAAACAAACACGACAAACACAGAAAAAAATGCGCCTCTATTCCGAAACCTCTGGAAACGCGGCGACCGTGGTTGGAATTCAAACGGTTTCCACCAATTTTTTACCCGATTCCGAGTGGCAGGACAGAAAAGTTTTCACGCCGCATAAATAAAATCCTCTTCCTTCTTTTTCGCAATTTGTGTTTAGCATACAATGTGAAAAAAGCCAGCACAAGGAAAATAAAACAAATTCACTTCTTCTTCCTTTCTTGGTGGAGGAAACTCTATTGTACATACCAGATAGGAATTAATTCAAGGCTTTTCGAATCTGAATCTTGACATTTTAATGGACATTTAATTGGAAGTCGGAATAACGGAGACGGACATAAAATTGCGCGCACGAAGTGTACGTGGAATGCCGCACACGGCGAGCGAAAAGAATGCATCTCGTGAATGCAATCGTTGTGATTTCACGGTGCAAAGCTTCAAGGACCAAAAGGTCGCCATTGAATTAAGTTCTTATACGGCTCAGCAATGCTACATTATTTTCATTTGCTTCAAAAGTTAAATTAATTTCAATATTTCTGATCCTAGCCCCAAATCGCTTAAAATAGGCAAAGTTTAATTGATTCGGATGATAAAACTAATGAAAAATGAAGTTTTAATTAAGAAAACGGATCTGTTTTTTGTAATGAATCATGAAAACTCTAACAAGGAAAAGCCCAACTTCTTCATTTTCATAATCATCTCCTCGAGTGTCAACTTCTTCAAACAAATAAGAAAACTGCCAATTTGAAATTTGAATATCAATAAATTCATTTTTAAGCGAATAATATTCACAATTTTTGCATGAAATCACATTATTCGTTAATTTTTTTTAAATTATTTCTTGTGTACAAGGAATCCTAAAAGTTTCACAAAAAGTGCTTTAAGAATAAAAATTATTTGTGGGCGTCACAGGGCTCACCAAGAATGAAAAAATCGCAAAAGCGATCTGCGATTACGAGCGCACCACTTTTTGAAAAGATAATCGCAATTGCGAAAAAACAATTTTTATGCTTCATCTGGGAAAATTTAATTCTAAATCTGGAACTTCTGGTCATTTGGTAGAGAAACCTTTCATTTGCTAACACACATTTTTGTTGAGACTCCTTTTTCTGAAACCTAAATTGATACAAAAACGTTTAAAAATGTGTTTTTTTTTTCACAAAAATATTTGATCGCAAATGATCGCAGCATTTTGAAATTGCGTGCATCCTTGGAGGTCAGAAAATTATATTTTTTGTTTTTAATTTTTTTTCCAAAAAAACTGATTTGGAACAAAAATATAGTTCTGGCCATTTTTAAACCTGATTCCTCATATTTCATTGAATTATTTGTACCAAAAGTAAAGTTTTTTTCTCCCTCAAAACTTTGGTATTAATTTTTATGGTAAAAAGTTGACCTTGGAGGAGTTACAAGTCCCCATTGTCGGCTTATTTTAGTGCAGGACGCGCTAAAAATGATGGGAAAATTGCAGAAGACGTCAGTTGGAAATAACAAGCATGAGTCACACTCTCGCGCCGAAAGGATGCAGTAAAACGAAATACAAAAGTGGACAATACCGTCGATCGCAGCTCGTGGCGGCGAGGACGGAACACGGATAATTATTCGGATCACGTCGAGTTTATTCAAATTTAATCCAATATCAAAATAACAAATTCTACGAGGATCATTGTTTTTTTTTTTTAACTATTAAGAAATAAACCTTCTTTTTGTCTCGCATCCGCAGCGCAAATTTAAGCCCGCGCGCAGAACAATGCGCAAATGCAGTCGGAGCGAAAATTAAGAAAAACGAAGGGCGATTGTTGTTTATCCTTCCAAGTATTAACAAAAAAGTTATCTCATTTCCTCCGCCAAAGTATATAGTAATCGCCCTCATAAATCAAAATGCTGCGCGCACCAATTTCAAAGAATACCATCTTCACGAAAGCGAAAACGATCAAAAAAGAAAACAAAATGCTTTTATTATCTGGGATAGAGACGAGAGCTCAAGGGCGATACACTTAATAACCTGTAATAATGACAGAGAGCGAGAGAAAAAGCAGCGTGTTCTTCTTCTTCTTTGCTTTTGGTCATATCAGCCGCGCGCGAAAGAGCGATCCGACGACCTTCGTTGCGAAGAGTCATCAATCGGAAAGCACGAGTTTGTCCAAAGCACACGCGATATTATATCAAAAACGATCAAGATTCTACGCTGCCGGGCAATAATGAAATAATGAAATTGCCTCCGACTTAAATACTCTTCACAGTTTTGTTCGAACAAAAGTTTTGTAACAAAAAACTGTGAATATAATAATAATTCTGCTTGTAACAAAATTCTCGAGCTCCTTGAACCATGTGCCACACTTGATGAAAAAAATTGGGATCAATGACTTTTTGGTCCTGAATAGTTTTTGAGACAAATTTTTTTTCCAAGACCATTACTTTTTTTTATCAAAAGATGTTTATTGGAACAAAAAGTAAGTCGGCGGATGGGGTTTATTTTACCTTTTCAAAAACATATCATACATCTAGGTCAGGTGACCTCAGTTCTCCGACCTGGGTGACCTTTGACCTGAAGGTCACCAAAGGTCATTGAAATATACATCATTCGATTGATCTTGACGTGGGGATCAACTTTTGTGATTATCAAGTTTTACCTAAAATCATCAGGGACGAAGTTAAAGGCGATTATAATGTTGACCCTGCCTCCGGAGTTGCAAAAAACCATGTTTTTTAATATTCTTATTTATTTTTAAATTTATCAAAAAATAACCTCATCGCAGTTTTGACATATATTACGTTAAAATTTCACGAGGAATCGTTTGGCTCTCTCAAAATTTATTTAAAATGGTTGGCTGGTTCTCAATTTTGAGTTTGAAAATTTACGTTCACAAAAATTGACCTTGACCTTTGATATACAATTTTGCTTTTAACAGAATAGTTGTAGAACTTGCTGAGACGAGCTCAACCATACCCGGAAAATTGTTTTACTTCCACTAGAAGCCGAGATAATTGCGTTTTTTTATTTATTCAAAATGTCCCATAAAACCCGCAATTTTGAAAATTTTTTGATAAAAATTTAGGAAACTTGCCTTGGAACTAAGATAATCAAGTGGCGTAAATCTCATATTGGTATGTGAGAACAGAAAGAATTGGATTGAGATAATTTTTTCAACCCATTTTTGCAATGAGGAAAAAGCCTGATATCCATTTCCATTTTCTTCTCTTGCAAATTAATAAAGGTTTAAATTTAAGTTTTTATAAAGTCGAAATGATTAAGAATTCTAATGATGGAACCGAAAACTGCTCACACCCCTTAAGGTGCAGCATCCCATCATTCATGCATGTGTCTTAATTAAATTTCCAATGCACGCGCATTTGCACACTTTGTTGCCGCAGCCACGGACTTGGAAAGGAAAGAGAGTGTTAACGTCCGGCGCAAGTTTGAGCAAAAATGTGACTCAGCACCCTTGATTTTTTCTTTTTCAATTTTTAATTCTTATAAAGTTTTGAAGCTTTTCTTCTGCTTTTTGCTGCCAAATTCCTGCAATCGCGCCGTCTTCGTCTCGCGGAGAGTTTTTGCTTTCCCACCGTGCTTGGCCATCCGTTGTAAAATGTTGACGCGCGGAGAGAAAAAAAAAATCGAATATCCTCTCCTGCGCCTCGGCAGGTTCAGGGCCGAAATGGTCATGGTGTATAAATTACATACATACACACTCAGTCAGCGCGGCAGGAGGAATATATAAAGCGATTTATGGCAATATGCGCGCTTTTTACAAGAGCCTCTCGCTTGTACTCATTGTTCTGGCCGATGCAATAAAACACCGCTTTTCATTTGTGCTCGACCAGCGCAGGCTATGAAAATGCATCTCACTTGGCAAAAAGTTCTATTGTGTTTTATGGCTGCGCGATTCAGCACCGCTTCTGCTTGATAAGAGAAGAGGCAACCGAAGAAGAAAAGCTTTTATGAAATCTTTTATACCGTCTTCACTTCTTGCACCGCTTAAAAGTTCTCTAGAAAATTCCCTTCAAAAAATTTCAAGTGAAATCATTGAATTCGCAGATCACAAATCTACAAGTGAACAAAAAATTAAATAACAACCTTTCAAATTAAAAAATTTTAAATTGTATGTTGCAATATTTACAACAAATTTAGTACTAAAAGATTTAATTTATTTACAATTTATTTATTAAATTTTTACCAAATTGTTTAAATCAAAAAAATATTGTTAATAAATCATTTAACAATATATTTTAAGAATAAAAAAATAATTTTAAAATTATATTATATCTTTATAAATAATTTAAACTTAAATTTCATACACAAGTACAAAAATTAATTACATAAATAAAATTCCACGTGTTACATAATTTAATTTGCAATTTTATAGAGCTGGAATTCAAATGCAGCTAATGAAGTGATAACGAAAACCAAGTCAATCAAGGCTCACTGCGGCGGATTGGGTCTTTTTGATCTCGGAAGTTTTAGCAAAATTCTTGCTAGTGGTGCCCTTTTGTCCAACAATTCATTTCTTTTCGAATAAAATGTTTTCAACAATTTTGATTGTAAAAATTTGGACAAACAAACAAAGACTTCATCAAATATTATGATAGAAGAAATGAATGGAAATTTGTTTTACTTTTATATAAAATCAAATTTTATGTAAGTCAGGCGTGATTATTTGTTCTTATATTTTACTTTACGCGAATCAAATTTGCTGTGGCCACTTACTTGCCCGCGGGTTTTCCCGGAAACATGTCGTAAATAATTGCAAACAGCACCGTGCGCTTTTCAAATTCGCCAAAGGAGGAGGAAAATAAACAACTCGCCGAAGAGAGGAAAATGATTTAAAGTAAGTGGCGTGCAGGAGAGCGAATTTTTATATAGCTACGAAATTATAAATTTCAACGGAGAGGCAAAAGGGATGAGCTCGCGCGGCTTCTTCTTCGCTCCCCTCTACCTGCGACTCTGAAGGAAACAAAACCTGAGTGCAGGGCGGTACCCTGGTCAGTGCATCTTCAGGAAAGCTCGTCGCAGGATCACAAAAATGCGTGTGATTGCCGCCTTCATCATCGTCTTGGCCGTCGCCTCGACCAACAGTAAGTGATTGGGAAATTAATGATTGCATCTTATAAAATTCAATCTTTAATTAATTTCTTTTTTCCCCTAATTTTTATAGAACTTCGAAAATTCATCCTAGACTTTATTTTTATTTTGATTATTTAAAATAAAAAATTCACTAATCAAGTAACTTTGAAATATTTGAAAAAAATTTCTAGAACAAGTTGGAAGCTTTACTGTTCCTTTGAAATCTTCATTTCTTGCACTCCCTGGTACTAAAAAAGGCTCCCCTAAACAACTAAAGAGAGTTCTCAGCGCGTTGGTAAATATTTGCCAAGCGGCGCCACACTGAGGCTTTGTTCCTCTGTGTTGAGCATTAAATTCCATTTCCCTCCGCTCTCTCAGCTAACAATAAGCTCACAGTTCTGAGAGGATCACATAAAACCATAAAAAAAGAGCCGCCGAGGAGTTTTTATTCTTTGCTAAATTCTCTATCTGTCTTCCTCTCCTTTTATAAAACAAAGTTTGAAAGGTGTTCATTCAACCTGTTCGCAGGCCAACGAATCTCGACGATCCAGTTGGACGGCACCCAGTATTTCATCTCGAGGCTGAACCCTTACGCTCCGGAGCTCAATTATTTCCTTGCTTATCAGTACTGCCGCTCGCTGGGTCTGCAACTCACCTCGTTCGAGACAAAAGAAAAAGCCGACACGCTCACGCAGTACATGAAGAATGCCGGTAAGCGAACATAATTGAAAAGCACAGCATCCTATTAATTAAAGTTAAAAGCTGATCAGATATTTAAAAAAAAAAAAAACGAAATATCTCATTTGAAAAGAAAAACTGTATTTTCACTTCAAGGTTTTTTTGTGTGGATGGCAGCAAAATTTAAAATTTTCACTGAAATTTTTCAAGTATATTTCGGGATTAAAACTTATTTTGGAAAGTTTCCTCCCGAATTCATTTTCAAATAATTAATTAATTTTTTTGTAATAGAATTTCACAATCGACGAGGGTTGATTCTTGGTGATTGGAATTTAAAATCGGCTTTTGGTCAATTGGTTTTATGAGTTATTTAGTTTTTCTTAATCAATAAAAAACAACTCTCAAAACCCATTGAGGAAAAGCCGACTTTAAATTAAAATCACCATTATTATTAATTTTTTATGAATCGGAAATATATTTAAATTTTTATAACTTCCATTAAAGGTCTCAACAAATACGAGTTCTGGACTTCTGGCAACAAGTTAGGCACCTCGATGCTCCTGTGGATGAGCACCGGCCTGCCCTTCAACGCCACCTTCAACTACCTGAACCACGAGAGCCAAATCGACCAGGCTGACCCTTCGATCAACGCCGCCCGCCACCTGTGAGTCAAAACTCTCTTTGTGCTCGTCACTATAATTATGAGTCGCTCTGATTCAAGTAGGGACGTGAGCGCCCTGGGCAAGAGCTGCGTGTCCCTGAGCGGCGCCAACCTCGAGTGGACCCTGAGCGACTGCGGCGCCGTCAAGGACTTCATTTGCGAGCAGACCAGGTGTTACTACTACAACTACGGTTCCATCCCCGTGTCCGCCACACAGGGGTAAGCAGGTGAGCCCGCAGTAGGCTACCTTCCTTGCTTTGTACAAACATTTCTCGAGCTGCACCTCGATCTTCAAAATTATTCATCCGCACTTTTGTCAAATCTCTGCACTCCCTTCTGGCAAAATAGAAAATAACGATTCATTTTCATAATCGACTCCTGGCAAGCACTGCAAATGCTTGCCGGGCAGCGAGCAAAAGTAAATAAATTTCTCTTAAAGGGAATAAATTTCCTCAGCAAACCCATCATTTCCACCACCGTTTCCACCCTTCCTCCAAACATCTACGACCGCCCCACCACCCCCTACCCGTACGTGCACAACAGCGTGGCCCCCGAAGACGACGATCACAAACTGGAGGCTCTGACTGAGTTGGCCGCTGCTGAGGAACAAGAGGCTGAGGACTCCGAGCAGACCACCGACGAGACCACAGCCGACGGCGAGTACGACGTCAGCAGCGTCCACGAAGACGAGCACATCGAGGCGTCGTCTCCGGAAGAAGAGACGGTCAGCTCACCCGAACACCAACAACAACCAATGCAGCCCAAAAGACTTGAAGATCTCTTCCCCCTAGAAAGAACCAGGCCCGTCAACTGGCAAAGGAACTAGCTTAGTCTCTTCTAAATTCAAAATAATTTGTGCTCTAGGAATCTCATATATGTTTGAAATGGTCGATTAACTGCATCATTAGCTCTCAAAATCATCAATTAATTTAAGAATAAAAGTGTTCTACTTAATATTTGCTCCACTTGCTTGATTTAAATTATCCAAAATTTGTACTTACCATCCGTTGATGACTCCCTCCGGATTCAGCATGGGTATGACTTTGAAGACAAAGTTTTCTCTCAGTCTGTCGGCTTGTTCTTCGTTGCTGAGCAGGTACTGCAGGGTGCCCTCCATGACCCAGGAGGCGTTGCTCTCGCCAGGGTGCACCCTGGCAGTAAGTATCACAATCTCCCTGTCCTGGATAGGAGAGGAAACCGAGTCTGGATTGGTGATGGTCAGCAAGGGCACCTCGTTGTCGTTGAGCGAATAGCAAAGCTGCTGCACTTTGAACACTATGCTGGGTTGGATTGTGTGAGCCCAATTCCACAGTTGCATCTAGAATTACTCAATTTAAATTAGAGTGCACTTCACTTTGATAAAAAATTATACAATCATTCGAGAGTACGGATAAGGGTAGTGGTACGCCATGTAGCAGACATCTCTCGAATGCGGGAATGTGATGGTGAAACTTGTTGTCAGGTACGGTTTGACTTTCCCTCCTGCAGTCTGGTTCAGGTATGTGTTGCGGTAGTAGCAGATATCAGATCCCGCTCTGACCCATCCAATTTGATCATTAATGGCATCGAATACAGAAAACAAAAGGGGTTTCATGCCTGTAATAAAGTGATTTAATGTAATCAACCTTTTCACATATAAAGTACGTACCATAGTTGAATTGGCTGTTTTGCTTCTCGCAATTAACAATGTTGAATGTGTACGGCAGGTCTGCCTTCATATTGCTCACTTCAAAGTAGAACCACTGATGGTGTTTACTCGAGTTGACGTCGGGCATCAAAATCAAGTCATACTCTAAAGCACCAACCTGAGGATTTGTTTATAAAAATTTAAGCCCGAAAAAAAGTGTGGCATCATCAAATGTACCTGTGTTGCTCTACGAAGGTTTCCACTTTCAAAGCGAGACTCAAACATGAGGTGATTCACATCGGAATTTTCTTTGCCCAGACGACTCTCATCCCAGTTGCTCAACATCCTATAATTTTTTTAATAAATTGAAAATTTTAATAGTATTAAATTTGTGTACCTTTCTGAAGAGTAAGAGTTTCTCCTGGCAGAATTAACCAACGAGTCGACATCATAGACAACCCTGCTCATGCCTTGCTCTGGGCGGAGTCCCTTTTCAATGCATTGCATCAATTTGCTTCTGTAAATTATTGTTTTAATTTTGCGCCGCAATATATATTTAAATTAAAAAATACCTGCAAACTCTCCTATCTTTTGTATAAAGTGGCTCAGGTACATTGACAGACTCGGCTCCGACCATATCGGGGTAGGCGACTTTCACAAATGGAATAACAGAGATCACTTTTGACGCAATGGAAAAATAAACTTTAAAAGGATCAGTCCCGGATCGAATTTTCGAGAGTATTCTTAGATGCTTCAAAGTCTCGGTGGGGTTCAACGCTCTGTACTCGGACAGCATGGAACTCTTGGTTGATTTGCTTGCGGAAGACGTGTCCTCTTCATCATCACTGTCCAAAAGACTCGAGCCTCTCGACGACCTCGGCGAGCCAACCTGCTCTTCAAAGAAGTTGGAATAGCTTTTCAAATCGTCTAAGTCACGCAGCAAAATCTGCGGCAGCACATTGTTATCTTCTATGCACGATTCGTCAATAATATCCTCTGCAAGCAAACAGTCTTCTTCGCCAATTTTGTCTTCGTCGGAGTTGGGAGTTGTGTCTCTAGATGAGGAACCACTCCTATCATCTAGAATAAAATAAATTTTTTGTTTGTCAGAATTCAGGATAAAATTAATGAAATATAACCTTGGCAATATATTTGTGTTAGTGGAACAGGCAGAGGGAATTTAGCAGGGCTCATCGTGTTCTCTGCAAGAAGTGGGGCTCTGTTTTCTAAGCAAACTGAGATCACTTCACTGGCCCTGCCAACAAGAGCGTCTCTGTTCTTCTCGTCAGGGCAAGATGTGCAGAAAGAATGCATAATTTGCAGTCCATTGTGACTTCGAAAAACAACACGCCCAGCCTCTGTAATTTAAAAAATGTAGATATTACTGAGAATATAAAATTAGATAGAAATACATACTGTAGGCACACATTTTGTAGAGCGTCGAGAGGACAGAAGAGATTATCCTAATCTGCAGTTTGCCTTCTTGATGATCACATCTCTCGATCAAGCGCAGTAGAATGTGAATTACTTGAGTGCGAGCAAGTTTGCCACAGAAAATAGCTACAATTAGACAAAAGAGAAAATATTTGATACATTAAATAACAATGAAGAGAAAATTACGGTTCTTGGCAAGGTGGTTCATCACTTCAATGCATAGCCTCAGTCTGGGATGAGGGGTTAAGCCGAGAGAGGTAAGAGTAACTTCTAAGGTTTGCGCCACACCATCTTTAATTAACAGCTTGGAAGTTATTCCTTTTGAAAAAATTGAACATAATTAATCAAGTATGAAAAATTTTTTAGCGAATTATTACCATTTCTTGCTAAATATTTCATCATCATCAAAAGTGGATACAGAAGTTTCGAGCTGGAGACGTAATTCTTCAAAAGTATATGCAATGTCTTCAGAGCGCCCATGGTTCTGCATTTCAAGGCAAACTTGCCATCTGAAACAATTTTATAGTTCATTAGACACGGAAACAAAGAAAGTCAAGAATCTTTACTTTTTTAAATTAGATTTTGGAAATTTATTAAAAATGTATTTATAATCAATGTTTTTTTTAATGAGAACGAGAAAAATGCTTATTCCTATGATTATAGATTAGCATAATATGAACAAATAAAAAAATAAATCACCAGTAAAAAATATAATATAAATTTGGAAAAATTCTTCTGAATATCTCTGTATTATTTTGAATGAAGTTGAAATAATTTCCAAATAAAATGGAAGTTATTTTAGTAAAATTTGAAACGCACCCCTCTGAGCCAGGTGAGCGAGAAGCCACAAAAGGTCATGAGTGAACTGATGTGGCCAAGCGGGGGTGGACGATTGTTGCTGGTTCGAGCTGGAATCCTTAACAACGTGAATGACCAGCTTAAGGATAGCATGGGTGCCTCCCAACTGCACCAATTGCTCTGTGGCGACCACCCTTGCATTGCTGCTGCTTTTCTTGCCACCCTTGTCCGAACCTAAATTAAAAATTTTAATTTTCTTTCTGTTCGAAACCAAAAAATTAAAAAAAGGAAGATTTTCTTAATTTACTGACCTGCTGATTTTGGGGCGCAGCACTCGTGCAAGATGCCCACAACGCTGCACAGTGATGGGTGGTCCTTCACGCCCTGAAAAATCGCCCGCAGATTAGGAATCATCAACTTTTGGCTCGCTCTTAAAATTAATTAAAAAGAGATGCAGCGTTTACAAGACGGTTCCACCGGCTCGAAATAGACCGCTTTGAACACAGTGTATATCAAAATAAATCTAACCCTTTTGAATGTGAAAACTCTCCCTGTTTAACACATTTGTCTCAAATTTAGTGGCGCTCCAGCTGTCCCGTCGCATCAATCTTTTGCAACATTAAAGAAAGCGCTTGACCCACAAGGTCGCTGAAAAGATTTTCGAGCTCCTGATTTAAAAAAAAAAAAAGAGATCTTTTGACAAATATATAATTTTATTATTGGAATATTTCAAGTTGTAAGCCCTCAATTTACTCACAATCAAGTTAATTTATTTCCCCACAGCTCAATTTTGTTCAGATTAAATTTCCCCTTGATTGAATTTTGCAAATTTTGCCCTGAATTAAGCAAAGTTATAAAATGTATATTTAAAAATACCATAATCAATGTTTGTTCTTTTTTTAAATGAAAATATTATTTATTTGAAATTATATTTTATAATCAGCCAGAAATATAAATAAAATTATTAAAAAATTAGCTAAAATTTAAGATTGACTATAATTTAAATCGCGGTACTTTGTAAATTTTGAAATAAATTTTCAGGTTTGGCGAAGTTTAATGAACACCACCTGTCTGCGAGTTAGTCTCAACATGCACAAATTGGCCACTGGCCAGACGCACAATGAGGCACTTTGATTATCTCGCTGCGCGTCCCCGCCCGCTTCAGTCGACGACCCGCTACTTTCTCTTAATTGCCAGCTCATTCTCGAATTAATAGCCACCCTGCTATGAATCTCAATATAACCCCAAGAAATGCTCCATGCGCGCAATTGGCGCTCGCCGAGAAAACTGACAAGCGGCTCGTCCGCGCCGTAAACTCTAAAAATAAATGTTTTGACAGCAGAGCAAATTTCCCTCGCTTAATAGCTTTGCTCGTCAAAACTGTGTGTTTACTTCAGAGACCAGTTAAAATAACTGGAAATTTCAAACCGTTTTGTTGAAAGTTCAATGGAGATAAACATTGATAATTTTGGTCAATCTTTGTTTTCTCTAAATACGTGCTTGAAACATTTTCTTTTCATTGGATTAGGATGTTTCATAATTTAAAATTAATTTTTAATTGGAAGTGAAGAGATTTTCCTCGTTGTAAAAATTGCTTTTTATTAAAAAAAAACAATTGGCTCTAAATATTTGAATTTGTTAGTTTTAACTAGATTTTGAATTTTTATTTTAATATGTGGTTGTTTTTAAATTTGCCAATAATTTTTTCTTCTTGTTCATGAAATAGAATCGCAGAAATTTACCGAAACTGGTAGATTTTTTTATTTTGAATAAAAACAACTTTGACAGCCAAGGAAAAAAAACCAATCTTGTCACTTCCATGATCATGAATTTGCTTTTAAATTTTAAGGTTTCAATTCAAACTTTGCACTTCTTTGACTGTGGATTTATGTTGTCTGAAGATTTTTTTTTTTTATTTTATATCATTTTTTAGTAAAAATTGGATCATGTTTGGAGCTTTTTTGCATATTAAATGACAGGAATATTGTGATATTTTTTGCGGGTTGCATACTTTGTGGTAAAAATCATTTCATCGGAAAAAACTTGTAGTGGTGGAAATTTGCGATGCATGGGAAAGAGATTGGAAATTTTATCAGCTTTCAGAATCATCCCCGTGTTTGTCTCTAGCACGCATGGAAGCCGAGATATATTGACCCAAACGTGCGCCCCTGACCTATGGAAATAGTCGATTTTCCAAAATCAATCAAGTAATGATAAAAATGAATCCAAAAAAACTTCTTCACATAAAATAAACAAATAATTTTCACTTTTATCAATTTTATATTCATAGAAGTTTGATGAATAATACAAAACAATTAAAAATTATTTTATTGACGATGGAAAAAATTAGCAAAATTTGAAAACTCTCATTTCACCAAATGAAGAGCTCTCTAAATTAAAATTTTCACGGTATAAGGAAACGTTAGAAACCGGAACTTGAAGTACAATGTTGACTCTGATTGTCAGAGACAATGCACACGCGATCATCAGAAGCAGACGTTGCGCTTCGTAGCGATGTCATGACGAGCAGTCGATCAATCAATCAATAGGCACTTTAATAAGGTCAAGAAAATAGTGAGCTCTCGATCATGAGCAATTTAGAGCGAAAAGCGAGCTGCACGCGCGTGCCTCGGATTGCATTTTGAATCGATTAGTTCGTTCACACCACCCCGAGCAAAAGCTTAATTGAAAGTTTGACTTTGCGCGAGGCGGCCAAGGGCGGTGCTTTTTGCAATTATTTTTGATGAAAACGGAGGCGGCGCTTTTTCTATAGGACAGGCGAGAAAGAAAGAAAGAAAGAAAGAGTTTGCAAAAAAGTTATTATTACAGGGCGTTTTGGCAGCCGTCGCGAGATTACTCCAGACCACTTTTGACCGCGCTCATCAAGTCATCAGAAAAGAGCGCGCCGCGCCCACTCGCGATATTTCGGGCTATTTACCATCGGGACATAATTACCGTCCAAGACGAGAGCAATCTTTGCTCGAAAATGTTAAGAGCGAATTTATTTTAACTGGATTATTTTTATTTTGTTTGAAGAAGTTGACACTCAAGGAGATGATCGTATGGAAATGAAGAGATCGGGATTTTTCCGTTAAAGAAATGTTTTTTTTTTTAGTCTAAAGCAAATTTGTTTTGAATAAAAAAAAATTTTATCTCTTCATTTCCATGATTATTTTTAAAATAAATAAAATGCACGCAACATGACTTAAATGTTTTTGAAAGAATCTGATGAGGGCAATTGGCAAAAAAGCTTGCAAAATTATTTTTGGGTTTCATGAAAAAATTGTTTAGATTGCATTAAAATAATGTCTGAATCTATTTTGATTCATGAAGTATACCATAATTATTATTTAGACTTTTTAAAACGAGTCACTTAATTAGAAGAGTTAATTAAAAGTGGAACGCGGTTCAGAGATTTTCTAATTGTCAAAGTACTCTGAATTCTATTTTGACGTTAAACAATTCTTGGCTTGACCGACGCTCTCGTCCTTCAAAAGCCACTTTTCCAAACCATTTTCGCGATAAATCTGTTTTCTCCGAAGACATGTAATAAATATATCAAGACGAAAATGCCAAGAGTTCTCGCGAATCATTCACTCTTTGTGTTGACTTTTTGTCACCTGCTGGCTTAAGACTTCTGAGAGGACGCGATGAAGTTAATTGGTGAATTTATTTCCTCTGCATTCTTCTTTGTGCCAAAGTGACTGGGAGTAAAAAAAAATGATTTAAAATAATGTTAATTTATTAAATAAATTTCGAGCGAAAATTAATTTTTTTAAATTTAATTTTCTTCGTTTAAATTAACTACAACATGTTTCAATATCAATTTAAATAATTAAAAGTAGCAAAACGATTCAATCAAGTTTTCTTCTTCAAAAGAAAAGCATTTTCGTCTGTCAATGGGTTAAGGTTGGCCCAAAATGAAGTCGTTTTGGCGCGCTTAACTGCACTTGGCCTTGGTACTGATTTAATTAGGCGCCACCCGCTTGATTAATTGGATCATCTCATTACTCACACCATCGTAAATCTCTTGAGAGCGCGAGTAAATAGACTGACGAGGAATTTATGCAGTTGTGGCAAAGCGAATTTAAATAAATTTTCCACAAAATTCTCGCAGAAATTTTTACCAAATAATAAATTCCACTTTTTATAATATTGTTTGGAAACTTTGGAATGGAGCAAGGCCAATAATTCGAATTATTTCCATTTGTCTTTTGATGAACAAGCAAACGAACCATTCTATCCTATAGAAAAATTGATTGCTTGTTCAAATTTTAATAAAATGAAATTAAATTTCAATTTTTAAAGAGGATGGTACCACCTTAGGGCAGCAATATCCTCCACAGAAACTGATAGTTTAGGCCATAAGGATCATTTTGATAACCAGAAAATTGGGGGTCACCCCATAAATTTTTGAGAAAAACGCGTTTGAATTTAACATGGTTCGCTTATGGACAATTTTTTATGAAAATCATTCAATCCCATTTTAAGTAAACGAAACTAACTTTGGCAAAGGTGTGTGACCCACCAACATGTTCCTTGATAACCCTGCTACAGATTTGGCACCAGAAAATTGGGGGTCACCCCATAAATTTTTGAGAAAAGTTTAATTGAACGTGGTTTTTTGCATTTTTCTCGTTTCGGAGAAAATCAATCCAATTTTAGAGCGCTTAGAATTTATTGATTTCTATAATCAAATATCATGAGAGTTCATAATTTGGTTCGTACAATTCTCAAGTAATGAAATTTTTTCATATTTTTCAAAATCCAATATGGCCGCCGGAGAAACATAAGGGTTTATTAAAACTGCTGCCAAATTAATTTGGGTGAAGATTTTTTAATTTCCTTGAGGGGAAGTTGAAGTTAATGAACCAAGGTATCTTTTTTCAATGGTCAGCAAGTTTCTAGGTCAAAGGTCATTGACCCTGGCCAAAGGTCAAAATATAAAGTTTTATGCCCCTTGAAAATAGGCAATCTGACAAAAAATCCAAGATAGCCATTAGATGCGCCTTGTCATTTTGCATCCGAATACAAATTTTCAAAATGTTTGAACAAGCCGTTTAGAAAATATTATTGTTTTATGAATAGGGTCCGAACGACTGAAAATATTCCGTTCGGATGAGTTAAAAATTAGAAAATGATGCTTTTTTTATACTATTTGAAACAAATTGAGTATGTTTTATTGTATTCCATTAAAATTTGAAGGATTTGAAAAACATTTTGTAGAAGGTTTCATCTACTTTAAAAGAGTGGAAGAAGTTAAAACATGAATTAAAAATTTATTTTGAAAAATTGACACTCGAGGCTTAAGGAAATAATTGTGGAAGTGAAGAGATCGGGCTCGTTGCAAAAATTGTTTTTATTCAAAAACAAAACCGCTAAAACTACCAGTTTCGGTCACGGTCTGCGACCCTATTTGATGAGCAAGAAAAACAAATCAGCAAAATTGAAAAAACGCCAAAAGTTACTTACAGATTTAAAATTTAGTGTTTTCTAATTTTTTTTTTTTAATTTTCTCATGAAATAGGGTTGCAGACCGTGACCGAAACTGGTAGTTTTGGTGGTTTTGTTTTTGAATAAAAATATAATTTCATTATTATAATTTATTCATCTTGGTTAATAAATTAAAAAGTCCCTTGAATTTAAGATTTTGTTAAATTGATTTGGGCATGCTTAACCGTTCTCAGGTTTGCCAACTGTCAACCTAGTTAAGCGTATAATTTCATTCCACCTTAATCACCCCTCTTGGTCAGTTTATCTCTCATTCGAAGAACAAAACAAACCGCTCGCAGATATAAATTACGCCAATTTCACACGTGACGAAATTAATTGGGCTCGAATTAGAGAAACAAAATAAAGAAGATTCTGCAAGCGAGTGTAAAAGAGTGCGAACATATATAATTAGTAGGCCGGTCCGCTTTTCTATTTACTTCTGCGTGCGGAGGTGCACGTCTTGAGCCAGAGAGGCTCGTTTGCTCGGCGCGCGCGGGCAACCGACCAAAATCGCGACAATCCTGCGGCACCAGGATCGAAACACACACGCTTTGTTTCGACACAAAAATTCGCATTCTCTGTTTTTATGCTGTCAGACGACCAGAATTCCGAATCGATCTTGTACGCGTTGTAGGAGGTGCACTTGACATGATTTTCTAGCGCCAAGTGTACATTCGAGAACGGCGCATAATGTTGTGCACTTGACCTCATAAATAGTTATTGAAAATTGATCAATTTTGTTTGCGGCAATAAAATTTGTTCAATGATGAAAAAAGCAAATGTTATAAGAGTTGATCTGATGTAAGCAAAGTTATGTATACAAAGACTCTTAGGGGAAAGAAAAAAAACTTGCAAAAACACTTGAATTATTTGCAAACTTTGCCAATGCCGGTGACGTTTTGATCAACAATTGTCTTTTCTTTCTTTTAAAATGTCAATTCATTTTGTATGTACATACTATTTTGTTTTTCATAACAATTTAACTAACAAAAAATAATAATAATTGATATTAATAAAAAAGAAAAACCGAGGAAAACTATAAATGAGTATTATTCTGGAATGGTGGATTCAAAAATAGTTGTTTTCTAAATTATCAAATAAAAAAAATATATAAATAATTAAGATTTAAATTTAAATTCAAAATTGATAATATTGTTTGATATTAAATTTTTTTTAATTATATTTTATAAAAATAATTAGTTTATAATTAATTTTAATCTATTTATTAATGTTACGAAATAATTTTTTATATTAATTATTATTATTTAATTGTTTTTATGTAATTTCTTTTAATTATTAATTCAATTTTACAATTATTACACTTATTTTATATGTAAATATTTAAAATTTTAATTAATCAACTTTGTATATAACTTATTTTTTATTCTTCTTATGCTCATGAGATAAGGTCGTAGACCGTGACTGAAACTGTTAGAGCCGTTTTGTTTATGAATAAAAACAATTTTCAAAACGAGGAAAAGCCCAATCTTGTGACTTCCATGATCATCTCCTTGAGTGTCATTTTCTTCTAACAAAAGAATCCTGAGGAATTAACATAAAAATAAAATTTTATAATAATATATTTTTTTCCCTTGCATTTAAGCTTTCATTTTCATGATTTTCATCAAAATAATTTTTTTCGCCAAGTCTTTCTTCTTACTGAATGGACTGAAAAATGGCGTGCCTTTGACTAAAGCAGCGAGAACGATTTTTTTTCCTCTTCCCAAACTTCGCGTGCCTCGATTTTTCTCTGAACAAACACAATTTTGCAGAAAATCGCTTTTCCAGTACGGTTTTTCAGATTTAATTTTAATCAATTTTTTTCGAATTGTCAGTGCACTTGACAACACACATTTTAAATTGGTGAATCGCTCAGAGTAATCGTGTCTCAGCATCACGCCACGAGTCAAAATGAATAAATGATGATAATAATAAATGGGATGTGCCGCACACCATGGTCTTGTCAATCAATCAGAGTCGGCTGCGTGTTCGGCTCATTCAAAGTGTGCGCCTCGCGTGCGCCGCTCGACCAGGTTTGGCGGCGGCCAGGGCAGGTGGGTGCATTGATTTCATGCAAATCGGCCCCGATTCAAAGGTGAATGGAACACCAGACCACTTTTTTTACTCGTTTTATATGGTTTGAAGAGGAAATGGGCTTTTCATTCTCAGGAAATTCAGCTTTCGGCGAAACTTCTCGAAATATTTTTTGCTTTTTAAAATTTATTGCAAAAATCTAGATCAACAAAATTTTGTGCGCATTCATTTGGAAATAGAGCAAGAAGTTTTAGTCGAGCAGACGCAACTCAAGATTGCTTGATCCTGCTCCGAGGCTAAGGATGCACTTAGGGTGATAACTGCCGTTTCAAAAGTTATTTCTGAGCACTCAAGTTGCGCGTTGAGAGACGCTTGGCTCCATTTGAGACTTAAATTATTTCTGGCTTTTTTTCCATTTCAAATATTGAATTCAATTTTGTCTCCGTGACTACAAAAGAGGCGAATTGCTTTGTCAGCAATAAAGATGCACACCCTTAACCATATTATGATGGCGTGCGGAACGACACCATGGAATAATTTAGCGTGACTCCGCATAAGGCGCCGCTCTAAAATCCAAACACGAAGTTTTGTGTTTTCACTTCATAGGTGATTCGGAACAAGTTTAGTGCAGGACAATTTCACGCGTACGGCGACAAATTTTGCGCTTGACAACATTTTAAATAATTTAAAAATAAAATCTGCAATTTTTTTACTCACATCCAGAAGAGAGAGGAGGAGCGCGAGGTAGCCAGAACTAGGCCTGCAGAATTTTTCCACTAATTTGGCACGAATGCTTGTATCTGAAGTTAAAATTTTCAAAATTAAATAAAGGATTTTCTTAAATTAATTTTTTTTTAATTACCATGAGAAGCGACTCTGCTGTGGAGCCGGGCCAGGGTTGCTCTCAGAGATGGAACATTTTCCGATGGTTTTTCAGCTAAGGTGATTAAGCGGTCCAGCACACAATCCTCGTCGGACATGCTGGGAACGCCTGAAAGAAGCAAAAACATAAATAAATGATTTAAATGATTTTATTTTTTTTCATACATAAATATTTTATAATTTTATCTGATTTTAATACTACCAAATATAGTGATAAATTAAAAAAAAAATGGATAAAAATAAATTAATGTTAGAAAAATCAAATTAAAATATAAAAATTAACTAATAATTTATAAATTAAAAACTCCATACATCAATTTTTTTAACAATTATTTTAATCTTTGGTAGATTATTTAAATTCTATAATATAATTAAAAACAAAATTTATCACAATTTATTGCAATTAGTTTATTTTACAATTATGAAATTCAAAGCGCTTAGAGATCAGATCTTAAAAATGATAAACAATATTTTTAGTAAAAAAAGTTCTCAAACAAATACATAAATATCTTTATTATCTTAGTTGTTTACGAGTCGATTGCAATGAATATCAATAAAACATTAAATTTTGAATCATGGAATAAACTGAAATAAAATTTCAAAAGAAAAAATTATTGAAAAAAAAATTTGCCTCGATTATAAATGAATTTTAAGACTTGGACGTCAAACACATTAATCCGACGTTTTCGAAATCTTTCTTTGGTGGCGAATTTGGACTCGGCCAAAACCGGCGCCCCTGGCCGAGGCTTCGATCGCGCCCGCATTCCCAAAGGCCCGCAGAACGCGACCGTTTCAAATCGACATTTTCCGAAATTTCCCGCAAAACTTTGCAGCCCAAGCTCACGTACGGTGGAGGAGTCGCGGTGAAAGCGGCTGTCAGGCTCTTCCCAGTGGTTGACAGGTGGTGAGTTCCCTAGATGCTGGTGCGAGCCTAGCAGCTGATTGAAATTTAAATAACCACTGCGGCTCGCGGAGGCTGCGAATTAAATTAAATCGAGGCACACCAACGCAGAGGGAGTGCCGCGCGACGAAGAAAACAACAACCCTACCGAGAGCTTTCGGGCGAGCTCACAGATGGCGCGCAAAAACGTCGGATTTGTTTACAAAATCGAAGATTTGAAGCCGAGAAAAATCTGAATTGGATGGACTTCGTGGATTAATTTAATTACGGGTTTTAAGCAAGTATTGGAGGAATACTTGAATTTAAAAACGATTTTGTAACTATAAATGTAGCAAGTTTACTCTCAAACACTAAATTATACATAAAAATAAGAAGAAAATCATTAAATTCAATTTTTAAAGCAAATTTTATCAAATAAAATAATAACACAGGAAAGCGGCTACTGAAGTTTATAAACCATGGACGGTAATGTTTGATTTGTACTTTAGAAATATAAAAGAATACTAAAAAAATTGTTGTTTCAGATCACGACGAATACCATGATAGGTATGTGCCTAGTCAACATAAAATTAGATTGAATTGCTTTTCATCTGTCTGTACTCTTGTTTTTGCCAACCTTTCAGGTCGTCAAAGTTGACAAACGATGATTTCCGCAAGTTGTTGATGACCCCAGCTCATCCGTCGCACTCCTCAAGTGCATCGTCCTCTGCTAATCACTCGTCATCGAGCTCCAGAGCAGCCCCGAGCTCCGTCAGAGACATAATCAATAAGAAAAAAAGTACCGGCGAAGAGGACAGAGCTGAGAAGAGGCGGAAGAAGAAAAGGTTTGAACGGTGTTGAAGACAATTTTGTTATTATAATATTTTTCACAGCTATTTTGCCAAACTGAAAAAGCAGGAGGATGACAAAATCGCCGAACTGGCTCTCAAGTACCGTGACCGCGCAAGGGAGCGTCGAGATGGAGCCAATCCAGACTACCAGGCTGAGGATCCAATGTCAAGTGCAGGCGCCTACCGTGCTGTGGCACCTGATGTTAAATCGTTTGTTAAATTTATTAATGAAATTCATGATTGATTTTTTTCTTCTTAATTTTAGCGGAATGGATGCTGCCGAGAGGAGGAGGCAGCAGATCCAGGAGTCCAAGTTCTTGGGTGGTGACATGGAGCACACCCATTTGGTCAAAGGTCTTGATTACGCCCTGCTGCAAAAGGTCTGCACTTGACTTAATTGGAGGACAAAACTTTTCAACATGTTATTAATCCAGGTTCGAAGTGAAATCGTCACCAAGGAACAGGAGCACGAGGAAGAGCTGGAAAATTTGGTTGCGCCGAGCAAGGACCAGAAAGTCAAGCGGGAGGTCGAAGAAGAAGTTGAGTTAAAAACGAAAGCTGGAAAGAGTATATACAGGTCAGAATTTAAAAATGGAATTTTTAGTTTTGGAATTTAATATAAAACTTCCTCCAGAGCTGCTCTTGGACTCGACATCCCTCGAAGGAATGACCTGTTTGCACCGGGTCGAATGGCCTATTTGATCGAACTCGAGGACGAGAACGCAGAGTCGGACATCCCGACCACAATTTTGAGGAGCAGAGCAGATTGTCCTGGCCAGGAGGTACAGTGGAATTTTTTTGTGGTTTGTAAAATTTAACTGGTAAACATTCCAGGCTCAAGCCACCCTGAGCACCAATGACATAGTCATCAATAAACTGGCGCAAATCTTGTCTTACTTGCGCCAAGGCAAAAACCAGAGCAAGAAGGCAAAGAAGCTGAAGGAACGGGCAGGAATGGAGGACGCCCCTTCACAGGCCAAGCCTCGAACTGAGGACAGTATTTACGGAGACATCGGAGATTACATGCCTTCTAACAAGAAGGGCTCCAGCAGGTTTGACTTTTAACCTAAATGCGAAGCAAATAATAAATTTTAAGAAATTTTCAGTCACGGAAAGAAATCTGGCCCGTACTTTGCCAAACCTGCACTCGATGAGGAGGGTGAAAACCGAACTGGTTTCAAACTGAGCTATGCCGACGCCCTTGCCGGTAGAAGTGCGTCTGATCCGCAGGCTGAGCAAGATAGACCGTAATTTGATCTGAAGTTGATTCGCAATTTGGTACTAATTGTAAGAGTTTATTAAAGATCCAAGCGCAAAGATGGCAAGTCTGCTCAGATGATGAACAAGTTGGCAGCCGAACCCGAAGGATACGCCGAGTGCTATCCTGGAATGGAAGAAATGCATGACGCTGTAGACGACAGTGACGACGAGGCCGATTACTCAAAAATGGATATGGTTCGTAGCGATGATTAGCAAGTAGATCTGTTTTTTGATGAAAATTCTTTCTCAGGGTAACAAGAAGGGTCCCATAGGTCGGTGGGACTTTGACACCCAAGAAGAGTACAGCGACTACATGAACAACAAGGAGGCCCTACCCAAGGCTGCCTTCCAATACGGAGTGAAGATGGCCGACGGCAGGCGAACCAGGAAGTACAACAAGGAGAAGAACGAAAAGGCCGAGTTGGACAGAGAGTGGCAGAAGATTCAGAACATCATCCACAAGCGCAAGGGTGATTCCGGCCCGTCTTCTTCCACCAGAGAAGCTGGGTGAGTTTTTTTCCAATTTTTTTTTCAAACATTTCTTAAATTCAATGCTGACGGGATGAAAACTTTTGTTGACAGCTCACCAGAGTTCAAGAAGCCTCGACATTAATTAAATTTAAACCTGTGTAATAAATAAATCCGATGCAACACAAGCCGCTCTGTTCTTTTGCCGGACAATGAAAAAAAGTTGAGATAAAAATTTGCATTGAAAATTAACATCGGGGTGCGAAGCGACTTATTTGCTTTTGCAATTAACCACGTCACTGCGAGCCTAATTGGAAGAATTCGCCAGACTTTTCTCTAATACTCCGTAGTTAACATTCAGTTTGCAGATTCCATAGCCTTACGGCGTATTAATTGCATTTCTTGAAAGTCAATCACTCGTTATGATGCATTCTGGTCGCGTCACCAGGCGATAGCGTGCGTGGGAAGGGGACACCACTTGTGTGTGTCTTTGCTTGTTAAAGTAATAATAACAATCAGTAGGTCATTCTCGCCTCTGTTGGTGTTTGGCAGTCGTGACGGACCAACTGCTGTGCCAGTCGCTTGCTGGCCCTCGTATCGCAAAGTGCACTTTTCGCGGTTGTATCGCCTAAATCTGAATTTCGGGACGGCGCGAAATTAAGAAACCGTGCGACTTAGCCAAGTGGTGGTGACGTTCGAGGGTCAAATGGCACGCAGCTGCATCACTTTTAATGTGATTTGATTTTGTTTTTGTATCATCTCATTTGTTCAGCATATTGCCAGCGTAAGGGATTTACTTAACATCTCAGCGTCGAGTGTTGCCAGAGAGATGAACAAGAAGCCCATTGAGATTGTAAGTACATTAATTAATTCTAACCACAATCTTCTCCCTAGAAACTTTTATTTACTTTCCATTTCAGTATTTCAAATTGTTTCCGTTTTAAATATTTATTTTATTATACATAACGCAGGTACTAGATTTGATTCTTTTGCACAACCTAGATTAATTTCAAATTTTATTTTTATTGATTATAAGCGTTTCTGCAATACTTTTTTATTGGTTCCGCTACTCTTGTGGTCTTTGCGCGTTGCTAAAATTTATTGTTAGAGTGGGTCTTTGTTACTCTATCCTCAAGTTGCCGTGAAAAAGCTGGTTTTAGACCTCGGATTTGTTGGCACCGCGCCTGAAAGTGAACGCTGTGATCAAAAGCGCGACAGTAACAATCAAAAGGCTTGACCCATTGAGAAATAATCTAAAATTCTCTTTTTGACTTGCACTTAAAAAGCGAATTCTGAGCCTAGTGAGTAATATATTTTTGTTACAAAAATATATTGAACTGTTAGGATAGAAGCTTTTGAATTTCCTTCTCAAATTCTTTATTCATATTATTTCCCTTCAAATCTGCTGCGTAGTGCATTATTGTAATGAGAAACATCATATTTCGTTTCATGGCTCACAATATAAGAATAACTAACCAGGTCGGGCGCGCACTAAACACTCGTCAGACGAGCCTTTGTATTATTTCACGATCGGTCAGGTGTGCACGGCGTTTTAATAATGTGTGTGTTCGAGGCGTCAAGTCGATCCATTCCAACCAGTTTATTTCACAACTGAACGAGCAAGAGAGAGAGAAACGCTCTTTCCATATAGTTTTGTAGGCGATGGAGACCTGCCAGGTCGCAGACTCCTCGCCCACCAAAAGGCAGAGGAAAACTGCTGTGGTGTCGCTGTTGCAGAAGGTGGACGTCGTCCCGGACAACCACGATGACGTGCCCTACGCCGATGGAAGCGAGCACAGCGAAAACTCGGACGAGGAGGCGGACAAGGTTGCGGAGAACGGAATCTCCAGACTCACCGCTCCGGAGCCTGGCGCGCTCACGGCCAAATTCAGGAGGCGCAATTCCATCTCGCTGCCCGCGGGACTCGACGCATTGCTCGAATTGCCCGAAGAAAAGGTACAATTTAATATATTTCATTTCTCGCACTAATTTGAAGTTATTATTATTTTTAATTAAGAACCAGGCTTTTTCTTGTTGAATCAAAAACTTTGATCAAATCAGGATAAGCTCGATTCGTCATTTCAATATGATATGAGCAACTCATTTTGAAATTAACCTCTGTAAATTTTAATTTATTTAGATTTTTCTAAACAATATAATTTTAATTATTTAATATTAGTTTTTTCTTTTAAAAATATCAATCAACAAAGTAATTTATACGAGTATGAAAAGCTTACGGAAAATTTAAAAATTATAAAACTAAACCAGAGATTTATAAAAAGTCAAAATTTGTGTTCTTAAAGTACTTTAAAATCTTTGAAATGATTAAAGTAGACGCAGCAAAACAAACAGGTGAAATCACACACCTGAGCTCTGAGATAATCGAGTTGTTTTGCGGCTCCTACTTTACCCAACTCGTCGTAGCAGACCGGCTAATCAACCAGATAAAGGCTCAGAGATGCACAGAGGAGGGGACTGGACAATTATTAATTTGTTTGCCTCACTCAAATTGATGGCCTAATCGCCCCATCAGTTTTAGTTTATGTGCGCTGGAGTGATGTTTGACCTCAAAGTGCAAATTTTGAGCAAAAGCGCTTGTTAGATTTTTGGTTTTAAAGTGTATAATTTAGTATGAGGATCGAGTGATCTATAAAGTTGTTTTTGTCTCTTTAGCGAGCAAAAATGAAAGGTGACAAAGAAATCTCTCCGGTCAGCAAAACAGATTTAGAAGCCATTACAGAGGCAAACACTAAGGTGAAAAAGAGTTCACGCGTTTACTTAATTGAGTTAATTTATTAATGTTTTTCATTTTAATTAATTTAATGTTTGATTTTGATGACCTTGTGATGTGACTCTCAAATAACTATTTTTAACTTTTAGCATCAGAATCTGAGGTTTTATCGTAAAAATTACCACCGTGTGTTGCATAATGAACGCCAGATGAGATGAGTTGTTGCTTGTGCTGGCCTTGTTAGGCATGAAATAATTGTGTGACCTAATTTCAGTCAGTTCAAATAACAACCAACTTTTTGTCCGTCAAACATTGGAATCTTATTCCCTTTTATTCATTTTTTGCAAAAGATATTTTAGATTTGAGATTGTTATTAATTTTTAACATATTCTATTTAAATTGAATGTGAAAATTTCTTAAAATTCTGCTCCGTGGATAAAAATTAACTATTTTTATGTGTTAATTTCTAGGGCGAAGGAGCGTCAGATGGAGAGTCAAATAGCGGTGGGTCTTGTTCAGACGATGAATCTTCGTACTCAGCATCAGATGAAGAAAATATATCTGTGAAGTAAGATTTTACATTATAAATTAACAATGTTTATATTTTGCAACACAAAAAGCTTCTCGCCTTTCTAACGCCTCTTTATTTTGTGGGAGTGACAAAAATTAATATTATTATTATTATTATTTATTTTTCTCGGTCAAGAGAAAAATTATTATACTCAAAAAGAGTTTCTATAATGAGGATCTTCCGTTGATTAAGTCGGTGTGGCTTAATTAAACAGATCAACAGATTAGAAATCATGATAGCCATAATTTAAATTTCATTAACCTCACAGAAAGAAATAATCAGGCATTTTAAATAATTAAACATATGACCTGCATATATGAACATCTTTTCTGCGAGTTACTCTGTAAATTTTGAATTTAGTGACTTTTTATTCTGAAGATGGTTTAAATTTTTTCATCTAGTACGAAATTAATTTATTTTTTACTATAAATTCAACTTAATTAAATAAATTTATCATTGCTATTTTATATAAAAACTATTTTAAGATACTATATTATAATTCATTTGATGCAAATTATGCAAAAGCCAAAAGAAAATAGTACAATCAGTTGAGGCAAAAAATTCTTTGTACTTATTTACTTAAATGCACTTATCTTCCTCAACTCAAACATTTGTAAATATCTTAATCCAGTTGCATGTAGGTTTAGCACTCAAACAAACCGCGCTTTACAATGCAAATTTGCTCAATTTTCAGAATGCCACTGCGCTCCTCGAGGAAAAAATCTGTGATGCCCCTTCCAAAACTGCGACTCAACGACACTGAGCTGCCCGACGAATTCTTAGACAGAGGTTTCAGCGGCATGGAGTCGCCAGGCAACTCTGTCACCAGTATTAATAGTCTGTCTAGTCTTCTGAAGGAGAAATTAGTGGTATATTTTTCAGTTTGAAATCAATCGTTTTGGAAATTTAATAATCCATTACAGATGACATTCCCTGGTGTGCTACGGCGGAAACGTCCGCGGGAATACAAACTCAAGGCATTCGTGGCCATCCTTTTTCTTTGCATTGTATTTTTAGTTGGTTTTGCCTACATTTTCTATCACCAGCAAGTATTACAGGCAAATATTGTATTATTATAATAAATTCAAAATTAAATTTCATGATTTTATAGAGGGCCTACTTTGAGAGGATAAGATTTAACAAGGACGAGCGGCAGATGAAAGTGTATGGAGCCGACGGCCAAGAACTTATTTCCGGAGTGTTGGGAGTCGGTCTCGGTGGTCGCTCGTACCCCTGCCTGGCAAGGGACAACCCTGGCAATGGCTCGGTTTGTCTTGAGTGGATGCGGTACGCACGCCTCGTGATGCGTTACGACGAGTTCGCAGATGACGTGCGGTGCTACCACATCACCTGGCAGTCCCTTTCTCACCAACACCACCCGACCGACTGCTTTGACTGGAGTTTCAGCAAAGGCCACTGGTTTGGCGGCGGTTTGGCCAGTGGAGGCGCCTGGCCTTTGGAAAAGGGCCACGTCAGGATGGCGCCGTTCGTCACTGGGTCTGTTCCAGGGCAGTCGTGGGCGAACGTCCTGCAGCGCTACTTCCTAAACTCTCAGGGCGCAGCCATTCTAATCGACGACGACAGTCCCCTATATGTCGACCTCAATTCGACCATGGCCAGCAAATTCTGTATCAAGGCCAAGCATGATGACTTTGCCTATGTTTACCACAAAACAGACATGCCTCAGTTGAACTACTCGGTCTGCACCGCTCCAGATGTGAAGCAGCTGCACTCATTTTTGGCTGAAAGCTCACTTTGGGACGGCATCAAGGAGTCTGACGAGCAGGTATTTTTTTTTTTATTATAAAAATTTAATTTTTTAATAAAACTTTAACCTCTTTTTCCTTATAGATCATAAACTCTTTGCTGACAGAACCGATCTGGCAAATTCCTGCAAACAACCCTGACCAGCTGACCGAACAGGAGGTGGCTAACCTTACCGAGGAAGTAGTTTCTCTGGGCTACCCAGCAGGGCCTGTATTGCTGAATGAATTCTGGCAGTCGAGCGCAGGTGATCTGGTGCTGGACGAAAGCCGCTTCCCCACATTCAAGGATACAGTCGACATCATCCATCGTAGAGGCTTCAGGGTTGTGCTCACCGTCCAACCCTTTATCAGCACCGAGTCCAATAACTTTTACGAAGCGGTTCGTGAAGGCCTCTTGGTCAACGAACGGGGCGGAGAAATACCTGCGCTCACAAGGTAACAAAAAACTAAATTTATGGTTCAATGCAAATTTTTTTATTGTGGATAGGATAAAATAAAAAATTATTTAAAATAATTACAGGTACAAGAACTTTCTGAGTGCTGGTGTGGTGGACATTACCAAAAACCATTCCATTTTGTGGCTCCAACAAAAGCTCAAGTCCTTGCAGCAGCAGCACAGCATAGATTCATTTTACCTGGATATGGGCAGCGCCTACGACATGCCTCGTTACTACCAATTTGACCAGCAGCTCACCAACCCCGACCAGTTCAAAACTCAGCTGACCAAGAGAATCCAGCAAAGTGTTCCTCTGCTCGGAGTATCTGGGGCGATACAGCGCCCGCAGCCTCCAACCTTTGTCTCGCTGCCTCCCTTTGCCTCAGACTGGCGCTCCCTGAACACCATCATACCTGCCCTTCTCACCTACGGCATCATGGGCTATCCTTTTCTCCTGGCCGGACCTGTTGGGGGCGAATGCGAAATCACCTCCAACCTGCCTGAGCGGGAGTTGTACATTCGTTGGATGCAACTTGCCGCTTTTCTTCCCACCCTGAGCTTCAAGCACCTGCCCAGCAGGTATAAATTTTTTAATCACTATTTTATGAATTTTTCAAATTAATTTTTCATTCTCTTTTTAAGATACGACGCAGAAGTTGAAAAGATCGCAAAAGGCCTTTTGGAACTGAGGCAAACGCTGGTGAACCCTTTGCTCACAAAATCCATCGACGAGGCTCTAAACAACGGAATTCCGTTCGCGCGCCCTCTCTGGATGCTGGAGCCTCTGGGGCAGGCGGCGCAGAGTGTGGACGACGAGTTCTCCATTGGCGACCAAATTATTGTTGCCCCTGTTCTGCAGCAAAACTCGGAGGAGCGGGAAGTCTACTTGCCGAACGGTGTGTGGAAGGACGGAATCGACGGTAGTCTGCGAAAGGGCAACAGGTGGATTCACCACTACAGAGTGCCTCTGGACAAAGTTGCATACTTTTTGAGGATGCCTAACAATACCAGGTTTTAAATGTATGAAATTCAGACTTCTTTAATAATTCAATTAAGTGGTATTAGAGCTGTAAATTAAATCTTTGATGATATCTATTGTATTGAAAAAAAAAATATCTCAGGTGTATAATTTAATTTTTCTCGTATGCAGAATACACCAAAAAATTAAAAGACGTGTTTAGGAAAATTTTATTATTTGTGCCTTATTTTGTCTGCATATACTTAAAAATACTTTAACTCTAAAAATTAGATTCATAGCTTTAAGATTATTTTTATATTGAAAATTATTTCATATTATTCTGTATTTGAATTTATTGAATCAAAAAGAATATATATTTACAAAATCAAATCAGTCAATAAAAGCAACAATTGATTGCATACATTGAAATTAAAAATTTTACTATATGGAATCTTCTACTCTCACAATCGGTGCAAAATTTAAAAATCTTGTTGCTTAATTTTTGTAAAATTATTATGAGATATTTGGTCATTTTTTTACTTGAGGGCATTTTGAACTAGAACAAAACTCATAATTAAATGGAATAAGACAAAAATGCAGATTTTGCATCATCAAACCAAATAAAATCAGTGAATAGTCCGGTTGCCAATTTTCCAAATCATTCGTCCTTTGCTTTGGTTGCCGTTGATCCACTAAAAGGGCAAGAGGCTGCAGACTTTTCCGTGTTTGGAGAATCAACCGTGCTGGACTTTTCTTTCAATTCAACCGCATCTGCCTCCTTCTTTTCATCGTTTTTCCATGGGTTCCAGAACATCAGCACAATCGGCTGAATGAACCGGTGCCAAATGAAGAGGAGGATTGGAATCAGGAAGCATGGCACACAAACCATCTCTTTAGTTTAACCTCCTGTGAAATAAGAATTAAGATGAAAATTAAAATTAACTAAGTAAATACAAGCATATTTCAAGCGTTTGGTGCCCATAGAGGAAAATGAGACATTTGAAAGATAAATTAAATTTTCATGTGCTAGACGTTTGTTTATTCTGCTTCCCATTCTCATATACAGTAAAGTAAGCAGTTGTTTATGAAACTTGGTTCAATGGCAAAAATAAACTAAAAAAAAGGACACCACTGCAAAGTGGCCGATTTTCATCTTAACATAACCAGAGAAACAACTTTAGCTAAGTGACTATCACAAAATGAAAGGAAATTCAGTTGGATTTTTCTTTGTTCAGCGCCTGAACAAACTCCTCCAGCTTTTCTTGAATGTGTCGCACTCGCTTCAGTTTTTCGGCCAAGAGGACTCGGCGGCCCGTCAGCAGATTCTCCTTCATGTCGCGGTCCTGGCCGAAGTCCTCGAGGACCTCCTTGATTTCCTTGTCGAGCCGCCGCGCCTCGCGGTTCACCACCTGCTGCCGGAGGGCCTTCGAGGTGACCTTGAGCATCTGCTGGATGCGCCAGAAGAGGACGACGTCGTTGCACTCGTCGGCCGCCAGTCCTTGCTGGTACAGGAAGTAGCCCTTGCGGCACGAGAAGGCCCTTTGCAGACTGCTCCTCATGAAGTGGCGTCGGTAGATCGGATCCCACGTCTCTTGAATGATATTTTCGCTCACATCCTGCTCAACCGAATTCTGCAGGTTGCCCTTGATGGTGGTGACCTCGTCTGCCTTCAGCAATGGAAGGTGGTTCGGGTCCTTGTACAGAATTTTGTCCAGCTCGTTGCGAATCGCATTCCGAAGCGTCTGGTCCGGAGTGGCGTATTTCCAGTAAAGCCACTTTTCCTTTGTGCTGGGACCCAACAGTTCACGCAACCTTTCCTCAGTCTCATGCAGACGCTCCTTCAGACAGTTCTCGAGGAACTTGACGGCGCTGTCCCAGTGCTGCTTGTCGTGGACGGCGCGGTCTTCCAGGGCGTTCAGTTGGATCACCCTGAGCATGTCGGCCGCCTTGTCCTCCCAAACGTGCTTCTTCAGCGTCTCGTGCAGGACCGCCTGCTTCAAGGTGTTGAGCACCTCGTCGTTGTCCTTGGCCGTGGACGACTTGCGCATGAACGTCTGCAGCTCTTTGTGCAGACCTTCCCAGCCGGCCTCGACCGAACCCGAGGGCAGCTTCTGGTCCGCCCATTCGCGCAGCTTGATGTCCACCAGGGTGTTGAACTGTCCCGAGTTGCCCGACTGACCAGCAGGCAGGTAGATGTTTTCAAACACGTGTCCGGACACTTTGTCCCAGAGGCGCTGCATGAACAGCTCCTCCCACTGCTTGGCCGACACCTGGCTCAGGTTGACCATCTCGTCCAGGATCTCGCCTCGCGCCTTCTCGAACAACTCGTCCCTGTCCAGCTCCCTCTGCCGAGGGAAGTTGTTCTTCCACTCCGTCTCGAGGTTGAACCTGGTGGCCTTGAAAGAGTCCGCCTGCTGCTCCACGGTCTCGCGCACCATCTTCCAGAAACACTCGGACACGGCCATGCTCAGGTTCCTTGTAGTTACCTGAGCGGACATGATGCGACCGTCCTTGAAAATCTTGGATTTGCGGAAAAACTGCTCCTCGTACTCCTTGATGGTCTGGATGGAATCGTCCTTCCTTCCCCGTCCGGTCACCACGGCAAAGTAGCCCAACGCTTTCATAGGAAACAACCGTCCGGAGAGGATTTTCTGGATTCTGTCCGGGTTCGTCAAATTCTCCTCGGCCATGTCCACCTTGGTTAGCACAAATATGGTTCTCCTGCCCTGAGGGTCAACTTGGCTGACGATGTCAGTCACGTTGCTGCGTTCGGCATCTACGGACCCGTCCTGAATGCACAAAATGATGGCGTTAGGGTTGGACATGTACAACTCGGACATCGTCTTGATGGCGTCCTTTGTGTGTCTCTCCATGTCTTGCGTCACCGTACTGATGATTCCAGGCAGGTCAACCAACACCATCCTCTGCAGACCCGGACCCTTGACGGACATCGAGATGACCTCGTTGCTGACTGTGTGTCCGCCGCGGACGCTGTTTTTCATTCGAATTTCCACTTCGCGCCTCAGATCGGCCAGGTCCTGCTCCTTGGTGAGGTCAAACTCGCGAGAGTTGTCCTTGAACTGGGCCACGTGGTACGGACCCTCGCTCAGGGTGACCTTGACGGGTGACCTGGTCATCATTTCGCCCGCTCCTCGAGGGAAAATTCTCGCCTGGGCAATCATTTCCAATACCGATGTTTTTCCCGAGCTTTGATCTCCGACAACCACCACCCTGGGCAGGTGGTCCTGAGTGTTGTAACTCGAGTCAAACTCGGCCAACTCGTCCAACACCTCCGAGTACATGTCGATAAGGGACTTCTTCACCTTCTTCGGAGGAGCGCCCGTCTTTCGCAGGAGGAGTTGCCTTCGGAGCTCGCGATTTTCCTTCTCAAGACGGTCCACCTGTTTTTGGTACTTGAGTTGGTTCTGCATAAGTTCATCTTGCAGTCTTTCTAGTCTCGTGGTTAAGTTTTCCGACGGTGCCGAGGACGCTGCTGGATTGCCAGGGCTATTATTGGCTACTGGTATTCTGAGGAAGGTGTCGGAAAAGCTGTTCTCACCTTCGACTTCAGCTCTTTCGGTTGCCTCTATAGCCTCATCTAATCTCTTATCAAACCAGTCGCGGAAGTTTTGATATTTGGCCTCGCCCAGCTGCTTCAGCTTTGGGTTTACTTCAAAACTGTCCTTAAAATCACTAGAAAACTTAATCATTTTTTCTCTGAAAGCGTCTATTTTATCAGGAGGAGGCATATATTGTTCGAGCCATTTCATGTCTGGTAGGTTTTCTTTCCACTGCTCGTAGGACTTCTGCAGTGTCATTCCACCTCCGAGGGCGCCACCCAACACCAGGTAGCGAATTTTTAGGGCACCTCGGAGCAACCGACCGATGAACATAGCCGCCCCTCTTTGTGGCACTTGGACATACTGGGTGGTAGGCACTAAAAGGCGGCTCTTGTTCAGCATCAGCATGGTGATGCCTCGCTGCTGCGGCTGGTACTTTTTGACCGTCTCGTAGGCACAGCCTAGACTGGCGGTTCCTCGTCGCAGCATTTCTCTCGTCTGTCTTTCGCCAACTGATCACATCATTCATTAGCCAGAGTCGTCAAGTCGTCTTATTTGTCCGTCACTGCAGTTGAAGGTCACTTTGCCAGTTGGTCATTGCGATGCAGAGAGAATTCACCTGTCAAATCACACACCATCAGGGCTTCCTAATAAAATCTCTTTTCGCTTTTTCTGCACATTTCAATGCCAAATCTCGGCAAAGGTTAAAATATATTTTTACAAATTACATCTGCGCAAAGAAGTGAAGCAGAAAGCAGATGAAAAAGGTGTCAGAGGCATGGTCGATAAAAATTTGTGCGTCCGTTTTTACCATTTTAACTCGAATTTTAGGGCACCAAAGCTTGCACTTCAATAGATAATTTATTGAAAAAATTTAATAATTGATTTATAATGATGTACCTGACGACTTTGCAGAATATTCTGGGTTTTAAAGAGCTGCACAACTATTTTCCTTTGCAACTTCAGCAGCTGACTCGAAAGCAGAAAATCAGTTGTGCAACGATCCGGTATAACTGCAAAATTAGCAGTGTGACCAACAAAATAAAAATATTTTTTCTCTAATTTCTCAAATTACACTCAAATTATACGGGCTTTCGATAAAATGTACACTGAAATTTAGAAATGTTATGATTTTTAATGAAAAATGCAAAATTTAATTTGAAATTTCACCTAAAAATGAATTTAAAGTTTTTTTTAAAGTTGTCAACTTGTAACGTAAGTCAGTAATAACCGGTATTTTTGCGAAAAATATTCAAACCGGTTTTTATTCCGGTAGTTTTCGTAAAATAACCGGAAATATTATTAAATTTTGGTAAACATGGCGGTCGCCGAAAAGTTGAGACAGGAGGGATGGTAATAAAAATTGTATAATTTGCGGCCCTTGATAAATTTATTTTGGAATGCAGTTCAATTCTCTGGAAAGTGTTGTTTTCTTTGACCCTGATCTTAATTCGAACTAAAAATCCCACCATGAAGTTGATGAAATTCGATCGTAACCAGTCAGCATGCTGCTTTGTTTTGTTTGTTCTGCCGGTTTACACGCTGCACTTTCTCGGGAGAAAAACTCGCTCGTCTGCATCGCTGATCATTCCTTTGAAATTTTCAGGTTCCTCACACCGGAAGGACTGGAACTCGTCACGGACAATGGAAATTTGTCCGACATAAAAGCCATTATTCGTCGAGCACTTGATGTGAGTTAAAATTGTTCAAAGTCTTACTTTTAATTAAATGTTAAGTGATTATTTTTGAATTAAAACAAAATTTTCTTACTATCACTACAGGTGGATCTCAAGGAAATTTCAGAGTCTAATTTCATTGAAGAAGTTGTCCGTTCAAAAGTTGAAGCTGTAAGTTTCGTTTAGCAAACAATTGTCATTAATTTTATTCTTAATTTCGCCAGTTTGAGGGCCATCGGGTTGTGCAAATACAGAAAATCAGAAATATTTCGGCACCAAAAGTAAACGAGGAATCTGGTGCTGCTCCTCGAATGCTGAAATTGCTCCTCACAGACGGCACCTCAACATGCCAAGCCATTGAAGTTGAGCATCTACCTTCATTAAGGTATTTTCAGTATTTCATCAAAGGTTTTATTAGAATTACATCTTTTTAATACTTACAGTCTCAATACTCCGCCTGGAACAAAGCTCAGATTCAAACCAGGCAGCATTCCAGTCTCCCATGGTTTTGTCCAACTGAAACCTTCCTTGTTGGAGTTCCTTGGTGGCAGAGTGGCCCCTCTGGTGGAAAAGTGGGAGCTCAATAGGGTATAAAAGTGATATGTTTGGTTAATTTTTTATTTAAATTCAAAATTTGCAGACTCTGGCTAAGCACAGCAGAGGGAGAGTGGGAGAAGAAGGTGGTCCACCTCCGTGGATTCCTTTTGGCCAGAAAATTTTAAAGCCTCAAGCAACGGACCGCAACTTTAAGGTATATTACCTGTGAGGATTTTCCAATAGTTTGTTTTGAATTAAAAATTTTCAGTCATTGGATACTGGTGAGAAGGATATTAAAGAAAATCCTGAGTTTGAAGCGCAAAGAAAGGATGCCATTGCGGAAGCTGCCAGAGCCGGAAGCAAGAAGGTTTTCGGTGGTGGAACAAAACAAGTGATATTGCGGAAAAGCTCAATGAACTCAAATTTACAATATCTTCTGTATTTTAGATGCTGGATCACAATGTGCAGCAAATTGTAAATGTCGGATTTTCTGTGAGTCAGGCAGAATATGCTTTGAAGCAGGGCAGAAACAACATTGACCGTGCTTTGAAAATCCTTCAGGTAATATTATATATATTTTTTAAACAGATAATTTTATGTTCAATAACAGAAAGGAGACGAGTCAGCGACAACTTCAATAACTCCGACCTTCAGCAGTCAAAGAGGTGGCAAGGCAGAGTCAAGGGGGAGGAAAAAGGGAGATCGGGAGAAGGACGAAGACGGTGTTGCAGCTAAGCCATCGGGGAAAGTGTCATTATTCGATTTCTTAGAAGACAAATTACCTATCCGTGAGAAATTGAAACAATAAATATAATCTTCCGTTTTATAACAAATTTAAATTCTCAGAAAAAGAGCCCGAAAAGAAGAACTCAAATTTTTTCTCGGAGAGAAGGGACCGGAAGGACTTTCACCGGGAACAAAACCACGGGAACAGTGGGGGTGGCTTTTCAGGGGGAGGTCGCGGTGGTCGTTACCAAGACAACAACTGGTCTCGCCAAAACGACCGGGCTGGTCAGAAGCCTCCGAGGTTTCAGCAGCAGGCGCAGAGGTTACAGCAGCGGCAGCAAAACTTCAATGCTGGCAAGCAGTTGGACTCTGGACTGAACTCGTCCTACTCGACTTGGTCCTCGGGCAACAACGACTTCAACAGCCAGTGGGGCAGTTTCAGCGGCCTGGCCAACGAAAGTCTGAGCAAGGATTTGTTCCGAAGCAATAACGACGACGTCGGCCAGTGGAAAATGCCGCCGGAACCGAAGGGCAAGAGACGGCCCGAAGCAGAGGCAAAGTCCTTTCAGTCGCCCTTTCACCAGAAGTCGTCCAGGCAGTTCTCGGACTTTGGCGCCGAGAGCAGAACGTCGGACGTGTTTGGAGACACCAACCACGTGCCATTCTCAATGGGCTACAGCAGAAACTTCCAAACACCTCAGAACGACGTTCCTTCTGCTTCGGCACTGTGCGAACCTCGCTGGGAGTGGCACGAAGGGGACAAGTGCATGGCCAAGTACTGGGAGGACAACAGGGTAGGCCATATCAAAATCTATAATAATAAATTGCCAATTTAAATTATTCCAATGACAAAACTTTAAATTCGAGCTGGATTTCCTAAAGAAATTCAAATTTATTTTATCGATTATTTTATCATTCCTGGATGATTTGTAATAAAATTTTTGCGTTTCAGCATTATCGTGCTGAGGTGACGGGTGTGAGTGCCAAAACGGTGGTCGTCCGATTCCTGGAATACGGAAACTTTGAGGAGGTTTTGCACGAGGACTGCATACCCATCACAGAGTACGACTAGCCCGCGGCCCCAGCCACATCGAGAATGTGGCCCCCACCATGGATTAGTTTAGCTGGCATTGAACTTTGAGAGGCACTCCATTCATACCCAGTGCCTTTTGCCCCATCCCAGTGTAGTGACTGAGAGTTTAGTGCTACAACTGACAGACAGTCGATTGATTGATTGATTGGCAGACGATATAAATAATAACACTCGGTATACAAAAACAAACCAACTACTTTTTGTTTTGTTGAGCTATATGATTTTTTTTATTATTCAGAGTTTGCTTCTGTGATCCTTTTCTGTCCTTAATTTATGAAAAGAAAAAATATGAAAAGGCAACACATTCCAGACTTCCGTTTTAAAATTATTTGTTTTCCGTCTAAAATTACTCCTATAGTTATTGCTAAATAACTAATATTGCAAGTGGGACGCCCTGCATCGCAGTCACGTAATAATAATTGCCTCGGTTGTTTTTCTTTGTAAAATAATATTACGGAAACTCGGGAATGTGTTGGTTACGTTTTCAGTTAAGGTAACAAGATGTCCATCCTCCTTCAAGGAACCCAATAAAAGAAATGTGTAATCTGTGTATACATTCCTCTTTCCCACTCTTTCCTTATAAAGTTTGCGCTGCCAGCTTTTAATTAAATACTCACGCCGACTTCTGGGAACTGAAAAAAATCGCCGGTCAGCACAAAACTTTAAGGTTTTAGTTGCCACGGTGCAATAACAAGAAGAGCTGCTCTTGGCTTTTGTCAGAATCAATAAGGAAAAGCTGCTATTTGAGAGGTGGATTAATTTTCTTTGATCTTGCCTGCGGTGTTATGTACAAAGTTATATTCTTTATATATGAGCTTCATGACTCATTGAGGGCTTAAAAAAAAACAGTTTCCAATTCAAGTATGACGCGTGATATTTTCCTCAGTAGAAATTGAGATAATTCAATTTTTTTTATTGGATTTTAGAGTCATAAATCACTTTAATATTAGTAATTAGCGTCTAAAAGCTGAGGTACAATTTTTGACCAGGAAAACCTCAATTTTATCTTGATAAAAAAAAAAATTGTTAAAGAACCTCAAAAAAACTGAGCATTTTTTTTTCAATTTTGTTTTTTTGAGTAAAATTTAAGATATATTAAAATTTAAACACCTGCAATGTAAAACATCGCTGGCATAATTTTTCCAATTTTTACTTTTTTATTAAATTTTTTTTTAAAGTTCGGAATTTATATTATTCTAAATTAAAATTCTTTAATTTTAACAAAAATCAAATTTAGTGTTTTCCTCAAATTCACTGACAAATATTTGAATTATAGCTTCAATAATATTTTCAAAAAATCATAAAAAAAAATATAATAATATTTTTATTTGGTTTAAATATTTGCCTTATTTCATCTGCACTCTTGATTTGAGGATTTTCCGGAATTTTCAAATTTTATTTGGCAGGAATAATGTGAAAGTCCTTTTTTCTCCCGCCAAGCCCAAGTGCCTTGCCCAGATCCTCGCTTGATTGGGCATCGGCGTGTCCCGCTGCGCGATTGGTGTGTTTCCGGTGTTGCACACAGCATCCTCCTGCGACCCCTCCTCGCTCGCCCATTCGCCAGTCGTGTCAGTCAGTCGCACTTCTTCGACTTTGACTCGTCGCACCAGGCGAGAGATCGAGAGACGTAAACAAAATACGCACACTTGGGCTGCAAAAAGGCCAGCAGCGGATTCGGCCTGTCCTAGACCTTTCGGCCGACGCAGCTGCGGTTCGCAATCGACCTGTTCGACGCCTGGTTCGACCATTGACAGTCTGAAAGGAGAAATTCTTCGCAGGCTGGAGAATCGGACAGGTGTGTTTACTCAATACCCCTTCTCGGATCGTCTCTCACAACTTTTTTTTCAACCCTTTCTTTGTTTGCATACGAATATTTTATTGAACTTTTCCTATTCATACCAATCAAAACACTTTGATGGAATAATGTATGTTGGTAATTCAAAGCGTAAATTTAATTTATTTTTAATTATTATCGCGAGATTCTGGAATTTTCAGCTCTATAATAGTAACGAATTATTACTTATTATTATTTTTACTTCTTTCTGGTTAGAAGTAAATAGTATAAATTAAATTTAAACGGATTTTAGAGTAATTGAGAATTTAAAAGTTATTGCCCGTTATTGCCTGCTTATTTAATTCTCGTAAATTGTTAAGTTCACAAAAATTTATTTATTAATATTGAAATAATCCTCATTGATTCTCATTTGAAAGTAATATTGACTGATGTACCGGTGCCATTAATGGAATATATTAAATTATTAACAATAAAATTAAAAAAAGTTTTTTAAAATAAATTATTTTTTATTAATTTATATCTAAAATATATCAATTATTAATTCAATAAATTGTCCAACCCAGAAAAGAAGAAATAAATTATTGAATTAATTATATTTAAAGATTCAATAAAGTAAATGATTAAAATTAAAAAATAATAAATAAATTAAGTAATAAAATTTAATTAGCCGAACTAGATCTTTCGCAATAATAATTAATTTGTGAGTCATGCATGTTATTTTTATGGAGATCAGATTAATTAATTCTATTTTTTGCCCCATTTATTATTAAATGTCAAGTTCTGAACTTTATCAAAAGCTCCACTTATTAATTTTCTCTGCAAGATCTGACAGCTTTGAAATTGATCACGCAGACTGATTTATTTTTTCGTGGAAGGTCAGATTGACAAATTTGCGCAATTTTTTTCAGGCGATTGCTGATGAAGGCCATGATCACGTTTCACTAGACATCCTCGTCCTGTCTCAGGTATGGCGAACCTTTAATAATGTGGGCCGTGATCCTCGGCTTGCTGTGCTTGACCGTTGGAGGTAAAAAAAAAAAATATTACGCCGTGTTTAAATCTTTAATTCCCGCCACTTGGCGATTCATTCACTTATTATCTGCGGCTCGCGAACGAAGATCGGAGGAGCGTGCGAGCCGAAATGATTTATTCAATTATTCAAATGAATCAGGCAACGCCCTTGCGAGCTGTCGTAATTCCATAAAGTGTCTGTGATTCCTTGAAGCGTGTCATTCGCCTCAAGAGATAAATTTGTATGTTGTTAGATATGTATGCTTTAATTTGCCTCCCACTCGCAATTTGCACCACTGCGCGCTGCTTAAGTTGTCACCACTAATTTCCTCAATTGTTTTTGCGCGCAGAAATCCTCACCCGACAACACGCCACCAATGCCACTACTGAAGACACAACCAAAATTTTCCTCCAAAGATACCCATCGCAAGAGCAGCAGCAACTCTCCACTAACAGGACTAGTAATATCCATTTTAATTAAAAAATTAAGACAAATTTTTTAAAAATATAAAATTAAACTATAGAAATTGTATTAAACTTGTGGATGGAATAATTTACTTCTTAATTTCAAGGAAAATTTTTAATTCATTTTATTTATTTATTCCTAATTAAATAAGCAGGCATTTTCATTGTAAATTTCTTTATAATATTTAAACTAAATGATTAAAAAAAAATGAAAAAAAATTTATTAATTTAATTCTTGTTGAAATTCAGTCAGTTCGATGTGGATTTACTTCTTAGTTTCAAAGTTTTTTTTATTTATTTATTGCTAATTAATTAAGCAGTCATTTTTATTGGAAATTCCCTTATAATATTTAAAATAAATAATTGAAAGAAATTAAATAACTTTATTAATTTAATTCCTGTTGAATTTCAGTCACTTCGAAATCTCCTACCACTAATGTCCCCGTGCCACGTTTGCCAGAAACACCAGAGAGGCGAGGAAACAAACACAGAAAGCAGAACTCGTTGAATGACCCCCTGTCTGTGTCCGGATCTTCCCAAACCTCAAGTCGCAAACCCAACATAGTCCTCATCCTGACCGATGACCAGGACGTGGAATTAGGTATTAAAATAAAAAAATTATGATTAAAATAATATTATTTAAAATTTATATTAATTAAATGCAGGTTCACTCCAGTTCATGCCGTTCACGAGCCGTCTGCTAAAGGCCGAAGGTGCAGAATTCAGGCACGCCTATGTGACCACTCCCATGTGCTGCCCATCTCGGTCGTCACTTTTGACGGGGATGCTCGTTCACAATCATCAGGCGAGTTGAGACAAGTTGATCGAAAGATGTCGAGAACTAAGTTTTCTTTCAATGCAGGTGTTCACAAACAACGACAACTGTTCCGGACACACCTGGCAAGCCACACACGAGACCCGCTCATTCGCCACCTACCTTTCCAATTCCGGTTATCGAACAGGTTAAAATTTATTAATTTAATCAAATTTAAGAAGAAAAAAATCGAAATTGGCTCCAGAAAAAAATAGAAATTTAGAATAAAGTTTTAGAATCACTGCAAATTAATTTAATATGCACAATTTTATTTGAAGTTGTGCAAAAATGATCAAAAATTTATTGATTTTATCTACGTGTCTTATTAAATTCTTAACATATTATCTAATTTTTTTTATTTACATTTTATATATATTTATTATTTTTTTTTAAATACTAAAAAACCCCATCAAAGAAAAAAACCCGAATTTAAATTCAAAACCATAAGTTATTACTATTATTTGCAACCATAATAACTAAAAAAAATTATTTGTATGCCTTTTTATGGTTTCCTTCAATCTCAAGACCTACAATATATAGAATGTTATTTAAAATTTTTTGGTGTTGTAATTTAATAATTAAATTTTAGGTTTTAAAGCCAATTAATGTTTTTTTTTTTATAAATATGAACTGGGCCTTTCTTTATATTTCAGGTTATGTTGGAAAATATCTCAACAAGTACAACGGCCACCACATTCCGCCCGGCTGGCGAGAGTGGGCCGCTCTGATAATGAATTCGCGCTACTACAACTACTCGATTAATGTAAATGGCCAACGAATCAAACACGGCAACGATTACGCAAAGGTGAGATCTCTTGAAGAAATAACAAATCGTTTTCTGTAACTAATTTTTGTAGGATTATTACACCGACTTGATAGCGAATGATTCGATCGCCTTTCTCAAGCAGTCCAAGCAGACGTTCAGCAAAAAACCTGTCATGCTGGTTATGAGCTTTCCTGCTCCTCACGGCCCTGAGGACTCGGCGCCTCAATACAGCGATATGTTTTTTAATGTCACCGCTCATCAGTACGCTGACAGTTGATTTTTGTTAAAATAAATTTAATGCCATTAATTTCAGCACGCCATCTTACAACTACGCGCCGAATCCTGACAAGCAGTGGATTTTGCGAGTGACAAACAAAATGCAGCCCATTCACAAGCAATTCACCGATCTTTTGATGACTAAGCGCCTGCAAACGCTGCAATCCGTCGATGCCGCCGTCAAAAGGGTAACAGCCAACAGGTTATTTGCAGCGTCTCATTCGACTTTATAATTCTGCAAGACAGGTTTATGAGACGCTGCTTGACTTGGGTGAATTGGAGAACACGTATATTTTTTACACGTCAGATCACGGCTACCACTTGGGCCAATTCGGGCTTGTCAAAGGCAAAAGCTTCCCATTCGAGTTTGACGTCAAAGTTCCTCTTCTGGTCAGGGGCCCAGGCATCGACCCAGGCACAATGTGAGTGTGGAAATTTTACTAATCGAAATTATAATCATCCCCGAATTCATTTATAGAGTTGATGATGTTGTACTCAATGTCGATCTGGCCCCAACTTTCATTGATCTCTCAGGAGAAGACCCTCCAGGTCATATGGATGGAAGGTCCATTATTCCGCTATTGCACAAAAGTTCCAACAAGGCCAGAAGAAATAAGCATTTGAGGTTTGTTAAATTAAAATGGTAAACTGTTATTTTTCTTATAAAATCTCATTCTAGATACAGATCCTGGCCGGATACATTCCTCATCGAGAGCAGTGGCCGTAGAGAAAAATTTGGGAAACAAGTGCCAAACACTTTGAGTAAGACAGATAGATTAAATAAGGAATGTAAATCACCAGTATTCCAGGCACCTTGCCAACCAAGGCAGAAGTGGTACTGCGTGAAAGAGCATGGAAGGTGAAGCTATTTTTTTTTTTATAAATTTGTACAATTTATAGAACGTTTTGTCTCTAGATGGAGAAAACACAAGTGCAAACCTTCCAATTTGGGCCGCAGTGCTATGAGAAAGGTAAATCGCCGAAAGTGCACCTGCTTTCCGCAGAGCTTGATTCCCAGCCAGTCCCTGATGTTGTCACTGAACCTTCCTGAACAAAAGGTGCAGAGGAACTTTTTACGCACCCACCTTCCTGCGTCGCATCATCACAAAATCATGAGGACCAGGTAACTCTCCTCTTAGACCAACTTGCACCTAAACCAAACTTTCATTCGTATATTTGAAATTGTAGATTTTTAAAAACACCGTTCCTTAGAGTGCAGAGATCCGTCCAGCACAGACGAAGGCGGGGAAAGAGAAATTTGATGGGACTCTTGGATTCATTCGTTGGCGGAGTCACAAAGCAAATGCAGGAGCTCATTCAGGAGAGCAACTCGACATCTGCTTTCACTGCAGCAGAGGTTGTCACTGTCCAGGTAAAAATTTTAAAATTAGAGTAATTTAATTTTTAATTTTTTTGCTGCAGCCAAATGCTACTCGAACTGCTGCGGCCAGGTGCAGGGTCTTAGTCAGCGGAACTGTCAACTGCAGCCGAGCCGTTTACCAAAACAGCAAGCAGTGGCGACGCTCCAAGCAAGACGTCGATGCCCAAATCATGAAACTGAAGGAACAATTGGAAACTTTAAAAGTGAGTTGAAAAACAAACATTTCATCTGATATTTATTTATTTTGAATTTGGTAATAGGAAATTAGAAAGCACCTTCGTGAAAAGAAACCTTACAATGCTCCTGTGGAGGAGGCTGAGGAAGACGGAGAGTCGGAGGAAGACGAAGATGATGACGACAATGACGACGAAAATGAAGACCCTGAAGAAGAGGACGGTGATGACGAAGAAGAGGAGGATTTGTTTACTGAAGACGATTTAGCCACAAGTACAAGTAAATAGTCTTTATTTTAAATTATGAATTAAAATTTATTGTACAAATCTATACAGTTGGCTACTCAACAACCAAAGCTCCAACCACTCCGGGCATATTCCAGACCAAAGAGCCCGTCTTTTCTACTACGACAGCAAAATCTCCTGTCAACTCCACTGCAGCTCCAGTTGAAGCAACACACGGCGTCTCTGCACACAGAGACCGAAACGGAAATGTGTGCATCTGCCAGCCAGAGTGAGTGAAGATTTTTTCTAACAAAATCATAAACATTTATATCAGATTTCAAAATAATTAATTATTTTACTTAAAGTTTGATTTAAGTAATTTTTCCTATTTAATTTATCATTATTTCTTTTAATGTAAAAGAATTCACCAAGCCAAAGAAATAATTTTGATTATTTTTTCAGTCGCATTGCAGAGGCGCGCCGCAGGATGAAAGAGATGAGGTTGAAAAAGAAAGAGCGGAAGATGCGGCGCAAATCTCGACTGGAGATTGAGTGTGTGCACGAAAAGATGAACTGCTTCAGCCACGACAACGACCACTGGAAGACGGAGCCGTTGTGGACGGAGGGTCCGTTTTGCGTTTGCATGAACGCCATCAACAACACGTACTCGTGTCTGCGCACCATCAACGCGACGCACAACTTCTTGTACTGCGAATTCACCACGGGCCACGTCACCTACTACAACCTGCGCATCGACCCTTTTGAGCTGTTCAACCGAGCGCACGAGCTACAGCCGAGAGAATTGACCAGCCTGCAGGCAAGGCTGGCGCAGCTCAAAGACTGCAGGGGTGCCCTGGAGTGCCGAAACAACAACCCGCCCCCGCACAGTGATCCCTACGTCAACGCTGAGGTTTTCAGGCGCAGGAAACCAGGTATCGGAAGATAGACTTTCTTCTATTTCGATAAACAGAACCGCCAATCTGAACTCTAGTTTGGAGCTTGAAATTTCAATTAGGTTTTTTTCTATTAGAAAACATCAAAAGTGTTCAAATTATTCTAGTTTGGTCTCAATTCTTTTCTCCGAAGCTCCTTCTTGAGTTAAAAAAAGCATTCAGTGAGTGAAACATTCCTCAAAATAGCATTTAGAAAATAACTTTTTGCTTGCTGTTTGTTCGTGTCCCTCAATTGCATATATAACTATAGTGCAAGAAAAAAAAATTTTGTGGAGAGAAAGATTTTGGACAAGAAAAGGCGTCCAATTTTCATAGTTACTGTGGCGCAAATCGTCAATTATTATATTATTCTCCTGCCTGGATAAATGGAAGCAGAGAGGCTTTTTCATGATAAGAAATCTCTTTTTATATTTTTTCTATAGCAACTGACAAGTTTGAACGTCGTTTTCTGTGCCAGTGTTTATTTTGGTGCAACGCTTTTCTCTCAGACTATCAAACGCATTATTATACTTTTTATATTTTTTGTGATGCATATTATAATATATTATATTTTACCTTTATTTTCGCTATCAAGCAAGTGTAAACTAATAACAAGCATGTAATATAAAAATAAATAATGAAACACATGCCCAAAAATTCTCAAAAATTTCTCCTTACACAAGTTCAGTCTTTATTTTCCGACTTCTTTCGACAGCAGTAGTCTTTGACGAGCCAAATCAGGGCTGTCAGCATGGTAAAGAAATTAATCGCGATCACCACGTAAATGAAAGAACCCGTCACGTCTCTTATTCTGCCTAAAAAAGAGCAGGAATTTGTTTAAAATTTCAATTACTGGAATTTGGAATTACCATAAACTGGGCCGAGGGTCATAAATGCGATTGACTTCATCACCATCAACAGTCCGATCGCGGAAGGCAGTTTGTGAAGTGGAACGAGCGCGGGCAAAATCAGAGGCATGAAAACCGTTCGCACTCCTTTCGCCATGCCCAGGAAGATTCCGATTGCGATCACATATTCGTAATCCAAGAAAATCATAATTACTGAAAATATCGAATTATTTCAAATTGAAAATATTTTGTGAAAAATTACAAGCGCGGAATAATGAGAGTTGTATGATGCTGATGAGGTACATATTCCTGTTGGAAAATTTGAGAAACTCGCCAATATACGGCGCCAGCAATCTGTAAAATTTCAGAAAATTATTATTATAAAATAATTTTTTTTTTATAATTTTTTACCTAAAAACTAAATCAACTGCGGCTAGAGACGATTGGTACTTTGCAATTTGATACGTATCAAAGCCGTGCACCTCTTTAAAAATAACCGGCGTCAAAAGAAAAAAGTTGATTTCAGCGCAAAACGCAAGGGCGATTCCAGCCGAAGTGATGACATAGGCAGGGTTGGAGAGCAAATCCAGGTCGAAAAATGCAACCACTTTTGCAAAAAACGTTTTCTTATGTTCCACCTTTGGATAATAAAGTATAAAAAATAAATATTATAAATAAAAAAATTTCAACCATTTTGGGAGCATTTTCATCCTCTTCTTTTACATCTGCTAAACTCTGTTCGTCATCAAAGTCTTTCAAACTTCCGGTCACAATCGAATCCTCCCCTGATTCGCAGTCATTTTGAGAAGTTTGTCTTAATTATTTTAAAAATTAAATAAAATGTTTTTATATTAAAAAAAAAATGGAACCTTTGTTGAGATACGCTCCTTCCATATTTTTTCCTATTAGAAAGCTTCGGCGAGTGATCGTCATGGTCTCCATCCGCCACACTGAAAATAGAATTGCCGACATCGACGGAGGTCAGGGTCGTCGTCCGCTTTCGTTTGACCACGAGGGGCTGCGCGACGTCCTTCGTTTCTTTCTGCGCGTCGGTTTGCTCCGGAGCAGGAATTTTGTGCCACAAAACGGGCTGCAGCAGGAGAGACGCGGGCACGCAATGCAGCATCAAGGCCGCCACGATCAGCATCGTGTCCCCTGGGGTGTAGTGCTGAAGCAAGAAGCTGACCGTGAGGGGCATGACGACGGTGCCCACACCGCTGATGGTCACGGCCAGGCCCATGGCGCGCGCTCGCTTTTTGTTGAAGTACGAGTTGATCGAGAAAGAGTTTGCCGGGCTGATCAGCGCAAAGCCCAAACCTGAGTTTTTTTTTTTAAATTTTCATTTAAAAATTCTAATTTTTTTTTCATACCAAAAACGACTCCAAATGAGATGATGAAGTAGGGCATGGTGGTTGCCAATGAGGTGAGATAAGTTCCGCAGAAAAGCAAAAGTGCGCCGTAAACCCCAACTTGCCGGCATGAAAATTTCCTCAGCATGGGCCCATTCAAGAGCCCTGACAATTTTTTTTATGAATTATATTTTATTTTTATTCCATCGTACCTAGACCATTGCACACTGCCGAATTGATGTTCAAAATTAAAGAAAGGTCTGTAGTCGTAATTCCGTAGCCTTTGAATTTCTCAGAGAAAATAAGTGCAAAATTTTGTATGACTCCGATCACAAAGATCTGAAAATTAAATTAAAGCCAAAAGTTTAATTAAATCAATTTTGTCTCACGTGATTGACCCCAAAGGCGAGAACAATGCTCCAGCCCCATCCTCCGTCGGGAGCTTCGAGTTTGATTCCTCTCTCTATGGCTCTTGCACCGAATTTCTTTCCGTGATTTCTGGCCATTTTTCAACCTGCAATCCTAATTCACCACTCTCATGATGTCCCTTTGCCATTAAGCAGTGCAAGGCCCATCCAACTTTTTGCATTATTTGCTTATGATAAGATTTGCGCCGAGGATCGCTCCACTTCTTGTTTTATAAAAAAAAACCAAAGATTATCTGCCGAACACACCTGTTGGCCTTCAAGGAAAAAGGTTAATATTTCGACGAAAAACTGCTTTATTTTCAACCAAGTAATCTCTGACGTTTTTATTGATCAATAATAGGAAATGTTCAATAACTTAATTTTCGTATTTTATCAGTTTGTCGTCATAACATATAATATTTATCATTTAAGTATAATCATATCACAACATTAAGCTTTTGTATAGCTGTTGCGCTATCTCAGCGTAGACAGATTCAATATTGTCAAGGCTGGTGTTTTGATCCCTTATTTTCCTAATGGAAAATTCGACGACTTCTTTCAACTCTGGTGGATTCAGCTTTGCTTGTGCCATTGACTCGAGAGCAGCGATTGCTTGCAGCGTCTGGTCGGTTGGACTGATTGAGTTTTCGTCTTGTAAGCGCCTGAAAATTATAAAAATCAAAACTTTAGGTCTCACCATCTTTAAAAAACAGTTTGATGTTAACAAATAATTTAATTTTTTTCTTCGAAAAAATAAATAAACTTACGTGGATGACGAGCTGAGGTTTCCCAGGGCGCCAGGAGCTTCTGAGATCAGGCGACTCTTGAATTCCTCTCCGCACTTGTAGAACTGGGCCAGAACTAAAGCTGCTGTGACCCTAGCCAAAATCCGCATCCTCACTGAAGCCCGACTTTGCTTCCGCAGCCCAATCGCACCCAGCAAATTCCAGCCCTTGTCTTCTCCAACGACGGTCAGGTGTTGGGAGAATTTGTTGATTTTCTGCATGAACTGGGAGGGAACATTTTCAGACTTTGCTCCTTTTCGAATCAGTTGCAAAACAGCGTTCCATAGGAGAGGAATTTTCTGTTCCGATTCTTCGGAAACTTTGACGACGGCCAGCCAGTCGAGAATGTCTGCAAACGTGTGATCTGGCAGCCCTTGTTTGAGGAGAAAGGCGTAGAGACTCAAGAGCTGGCCTTCTTTGACCAGCAAGTGCTCCAGAGGTTCTTTTCCTGCTTGGAGAGGAACTGCAGGCTGCAGAATTGAGACTGCTCGTGACCAAGACGTGTTTGGCACTAGAAATAATGTAATAAAAAAATAAAATTACTACCTCCAACAATATAAACTGGAAAAATAATAAGTTTCCTTGAAATCTATTGAAATTTCACAACTTGATTATTTAGACTCTTTTAAAATTAAAATATATATTACATTATAGTAAAATTTACCTGATGGGTCTCTGAAAAATGACTCCAAAGTTGCCTCAATCGTCGAACCCAGTGCCTTCTGTTCAGTCACACTGACGCTCAAAGCTTTCAGAAGACCCAAAACCACCACACTTCCACCTGTGTGGCTTGTCAGCCATTCTTGGAGTCCGCAAACCAATATTTCGTTTAAGGGAGAAGTTGTCATGGATCCACTCAGGAGCTCTCCCAAAAGAAGTGCGCTTTCAGATATTTGCTGTGCAGGAGGAACAGCTGTAAATAATAAATTTATTAACATCATTGATAAATTGGCTCAAGAACGTTTACTTTGGAAAACTATCTTTTCGATTTGATTCAGCAGCTTCGAGAAAGCCTTCACAAACGTGGCAGGGTTTTTGGAAATAAGCGCTTTGAAACGCGTCGAGCAGGAAACGAGCAGTTTCGAGCAGGCCCGCACAAAGGCCAGTCTTTTCCTCACTGTGGTCGAGTGGAAATGTTTTGAAGAGGGAGTGAAGCCTGAAAGTTTTTATTAATATTTTTTGATTAATTAATTATTGCTAATCAACCTGCGATTTCTTCAAGTAGTTCGAAAACTGCTACGTCCACTGGGTGAAGCTCAGGGTGGTCTGGCAAAACTACTCTCGGATCCGAGCTCATGACGAACCAATTCAGAACTTGGTCAAAACTACTCGAGTCGACCAAGTGCCACGATAGCTGCTGTTTGCATTCACAGATCAGGGCCACAACTCGAGGGTTTTGCTTGACACTTGGCTCGGAGGACAACTTCACAAGCAGGCCCATCAGACTCAGGTGGTTTCTCTCGTTGGGGAACTTCTGGATCCACATGACCCACGGCACCTGAAGAAAAAAATACATTTCATTTTGGTTCCTCATTTGATTGGTATCTTGGACGCACTTGTATAAATATTGCGCCCAAAAATGGGTGGTTGTGTGGCAAATACTGTTCAGACAGTCTGATCATGGCCTCCATATCGATGGCCCTGGGCCAAAATCTATCCCAGGGCAGCGCCAGGAAGCTATGATGGATGGTGGAGAGGACGTGCTCGGCAGGGTGGGTGAAGTGGATGGCGTAAAATTGAAAGACAAAGCAGAGAGAGTTGGTCGACGCAGGAAGCGTGTCAAGCAGGAAACTCAAAATTCCAACAAAGGCGTCACACATGATCTTGGCGAAGGACGCGTCTTGAGCCGTCCAAGGCAACAGGACGGTCCTGTCGTCCGTCAATTGCTGAATCCACGCAGCTGTCTGGTGGCGCTGGCCAGTGAAGGGCAAAATCCAAGGAGAGAAGAGATCGTTGAGGACGGGCCAAAGTTGTTCCGCAAGGGAGTCCCCGAGGGCGCCACGTCCTTGGTGCAAGGTACCGATCACCAAAGCGTGTCCAATCATGGACAAGAACACACTCAGGGGCTCGATATAAAATCGGTACTTTGGATACACGCCGTGGAGTCCAAACTGAAGACGCTCTTTCATGAAATAAGAGGCAAGCAGGGCAGCCGTTTCACGGATCTAAAATTTGTTTATGAAAATAAATAGAAAAAATTAACTTAAGAATTACGAACCTCGTTCAATCCCAGAAGTCTTTGCTGGGTTGCGTAAAATCTCAGCTGGTCACGAAGGCCATTTCCATGTCGGATACGTTGTTGGTCGTTTGGAGTGAGCGAATCAAGGATGGCCCACCAAATGTCCAGCGAGAGAGTCTGAGCCTCGGACAATTTCAAAGCCATATTTAGGATTTCACCGTAATGCTCAGGAAAGTCATGGAGTAGAATTGCTCGCAAGTGCCTCAAGTAACTCTGCAAAAAAATAATTAAAAAAATATATTCCCGTTTATTCGAAATTTATTTTCACCTCATGCAAGATTAGCCTTCCGTCGGGTGGCTCCTTCCCTGATATTATAAACGCCTGTCCGAGAGATTGGATAAATTGGGAGCGCTCTTTCAGCCTAGGTCTGCTCCTCGTCAGCCACTGTTGCACATCAAACTTGGAAAGAATGGCAAAGCACACGTCTGGATTTGAGGCGGCAACAACTTTCGAGTACATATTCAGGAATGAGGGTGTTGGAGCTAAATGAGGAGAAAAGTGCGGACTGAGGAGTCCAGTGAGATGGGGCGACGCCAAAATTGTTTTTAACAATTTCTCGCACTCTCTTTCATCTTTACTGATAAAATTTTGGCCCAAGAGTTCCAGACAACACGAGAGCAGTTGTTTGGTCGGTGGGTAGAAGGAGATTTCCTCTGTGTGTCTGGCAACCAAATAGTAGAAGACGGCAACGCCCGTGTCCTTAACTCCAGGCTCCATGATTAATTTGTTGATCAAGTTTTCTGCGTAAACAGCCGAGAGGCAAACTTTCTGCGGTGGCGGTTGCAAACTTCGTGCTATCAAATTTGAGTGTTCTTTTCGATTTTGACTTATCTGGTGCTTTGTGCTGGAATTTACTCTTGACTCTCGAACCTAAATTTCATATTAAGTAAAATGTTAAAACTGATCAATGAAATCTTCAACCTGTATTGTGATTCTGAAAGCGCCAGAACACTCTTTGGCGTTGGACTTTTTTCTTGCCGAGAGGTCGCACGATTTCCTCAGTGGTACTTTTACTTCAGTCTCTTTGTAAAATGAGGGGATGAACTCCAGCAGGGTGCAGTCCAAGGCAGCAAGTTCAGAAGTGTGCAAAGCATGAACTCTAATGATGCAAAATTTAAAAAATGATTAAATATGGAAAATTTGTCTTACTGCGCAAATTCCAAGAGAGCTTCAAAGTTGTGCTCTAGATTTGAAAGAGTTACAGCTGGACTCAGAAGCTCTTCCCTTGGAAGGAAAGGGATTGTATTTTTGAAAAACAACAGCTGCGGAGCGGCAACAGGGTGGTCGTACGCTTGAAGGCGACTCAGCATTCTCGAGAGAGCTGTAGTTTGGTCCTCACTCTTGTTACGAGGCACTTTGTAATCGCAACTTCTGCACAGACAAAAGTTTTTTTTATAATTTAATAGCCTAACATTAAGCGTTACCTAAAGTGCTGAATTTTCCAATTTGTGAGCGCTTCTCTTTGTTTTTCTTGCAAATCCTCAACATCTAAGAATTCCAACCAAGGATTCTAAATTGAAAATTATTAGTGAAATTATTGTCACAGCAATTTATTTTACCTGGTCTCCAACGAGAAGTCTTCCAAGTCTGTTCGGATCATATTGTAAAGGTAATGCAGGCAGGTAAAGGTTTTGATCGTGTAGCCGTGTTTCCTCCAACCAGAGGCTGAACGTCCTAAGCAGTCTATGCAACAAAAAATTAAATTCAAGTTGTTTTTTAAATCAGTGATAGATTACCTTGCTGTCTGTCCATGCATAAGTCTTCTTTCCCCACCTTCCTCCTCTGCACCTTCACCAGTGAAACCTGGGTCAGTTGCTCTCGTCTCATAAAACTCGGCAGCATCAACTAGTCTTCTTTTCAGTCTTTTCAGATAACTTGCATTTATTATTCCCTCAAAAAATCTGCATAAAATAAACCATTATAAAGGAATCAAATTTGTTTTAAATGAGCAAAATACTTGAGGCCCATTGATCCTCTGTCTGCTCCGCTATTTTCAGATTGAGGAACCCTCGTCAGGAAGAGGGTGAAAAACTTCTGCCAAAAAATTGGCAACAAAGGGTGGTCAAGTGAGGAATCAAGTGCTTGCTGAGCCCATCTGTAAAGTCCCAAGTACGAAATTGGCACAGGAGCCACTTTTAAAGTGTTTGCAGCTTTCTGAAAATATTCAAAATGAATTGAATTTTTTTTTTTTTTAATAAATGCTGACCTTCATGGCTTGATCGAGATTACTTTTGTTCATGTCAGCAAGCTCTAGTAAGAATTGCTTCCAGAGTCCATTCTTCAATTCATTTTCCTCCTGCTCAACTTCAATCACATAAAGAGCAAGCCAAGGTGCCTCCGAACAAGAAATTTTTCCCAACAGCGAACTTATTCCCGAATTCATTGATACCCAACTCATAATTGATGAAAGAGCATTTCCTAATTTAAATTTATTTCAATAAAATTCAAAACAAGAAATAAATGGTTAACCTTGTTTGGAGATGCCCTGACGGAATAAATCTCTAAATTTATTTTTCGCCACTTCTTTGGAATAGTGGTGAGAAAACGACTCTCGGAGAACAATGTCGAGCAAATGAATGATCGAAGGGTCTCTGTTCCAGTCTGGTAAGCTCAGCAAAAGGGACAGCCACAACTCAGTCAAGGCATGTGGAGATTCCAAGTGATAACTGGAAAATAATTGTTAATATTAACTGATCCTCATTTTTATTTAAAATAAAAACCTACTTTTTGTAATTTAGGAACTGGGCTTGGATCATGTTTGCAACTTGCTTCAAAACAGGGCCAAGTGAGTCAGTCATGATCAAATTTTTGGCCATCTTCACATAACCACGATCTGCAGTGATCAACAGGAGGAATACGCTGGCAAAATCTTTGTTGCTGGTGAGCGAGTCTGCGCAGGGCATGAAAAGTGGCAGAATGAAGTGGAGGCATTCGCAGACGGCGTCGTATTTTCCGTGAGAGAGCAATGTTGAGAGGAGCAGAAATCCTTTGGAACAAACTAGAGGAATGCTGTGGCCCCAAGAGGTGGCAAGCAGAGCAACAAAACAGGCAATGGGCTCCTTATCCTTGACCCCTTTGTGCAGAATTTCTTGGTCTTCCAAATCGCAGACCATGCTCAGCACGTCCACCTGTCGATTTCTGCTGTCATTTGCATGCAGACGAAGGCGAGAGATCATTCCCCAAGCCCAGGAGGTTAAACATTGCTCTGGAGATGATTGACTGCGAACCTGGAATTTTTAAGTTTATTTTAAATTGGAAAATTTTCAAAATAAAAAATATTTGTTAAAAAAAAAGTAAAATCAATTCAATTTTTACCATGGCAGCCAAAGAAGAAACTCCTTCTGCCACAGTTCCGGGGCTGGCAGGCCCAGATTTTTCTGGAGCATGGCGCAAACAGGCATCAACAACAAAGGTGGCGACCTGAAGTTGCACTTGCCACTCGAGCGAGTTCCAGTCAAGTGACCCAAGTATGGAACGAGCCACAGAACTTTGCAGCATGTTCGGGTTGCAAATTATCCACTCGGAAAGAATGTTCATGTCAGCGTCGGCAGGACTCCACAATTTCAGAGGCAATTCTTTCACAAGGTACAAACTCAGCTGCAAATAAATTAGTGAGTCATTTTTTGAGTTAAATTTTTTTTATCATACTGGTCCAATTTTATCCATATTTTCTCTCAGGGCTACCAAAATTGGTGACATCAGATAGGGGTGTTTGTTGACCAAATTCGAGAGTAAACTCCGGCACGTCTTGCTGCACAATTCCTGAGTTTTCTCACTGACAAACCCGACCTAAATGGAGACATCAGATTTTTTTTTATTATTCAATTTTGCCAACGTACCCTGAACAAGTCGAGGGTGATGGTGAGAACAAAGTCTGCGTCTTCAGGTCCTCGCGCCATCGCCATATTGGCAAATGTGTTGAGGAGAAAATAAACCTCTGCCTCCGGCATGGAACTCAGTTTTGACTCAAACTCCTCATTTAGAATAGACATTTCCTTCTTCCAGTCTGTTAAAAAATAATATCAGTTATCACAGCTTAAAATTCATTCAGATGAATTACCTATGTGGTAGTTTGACCAGGTCATTTCTTGCTGATACTCATGGTGAAGAAGGTGGAAAAGCTGCCAGAGGACTTGACAAGAAGCAACATTGTAGGGGATGATGGCCAAAAATTGCCAGGCTCCCAACCTTTGAGATGAAAATATGCACTGGGTAGCTCGCAGAAGCAGATTATCATATTCAACCTTTGTTAATTTATCACGAAATTAAATTTCAAAATTTATTTATTTGATCTTTTTGTACCTGCAGCCGCGCCAAGATGTTTGGATTGTGGCCTCTTTGACTGGCGCCAACTCTGAAAATTTCCCATACGTCGGACACATATTGAACTGTGTGTCTGACCAGGCGGCTGAGTCTTTTTGCAAACTGTCTGTATCTCTGCGAGTCGTAGGTTTTGAGACCTTTTCCCAGCAGCAGGACTAGGGAGGAAGCAAATGCCATGAGGCGGAGCAAACTACTTTCCGAGGCGCTTTCTGGGAAATAAATTTCCACGCCGTCCTTTCTTTGAATGCCGAGGACGTGTCGGAAGATTCCATCAATTGGAACTTGGTTCAAAAGAGCAACGAGGTCGTTCTCCGCCAGGCCACTCTGCACCTCCTCCTCTCCATCCTCGTCAACAAGAACCCAACAAGGGTCCTCTTGGCATTTCTCGATCTTGACTGGTGGCTCCATAAGAACTGCCAGCACAGCCACTGCATGGTCCAGCAGGGCTGAATTTGTGCTCGGATAAGACTCGATTATGTTTTTCAAAGGAACCTGCAAGTTGAATTTTAAATCAAATTAAATGAAATATCATGGTTTACCTGAATTAGAGGAGTTGCCCACTGGGTCACTCCTGGGGGGTTGAACAAGACGTGCAAGAGCAGAAAAATGTGGTCCTTGGCCGTAGCAACTCTGAGCAGAGTGGCGCCGAGTCTCAAAATCCAATCCCTACAGTTTTTCATGAAAACGGCGTCCTTGGTTTGTTTGCGGCTGAAGAGGAAGAGGACGGAAAGTGCATCCCACAAGGCTGTTGCTGGGGGTCTTGGCGGCAGCAGCTGCACTGGCGAATTTTGTGGCACATTTGCATAGAGGATCAACGTTTCTTGCAGCAGTTGCTCAATCTTGGGAGAAAAAATAAGTTTAACTCTGATATTATTTATTTAAAAAAAAATCCCATTCCTACCTGCAGCCGAAGGACCTCAGCCCTGTAAGCGTGCAAACTGATATTTTCATTCAAGACGCTCCTGATTGAAGACAAACTCCTCCCCAAAGCATTCAAACCCTCTTGACTCATCTCGGCTGTGGGGTAGGTGTGCGAAACAAAAACGTTATTTCCGTCCAGGCACTTTCCTGATTCGCGGACCACCGTCTCCCCCGGTGTCCAAATACTGTCCTGTTTCGCTCTAGCCTCGTTTGTCATCTGATCAAGTTCCATTTGTCCGCTGAGCAGTTTTGTCCTGGCCCGAAGGTACGAAGAAAGAAGTTCGTAGAGAGGATGGGACTGGAGCCCCTTTTGGGTTTCGTAAAACTCGGAGACAAACTCCTTGGTCATGGCAACTTCGTAATTGTGGTACAGCGTGGACAGCTGGGCGTCGTTCATTGGCGTGACTTCTCGCAGCAGCTCCTCATTCAAAAAAGGTTCTGGTGGGGCCTCGGGTGCTGTTGGCTCGGGCAGAAGATCTTCCACAGGGAGGAAGGGGTAGAGTTGTGCGGGGGCCGTTGGACTGGCTGTGACGTTCATCTCCAAGGTCTTTATTTCCTCCGTGCTGAGGGATAGGTCGTGGAAATTGGTCAACTCTGCCTCCTCCTCAGGTGCAGTTTGCTCTTCACTCGACTCGAGAAGGTCATTTTTGCTGATCTCTTCCACAGCTTCAACGAGGGCAGCTGGCTCTGTGGAATTTGTGCTCTGCTCACACGAAGACTCTGCAGCATTTTCTTCAAAAGATTCAACTTCATTTTTGAGCAGTGCTGCTATCTCAGGAGATAAAATTGGCTCAAAGTTCGGCTCCGAGGGTTCCCCAATTTCTTCAGCCTCCTCAGATTTTTTTCGGACCTAGAAAAATAAAATTTAATTATGCATATAAACGCCAGACATGCTTACATAATTTATTTATAAAGCTTGCGTACGAATGCAACTGCATTGCGAAAGTGCAACGAGATGCAATTTTCATATGACTTTTCCCATGAAAATTTATCGAGCGAGTAAAAATCGTTAAAATTTTGCAGACAGCGTAATTAGATGCAGCTCCAAGTTCTCAAAATTAATAACAAATAATTTGTTGGACAAAAGTTCCTAGTTACCTTTTTGGAGCGCCTTTTTACTTGCACTTTTTCCATTTCTAGTGGCAAGAGAACAGGTTTGACTTGTCAAACGTCGCCATTAGTCACATGCTTCGCAGCTGTGTTGACGTCCGTTGTGATTGGCGGACGCGTCTTATCCTTGACCGTGATTGGTTTAAAGAAGCGGTAATTTAAGCGTTTGTTTGAAAGTTTCAGTGGCAACCTTTTGATATTGCGCGAAGGTTTATATACATATTTTTGTCTCAAATCATCAAAAATTTAATTGTTCACCATTTCAAAATTTATAATACAAGGTGGGCGAATGAATTATAAAAGAATACTGTTCATTTTATAAAAGTATTCATGAGATTCCTCTTTTTGAATGCAATAGATGTTTTTATTGTCTTAAAAAATTATTTGCATATTCAAATTATAAAATTCCAGAAGTGTAGAAATCACCGTTTGACATTGAAAGGGTCTTCTAGAGGCGCACCAACGACTTTGGTGCTGTCTCCTTCGGACATGGAAAATACTTTCAAATTCACATTTAAATCACTAGAAGGGGACGGAGTGGCTGGCACTTGTTTTTGTTTTGATTTGCTCGGAACAACTTGTTGAACGACAGGCTTGACCTCCCCAGCTTCTGTTGCTGGCTCTACTTCCAGAACCAAACACTGGAAGCTTCGAAGCTTCTCGGAAACCTGAATTTCAATTACACATGTTATCCAAAATTTTACTTTTTAGCACGCTGCAGTTCTAATTTTATTTCACTACACTTATACTATGAGATTAACCTCTTTGATTCCTTCTAAAGCATGTTTGATATGGTTTTCGGCGCTGATGTTGATTGAATCGAGGATGGCCAAGTGGTGGTTCAACTGCACTTGACTATCCTTAATTAGTTGGACAGCTCTGTTAAGTTCAGTCATCACCAAAACAGGATCCTGATATAAAATAAAATTTAAAAAATTGAAGGAAAAGTATATTAAATAGCTACATTCGGAGGGAATCCTTCAACAATACTATTGTCAGCGTTGGCGTCCGAGGCGACTGGCTGTTTACCCCACCTGCCTCCAGAAATTTTTCCAAACCTGAAATCGAAACAGAATTTAGATGGAAAATTTTGACAAATTATTAATAATATTACCTTTTGATTGATAGCGAGTTACTTTTTTTGGCAGTTTTGCCTTTTTTATCATTAGATGTTTGGGGATCACAGACAGGCGCTTTAGGTGCCTAAATTTATTTCCATTAGTAATATGATATTTTTAACACAAATTTGTTAGACCTTAGATTGAGTGTTGTTTGCTTGTTTAACATTTACAGGGCCTCTATTTAGATTCGTCTGGCCACCGATTGTAATCACAGGCAAGTTTTGGAAACTAGTGGTTGCTGGGAGGCAGTATTTCTGAAAGCAAATATGTATAAATATAAAAATCAACACGAGTTTCCGACAAGAAGTTACGTCCGGCTCCTTCAGATACAGGGAATGTTCAATGATATTAGTAATATCCACAGCTCCTGGGTATCTCATGAGCAAAGTAAGGCAAACGGTATTGTCTCCAGCCATCACTATATTAAAAAAAAATATTTTACTTTAGTTTTAGTCGAAAACAAAAAGTATAGAATAATTACATTGATGCTTGATTGCTATTAACATTGCTACCACGATGAAATCAACCAGTTCAAATTTGCTCCCGTTGAATTCGGCAAAAATGGCATCCCAGAGCACAAGCAAATCTTGCAGAGGGAACTCTCGGCCAAACAGGAGTCGCAACCAACGACTGAAACAATTCCGATTATGAAGAATCAACCAAAATCCATAGAATTTTTAAGCATACATTCCAAAGAGAGTTAATGGAATGTCTAATTTGACCAGATGATTTGCCAACTCAGGATCCTTTGGAACCAGAATGTTGTCGTGAATGTAGTTTAATTGTGCGAGCAGTTCATTGTCATGTTTGCTATCTCTTCGCTTCGACAGGACCTTTGGATGAAAAATTATTAAAATCATACATAATTCTGAAGTGAATTAATTTACCTCTTTGCAAGTTTCATAAGGAAAATGTCCAGTGCTGGACGGAGCGACGTTGCTGATTCTGTAGCTGGATTCAATTGCACTCATAATTCGGCAGAAAAGAGTACTAAAAATTATTTCAATTTTAATGGAAAGAAATGTATTTTAGCACTAAAAAAACAATATAAATTAAAATAATTTAATAAATATTGAAGGAAATGAATTATAGATTAATTCTATCAAACTGCATGGAACCAAAAAAAATTATTGAGAAAATTAGGTTTTTGTTACTCTGGACTAAAATCATGTTAAAGAAAGAAAAATTGTTCATTTATGTTGAAATTGAATTTCTTACTAGGCGTCTGCTTCTAGATTTTGAGGGTCGAGGACCTGAATGATTTCGCTCATGACGGGGGCATGTTCTCTGGCATGCATCAGTGCTTGGTGGTCAGAGTGTAGGACAAACAACAGGGGGGCCAGGATTTCATGCATGCCCTGAAATTCAAACTGCAAAATCTGCTCGTAAAATACTTTTCCATTTGACCCACCTGTCGGTAGCACATGTCAGGGTTGGTCCTGGCGTAGCAAAAGAGGATGGCGACCATTTTTTCCTGGATGGACTTTTCCCTGAAGAAGTCGATGCCAGGGAAGGTGCGCACCACGTCCTGTCTGATCACAGCCTGCAGCTCCTTGTTGCAGAAGAACTTGTGCCAGGTGCTGCTGTCGTCCTGACTCAGAGGGTTGTCTTCGCCCGTCAAGGGGTTGATGGGGGTGACGTGGTGGACTTCGGAGAGTCTGCCGTAGTGTTCCCTTTGGGCCAGCAGAACAGACGACCACGCTTCTGGACATGGTGGCAGCAGCCGCAGCATCAGCCGCCAACTCACACTCCGAAACCTTGAGGACCTCAGGTTTCCGATCAGGGCCCTTCGACGCAACTCGCCCAACTCGTCCTCGCAGGCATCTTTTCGCAACATTAACCATTCTTTCCTGTGAACATTATGATTTTTAACAATTTTCAACATTTTGAATTGTTTAATTTTTTTTTTTCATTAATAAAAAGTTAAATATTTCCAACTAATTTGAAGCATTATTTTGAGCAAAAAGGTTTAACTAATTTCTACAGCTTAAATCTGTTTAATTTGAGTTAATTAAAATTTAAAATTATAATTGTTAAAATATTAATTTTTAAAAATTGGAATTTATAATTTAAATTCAATTATTTTACAATTAAAGTCAATAAAGAATAAAAAAAAATAAAAATATAAAAATTAAAGAAATAAAAAATTAAATGTAAATAATTTATTTAGTAATTTAATAATATAATAATTTATTTGAATTGTTTTTATTAATATTTTAACTAAAAAACAATTGTTATTTCATAATATTTGATACAATATTTATATTTTTAATCAATTATAAAAAATTAAAATGATTAAATTAATTCAATTATAAAAATAATAATGTTATTTTTCTAAAAAGTGTCTAAATTAAGTTAAAAATGTCTTATTTAATGGATTTTTCCAGCCTCATTTAAACCTGTCTTAAAGTCAGAAATTTCTCTTTACTTGATTTATTTTTATTTCATGCAATATTATTAAGCTCAAAATTACTCACTCATATTTTGCCACCACAGCAGCATTGACTGAATCCTGAAAAACAAAATCGTTTTTCAATTCCAACGTTTCGTCCAGGGCTTCTTCCCCACTAGTGACGTTGACATCCTTCAAATATTTTTGTTGAATAAAATTATAAGGGTTAAAATATTCGATTATTCACCTCGACTCTCTCAATTTCAGCAGCCAAATGCTCCTCGGCTCCAGACTCCATGTTTATTAATTAATCGCTTCTACAATTTTGCCTCAAATTTTCACCGCTCCCTGGCAAACCTTGAGAACAATAGATAATTTTAATACACATGCTGATAAAATTGTTTATTTTCTTTCGAACGTTCATTAACAGGACCAGGAGAATGTTCGATTTTTTTTTAAATGTAATTTACTTCTAACTTCTAATTCTCCATAAGAATAAAAACAGCACAATAAATTTCATTAGAATTTCAAAAAAATTCATACATTATTTATTTTATTTATGTACTTTGTTAATACGATAAAATGTAGCAAACGTCAAAAGTTCAGTCAAACTTTTTGAAGGCACAAAGTACAAAAATACTTTCAAAGACCAGCTCGGATTCTCTACAAATATCAATCAACAGAGAGATCAGGTCAAAATTGTAACTGGGAGCAATACCTGCGTGTGAATGATTTCCTCCGATAAAATTGTGTTGTTGTTTTTATCGTGATAATTGAGACATAATTTCGTTTCTTCGCAAACAGCTCGCCAGACACAGATGATCAGAATCGGAACGCAAAACATACACAGATCACGTGTGTTTGGTTTGGTCACGTGACCTGAGGGGGACGGGGAGTTGGATTTTTAACCACATTTGGCGCGCTTTAAATTCCCAGATTGCCGAGCATATTGTTTTTTGAATAAAGAATAAATCACAAAATTTGCTAACTTCGCATTAAAAACTTTCCTATTAAAAAAATAACTTTCTATTTCTAGTTTTTGATAAGCTCATTTTTTTGCTTTGAAAAAAAAAATCCAGAGAAAATCATGGCAAGAATGAATTGAAGGGATGTGTCGTTATTATTATTATATTGAAATTATTTCCAGTATTTTGTGTCTTGTATCATCAATACTGAGTTAATTTGAAAACACAATTTGTAGATATTCGTGCTATCTAAAAAAACAAATGTATGTATTTACATTACGTATTGTTGCTTATTTGTTATTTGTCCGTCCAAATTGTTACAAAAATTTAGAAAAAAACCCAGAAAAAACCATATTTGAGAGGGAAATATTGAACGGGATTGAAAAAGTTGTAAATACTGGAATATGCACCTTAAAACACGAATTATGATTTCATTTATAAACTAAAAATAAAGTTAAATCTTAAATCGTTAAAAAAACTGATTGTTTTAAGAAAATTCATAATCTACTCGATTATATCATGTCAAATAAGATTAATACGTGTTGGGCTGCAGAGATTTTGGCCAACATGTTATTAAAAAACGACAAAGAATTATATTCAAAGAGTTTTTTTTCCCCTCAATTATATATTCGCAATAAAACGCAGGATGTTTTCTCTCGCTGTCAAAACAAAATTACTGAGAATTGAAATATGCTTTTTATGTGCGTTGGTGAGCACACAATAGCGGAATTAAAATTTCGCAAGTCATTCAAGTGCGATTTTGTATTTACGCACCATCATTGGGAAATTAGAATTAAACTATTTGATTTGAGCCTAGGCTATAAAAACGCTGGAGGGACCTGCAGGCGTAAATAGATGTGTCCTGGTGTCCTATCGTTGGCAAACATGAGGTTAAAGTGTATGAATTTGTTTTTCATAGCCGTACTTTTCGTACAATCTGGCTCGGCTCACAAACTTTTTAAGAGACAGACCACAGGTAAAATTAAATTAATTTAATTAATTATTATGTAATTTGCGCTTTTTTCGCCCTTTTAAACGTAAATTTTTATGAATTAAAAAAAATTTTGGTTTTAATTAATTTCAACAATTTTATAAGTATATAAATAAAAAATGTAATTTGTGCTTTTTATGATACTTTTTAGAGTAATCAGAAAAGAAAAGCGCTTTCTATAAAAATTATTTAAAACAGCAGAAAAGTAATAAGTTGAAAAAATGTGCAAATTATCTTGCTGATTTGTAATATTGGGAATTATTATTATTGTTATTGCAACTATTTATTGTCTTTTATTCTCTACACAATTTCAATTTGTCACAAAGGTTGAAAATATTTAAAATAATTTTGATGAAAAACAAGTAAAACAAATTTTATAGAATTCGAATCTATTTTAACTAAAACTTCTCTTAAATTAAACTTTGATGGACTAACAGATTTTCGAGTTCAAATTAAGGTCATTTTTCTATTATTTTTGTCGTTTTTTTGTCCAAATTGTTATTTTTCAGAGTAAAATTGATAAAATATCATACCAGAAACTTCAACAATTAAAATGAAAAAAAAAAATAATAATAATTAACTGACCAAATTTAAAGGTTGCTCCATCAATCTGGAGACGGACCTGCCCTTGTACCAACCGTTGATGCTGAAGCAAGGCGCGACCACCAAAGACCTGTACTCGTTCCTTTTGCCCGACCTGCAGGGCAACCTGGTCCTGGCGGCGAACGCGCCCCTGCGCGTGGCGTGCGCCGGCAAGAGCAACGTGATCGCCAAGCTCGGCGTGGCGGACGCGGGCGCGACCTGCGCCGGCACCAAGAGCCTCAAGATGAGCACGGGCACCACCCTGAACTCGATCGACCTGAACTGCACAGGCTTCGTGGCGCACTCGGCCGTCAAGAGCACGACGGAAAAGTGCGAGATCGCCGGCGACTACGTCGTGATCAACATCGGCTTCCAACTGGCCGACGGTTTTTACCCCATCATCAAAATTTGCTTCGACGAGAAAAATCGGGACGCGATTTACTCCAAGTATTTGGAGACGCCGTCCATCGCCGGACAGAACGTTGCCGAGCAAAGACCGGCCTTTGTCGAGGGCAGCTTTTACCCTGAGTTCACCGTCGACACCAAATATTCCAAGGTATGAAAAGTTTTTTAATTTCAATTTTGTTAAGAGATGATTAATGGCTTCTAAATTCTATTTCATGAATTTGGCTGAAACAATCGAATTAAAAAATTTATATAAAATAATTAAATTCCTCGACTTTGTTAAATTCGTTTTTTATTTGGGTGGTTTCATTATATAGATTTTAATCAAATTGGCCCAAAAATGACCTATCTTGATTTTCACTCGAAAATTTCGGGTACTTTTCCGGGAAATAAAATTTCCGAAAAAATGCGATAAGAAACAGAAAATATTGAATATCTTTGCTTCTATTTTGAAATTGAGTAAGTTCTCTTCGGTGCTAGACGTAAAATTTAACGTCCAACAACTTTTCTGTTGCCAACTTTTGTGTAGGTCAAAGGTTAAGGTCACTAAATTGCAAATTTCACTTTCTGACGCAATTTTCGCAAAGATGCACCCCTCAAATATTTTTCGGGGTATAAGAAGTGTGTAGCCCGAAGTGTGTAAAACAAAATCCTTGATTTTCAAAATGGGACTATTTTTTGTTTTTGAGATATTTTTAAATAAATTTTAAAAAGCAGACAAAAATAGCTTTTTTGCATTGAAAAATACTTTTTTAAATTCATTTATAAGTATCTCAAAAATAAAAAATAACCCCATTTTGAAAATCAAGGGTTTTGTTCTACACAATTGGGGCTAAATTTTTTCCTATACTCTCAAAAATATTTGAGGGGTGCATATTTGCGAAAATTGAGTTATAAAGTGAAATTTGCAATTTAGTGACCTCGACCTTTGACCTACACAAAAGTTGTCGACGAAAAAGTTGTCGGGCGTAAAAAGTTACGTCTAGAAATAAAGTGAGCATACTTATTTTCTAAACAGAAACAAAAATATTCAATATTTTATGTTTTTTTGGAAATTTGATTTCCCGGAAAAGTGCCCAAAATTTTCAAGTGAAATTTTAGGGAGCAAAGCGTCTTATCTACCCCAACAACGTATGTGAAGATCGGGATGGGGTCCTTTCATGAACAATTTTTGCCAAATCTATCGTGAAACCACCCATTTTCATTTTGTTTCTAACAAATTCCGTCAAATTTAAAATTATTTAATAATTAAAAATTATAAAGTGCCATTCAATTTTTTTTCCTATAAAAAAGATTAAATTTTAGACAACACAAAAAACTACCTTTGGCCAAATTTTGGGCTCTGCAACCCTTGGTACAAATTACATCAAAGACATCGATTACTACCTGGCGCGGGGACATTTGGCTGCCAGGTCGGACTTCATTTACGCCACCCAACAAAGGGCAACCTTCTGGTACATCAACACAGCCCCCCAGTGGCAGACCTTCAACGGCGGAAACTGGAACACCCTCGAAGACAATTTGAGAAAGTATATTTCTAATAATTAAAACTCATTTTATATTTTATTATTAAAAATTTTCAAAATTATAGCTTTGTGGTCCGATACGGCCGCGAAATCACGATGTACGTGGGCACGCACGGCTTGGCCACCCTGCCGGACACCAACGGCCAGCAGAAGGGGCTGTACCTGCACTTTGACCCGACCGGCGCCACCACCCCGAAGATCAAAGTGCCCGAGCTCTTCTGGAAGGTCATGTACGACGCGTCGGCCAAGAAGGCCGTTGCCTTTGTGGGGGTGAACAACCCCTACAAGACCAGCGTCACCAAATTGTGTACGGACGTGTGCAGTAAACTCACCTGGCTCACTTGGCAGCCGACGAACCAGAAATTAGGGTTCGCTTACTGCTGCGAGCTCAACGACCTCAGGAAAAACGTTCCCTCCATCCCTGCTCTTGACGCGACCGCTCTACTTGTCTAAAAATTTGTATGATATTTTAAGAAAATAAAAACAAATTTACCGCTTTTAAATAAACTTTCTTTATTTGTCAAATAAAATTTATCAATAAATACGGGTAAAAGTTTTTGGCACATTGGTTTTTTTATATCTTTGAATAATTTAATTAGCTTAAAAATTTAATTAATTTTTATAAAATCAAGATGAGGCGAAAAAAATTCCTAAAATTTTTAATTACCATTTCACAGTAAGTGAAAACCACAATATCAAAACATCGATGTGGTTTTCTATTAAAGAATAGAGGTCAAAAACCTAAACATAAACAAAATGGGTATCCACATCCTGGATATATAGAATGGTTTGCGGTTTAAACCACACATTGGTCAAAGAAATTTATTTAAATTAATTCTTGCCTTTTCCAAAGGACTGGTCGAGACTGGTTTTAAATTAATTTTCTTTCAATCGTCAGACTAGAAGTCCCGAGATTCTTAAACTGGGAATAGTCGGAATGGACTTTTGCAAGTCCTTCACCTCGCAGCAATAACTGAAGCCGAGCTTCTGATTTTTCGGCTGCCAAGTGAGCCAGTCGATCTGGTCGCAGACGTCGTCACACAGTTTTGAGACGGAGCTTTTGTAGGGGTTGTTGACTCCGACGAAAGCGATACCCAGTCCCGTCGATGGTTCCACGACCACTTTCCAAAACAACTCGGGCACCTTAATTTTTGCGCTGGATCCGTCAACAGAGAGGAACAAAGGTGTCTCTCGACCTTTAGCGTCCGGAAGGGTTGCGATTCCGTGCGTCCCAGTGTAGACGACCAGTTCGTGGCCACCCTTTCTCGACGCAAATCTAAAAAAAATATTTGATTTTTTTTTAATAAATAAATTTGCCTTTAAAAAATTTTTCAAACTTTCTGACGTTGTCCTCCAGGGTGTTCCAGTTGCCACCGTTGAACGTCTGCCACTGGGGGGCCACGTTGACGTACCAGAAAGTGGCCCTTTGGTGCGACGAGAAGACGAAATCGGCCCTGGCGGCCAGGTGGCCTCTCGCCAGGTAATAGTCGCCCGCGCCTATGTACTTGTTGGCCAATTCCTGCGAGCCGAGGAGTTGGGCCAAGGTCGCCCTTTGACCCTCCTTCACGTACTTGCTGTTGACGCTGATGTCAGGGTAGAAGGGACCTTCGACAAACAGGGGTCGCTGCTCACCGATTTGGGCGCCGCCGATTGAGGGGCTCATTTTGAATCGGGCGTAGATTGCGTCTTTGTTGACGGCGTCGAAACACGTTTTCAGCACGGGGATTAAGGTGCCGTTTGCAAGTTCAAAGCCCACGTCTATCACCTTAGAAGAAAAAGTTCAATAAAAGACATTGATAAATAAATAATTTCAGATTTAAAATTAAAAATGCAATTTGGTCTCCTATTTCCAAAGTAAAAATTTCAAATGTATGAGATTTGTTAAAAATATTTAATCATACACCAAATGAGCTAAAAAATTATACTTAAAACTTGTTATTTTAAGTTAAAATGCAAAATATATTTTCCTAATAATGACTAGAAAAGAAAAAAAAATGGAAAATTACAGCGATTATAAAAATAATAATGTATATTTCATCAGTTCTCATCAAATTTGTGATTTGAATAATATTTCTAATTTTTATAAAATGTATGTAATTTTACTAATTTTTTAATCTTTCATTAAATCAAACCAAATCATTACAGAATAAATAATTTTGCATATTCAAATACCTGGTAATTTCCAGGCACCTCGCATTTTTCTTTGTCGTTTTTGCGCGCCGAGTGTTGCACGAGCGAGGCGCAGTCGAGGTCCTTGATCGGAAGGCGCTTGTCCGGCGAAACGTTCATTTCGTTGCCGCCTCCGCAGGAAACGACCGCCTCCTTGGCCCCCAGCTTGGCCAGGGTGTTGTCCTTGCCGGGACAAGAGAGACTGACGAACTGCCCTGGCTGCAGGTGCAACACGCCCTGCGCATCGGGCAATACGAAGCGACCGGCGACGCTCAAAAACAGCGGCTGGTTTCGTGGCAAGTCTTTTTTTACGTTTATTTCGCACGAACCCCCTGTTTATCAACAATCGAGGCAATCGTAAGAATAGGCAGTTTGTTTTATTTTATCATAAATAATATAAAAATCTGTACGCAGTTATTAATTAAATAAATTTCAAAATGTAAAACTTATGAAAAAAGAAAAAATTAATATTGAAAAATAAATAAATAAATACAGTTGAAAGAAAAGATTATTAAATGAGAAATGATTGACCATAATATAAATAAATTGCATCACCATCATTGTTTGCAAAAGCAGCAGAGAAGTACGGCTCTTGTTTATTATTTTCAACAGAAAAAAAGCTTCTCCTGTAGCGACTTCCAGCTTTTTTTTTTAAATTTTAATTATAACCAATTAGCGAAATATAATTTTTTTTACCTGAAATATATTGAGGTTTATTCGGCGTTGCTGGTTTTCGGACGCCCGCGTCTCTGGCAAGGGCGCCGCACCCCAGCAAAAGAAATGACACCAGCAAACAACGCAGCCCCATCTCAAAAAAAGTCGGCGCCGATTGTAATTACAACGAAAACACGACGCTGAAGTAACGTCGACGCGTCTCGCCGCTCGAGTGATATTATTAGTCACTTTGCACACAAAACGGTCACGCAACGGTGGGAGAGAACGAGCGAGCGGCGCATGACGGCCGCGGGAGGTGACGTGGTCCATTTATCATTCATTGCAACGTAAAAGAGCGATGCTCTCGCTAATACGGACGCTGAGGTAGCTGAGATTGCAGAGAAATAACTGTTCAAGTGTTAAACAAGGAGCACTTTTTTCTTGATCAATGCAAAACAAAACATTAAAAACAAAAAGAATGGGACTAATTTTTCCATAGTTTCTCATGAAATATTTTTCCTTCCATTCAAACTATTCAGCGGAAAAATTACAAGATATTCAAAAATTATGAAATTTCACAATTTCAATACAATAGAGAAAATGGATAATTTAATTAAAATATATTTTTTTAAATAGGTTGGTAATTGAATTTGTTAGTTTTAAGATTTTAATTTTTATTCAATTTAATTTTCTCCAAACAAGTCAGAACAATCAATAAATGTTAAAATGAGGTGTTTTTTTTTTTAATTTTGCTGATTTTTTTTTGTATTTTTCTTGCTAATGAAATAAGGTCGCAGACCGAGACCGAAACTGGTAGAGCCATTTGTTTTTTAATAATAAAATTAATTTTTGCAACAAGGAAAATTCCAATCTCTTCATTTATATTTTTTTAAGTAATGCCCAAGGAAGATTTTATATATTTTAATTTGAAGGAATCGTTCACCAAATACAAACCAATGCAGAAAGCAGCTCCATGCTCCATGCTTATCGACACTGCCAAGTATCTCTTGCAAAACAGATGAAGCTGTCGGCGCCCGACAAAACCAATTTACATACATATCATGTATCATGTTGCTGTGGATGAGACTGCAAATACTAATTGTTCAGCAAATAAAAATAGTTTAATTTTTCTATCCGACAAAAGGTGAATTAATTTAGAAAGAAAAGGAAAAGATTTTTCCTTACTAAATATTGGTCCTAATTTTTATTTCTTAAAAGTTTCTAATTTTTTTCTAACATAATTGCCAATCTCTTTGTAAAAAAGCTTAAAAATTGATACAATTTTTTTTTGTTCTTCCATGCAAAATAAATAATTAAAATTTTTATAAAAAAGGTCATTCAAGCGGCAAGTTTTATTCAATTAATATTTAAATTTTTCCATTTAAATCAAAACGGCTCATTTAAATTTTTTTTTTAAATTATAAACTTTAAAATTTGTGGTACAAAATTCGAGTGGAAATTCTCTTGTTCTTTTCCATCATTAGCTCTTCCTTTTCCTCCGGCGAGAAGGCAACGGCGGCTCGTCGCTCGAGTACGATTCGAACAGGTGGCCGTGCACATTCTTGATGTGTCTCTTGAGGTGACTCACCCTGCTGAGCACCGATTTGCATATGGGGCACGTCGACTTGCCCAGGTGCATGCTCACGTGGCGCTGGCACGACTTCTTGTCGCGGAATTCGCGCGAGCAAATTTTGCACACGCAGTCTCCGGAAGTGGTGATTTTGGCCATTTTCGGTTCTTCAGTCTGCTCGTTGAGGAAGTCGCTGGGGTCGATGCCAAACGAGTCGTCCAAGTCCAGCGGATCCATTTCTGAAAAATTAACATTGCATTCCGTTCAATTCATTGTTGCCGCATATGTTTGAAATTTACTTAGCAAGCGAGCTAATTCCGTCTACACTGTAAAAAAACTTCTCAAACTTCAATTCAATCATCCCAACCTTATCCCATAAAATCAATATAAATTTTTTATGTCGACTGACCTAGTGATTTTATTTTTCCATCTTAATTAGGGTCATTTTGATTTTCTGAAAATTTTAATTCATTTTGAACGGGCCAATTTTGAGTAAAAAATTATTTTTAGAAAATTCCCATGAGAAAGACTGTTAAGTTTAAAAATTCAGTTTGAATTTAATTTTTTTTTTTTACTGTGTCCTGTTGGAACTGAAATCTGACTGAAATCAAAAAGTCAATGCTAGTTTAGAGAAAACTGACCATTAAAATTAATCTGGCCGGTTGTTTGCCAAAGCCTCTCCATAACAAACGTCGTAAAATTTTTGGATTGATATTTTTTTAGTACTTTATTTTTTAATTTGAGGGCCTAATTCTCCATAATTATTTATTAGAAAACGTGTAATTAAAATGCGGAGTTAAAATTTAGATTTTTTTTTTATTCCCATTCAGCTGAGACAGTCTTGATAAACGGCAAAAATTACACATTAATTAAGGTTCAGAAAAAAGGGAAACATTCTAAAAACAGGACAAATTATTTTAGTTATACTTTTCGGAAAAGGCTGTGGAAATGTTTTTGACAGTTTTTTAGCTTAACAAACATTCACTTATGCCTTGCATAGTGGTGGACTTGTGTGTGGCAGGTCATAAATAATTACAAATATCACAACATAGACTCATGTTTTCAATTTTTGTTTCATTTATTATCGACTGTTTTGCAAGAAAAGTTTTAAATTCTAAAAGAAAGAAAAGGTTGTAATTTTTAAAACGAAAATTTAAAAAAAGTACAATAAAATTTTGTGTTCTTATTTTAATGATTCGATCATTATGCATGAGAATAAGTGAAAAATCCATAATGAGTTCTGAGCATAAGTTTAAGCACAAATTATTCTTTTTTCTTTATTTTTCTCATCATAAGCTGAGTTTTTTTTATAATTGAAATTAATTTGATGGTAATTACGACATAGTTTTCATAAATTGAAACCTTTCAATTGCGTTTTTATTTTGTATGAAATAAAATAAAAATCACATATTATCTGAAAGGGCGGAGAGATCCTGAAGAAATAGTAAAATTCTCATGACATTTACGATTTGCTTTTTTCTGATCTACAAATTTAAATTTGGCCAAATATCTACGGATTTTATGTCATATTTCTTTGATAATTTACAAAAATTAAAATTCATTTCTTTTCACCATTTTTATTTATTTATTTTTTTTAATAAATTTATTTCCCTCCATCTGCAATCGTTGAAAAATTACAAAAAAAAATATATAATAATTATTGAAGAGAGCAGAAATTAACTTTTAAAATTTGTACAATATTGTATTTATTTACTGTTTTTTTTTTTTTTTATATATAAAACTGTAATTTCATGCTAAAGTCTAATAAATCCATTTTTAACGTTTTATTCTACGCGTAGAAGTTAATTTCACAGCAATCCAGTTTTATAATATTTTTATCGACAAAATACTCATCTATTTTTAAATTTGCAAAGTTCCGAAAATTTAAAATTTTCTCTCATACGAAGAAACTTTCGGGCGGAAGGTTTTCGAGGGGTTGCATGCCAAAAATGTCTTTGTGCACCGAGGTTTGGTGGAGGCGAAGGTTTTCGACGCGGCTGAACAGTTTTTGGCACACTTGGCAGCGCGTCTTGCCGAGGTGGATGGCGAAGTGGCGCGTGCACGACTGCTTGTTTTTGAACGAGCGATTGCACAAACTGCAGGAGAAGCGGCCGTCCGCCTCCTTCACCACCTTCAGCGACTCTTCGCTCACTATGACCTCGCCCTGGCCGTCAAAGGTCACCGAATCGTCGTCCGCTATGCACACAAACTGCGCCCCTGCGAACACAGAGACACACCAAGCATCGGTCAGTGGCGCGGCAAATCACAGGTTAGTCTTTTTTGGTGCTCATTTTTTTTTTTTTTATTTACAATCGATCAATTATTTAATTGAAAGCTAAAACGCCTTTTGGGGTCACTTGTCCTTTTTCTTCTTCACGTTTTCCTTGTTTGATATTAAAAATTAGTTTTGCTTCGAATTAAAAAGCGTGGGTAGGTTTCAAATTTCAGTTGGTTTCCATTTTCGATATATTGTCAGTTTTCTTTTTTGTTTTAAAAACTTTGCTGAAGTGAATAAAACTATTAAAATTAGGCCATTTCAGAGGTGTTGAAACTTGACCTTCCGTTCTTCCCGACGTCTTTCTCAGGTCAGAGGTCACCAAATCGCAAAAACCTGGGCATTTTCGGCATCCTCGTGAAACAAGCTTTCCGCCGGTGAGTCATTCTTCGCTACCAACGTTCGCGTTCTTTTCAAAATTTTGAGATACGGCCAAGATTTTTCTCAAATTTATCAATCAACAATCTAATTGAACTTTGATAGTTGCACCTGGTCTACCGCAATTTAGTCCTGAGCAGAAATTTCAAACACCTTTTCAAATTAGAAAACACAATCTTCTGGTAGAAAGTTTCAAATCTCTTGAAGCGAAAAATTGTCAAGTCAAAATTTAATCCAGGACAGGGTGCGAAATATTTATCCACTTAATATTACGTTTTATCCAAGTTAAAAGTTCTTTTGAAATATTTCGTCTATTTTAAATTCTTAAACCGACTGAAAAGAACAAATAAAAATCTTTTTACATAGTTGTAATCCAATTAAAAACCAGATTAAAAATTACTGAAAACGTGTGTCATCATTTTTATTAAACGATATAACTGCAAAATGCACAATCAATGCATTACATTTGGGACAATAAGATTTTCGGCGACGCACTTCCATCAACACTCGCCGCACGTTAAAATCTATGGTAATGTCTCTATACCTTACGTATTTTTCTACGAACGAATTCAAATTAAAAAAAAGCCCAGAATATTATGCGCACATGATGAGATTAAAATTACTCTCCGTGCAACCCTTTAATCGCAAACTGCGTTGTTAAGTGAAAATTATGGCTCTGTTTCCCGTGAAGTGAAAATATTTCGTTTTAATATAAAAATTATATTATTTCATGGACAGCGACATTGGTAATGTTTTTTCTTGCGAATTGTGCCTAAAAATCTCGCTTTTATCAATCAAACTTGAAGTTTTATTCGGTAGTTAATTAAAAAAGGCATCATTGCAAAGGGGACAAGTGAAGTTCAGATTTCTTTCTTAAGATCTCCTTATTAAAAAAATTTAGCCAGATTGTTTTCAATGACTGATTCCACACACAAAAATGGCGTTCAAGAGATCAATCTTTAGATCCATTTTTTTTTAAATTCCATACATATTCCGTATTTGTATGGTAATTTAGTATTTTGTCCCAATTTTTGGCTCCAAATTTTACTTTTCAAAATATTAAATAATAAACTGCAAAAAAATTTTGGTTCCAGGGACAAAAAGTATCCACAAATTCTGATAATAGTGAAATTTTCTTTTCATAAATCAGGAATCTTCACAACTATTTTCAGAAAACCGTTTTCAGAAAAAAAAATTAAAAATTAACAAATAAAAAAGACTTAATATGATTTTTTTTTCTAACATTTTCTTTAAAGTCTTATTTAAAAGAATATTTTTTGCACATGCCAAAGTTTTGTTTAAAAGTAAAATTTTAAAACTTGAAACTGAACCAATCAATTTTTTTTTCATCCAATCACGAAGTTTTGAAAAAAATCGAGCAAATTATATTGAGCCTTCAGAATGAACCTTCACTTGTGATTTTTCCTTTTCCAATGCAGCACTACTTCTTGTGTCCATGTTAAAATTAAAAATTCGTCCACTTTAAGGACAATATAGAGCCTTGTTGAAGAATCTTACTTAAATAAACGATAATTAAGGAGAAAGTAGAAAAAGTTTGATTGATTTCCTTCGGTGCGTGGAAACACTTTTGCTATTATATTCACATGGCCATATTGTGGACGTTCTTCATGTGCCGCTTGAGGTGTGACTTGTGGCTGAGTTTTCGCGCGCAAATCGGGCACGTCGTTTCACCCGTGTGCACGTAAAAGTGTCTGAGGCACGAGTTGCGCAGGGTGAATTCGTGGCCGCAGGCGCTGCACACGTAACAGCCGTCCCTGTAAATGACGTGAAGCTCTGCCGTTGAGCTTAAAAAATCGGCTTTTTTATTGTAATTTCTGCCCTCGCCACCTGCAAACACACAAGATAATGCCAACGTTCAGTCCAAAATCACACGCTCATATTTTTTTAGTAATAAATATATATTCAAAAGTTTGAGAGGAAGAATCCACAGAGAGGTATAAAAATGCACCTAACCAGACAGAGGGCGGTTTTTTTTTTTACAGAGGAGGGCCAGTCATGTGTGTTCGTGCAAAGTTAGGAAAAAACCTTTTGTTTAATTTTGTGTTACTTCAACGGTTTAATTTATTCACTCTTATTTTTATCTACATAAAATTATGGCAAGTTTCGAACGAGTTTGACATTCAAGTCAAATGCAACCTGCGTGACACGAAGGATGTGCGTGTTGCATACTTTCTTAATGGGCAGGATGCGGCGAGACCAATACAAAATTTGCAACGGCTGCAATCCAATAATTTTTCAGGCTCTTTCGTAGAGACCAAGCATATTTCTTATTTATTCAAAAACGATCTTGGAATTTTTTTAATAAACATTCACATTAAAAATCTTTTTGTCTTCCTGCAATGAGTTGTTTGACAATTTTCTAAAAATTATCTGAATCTTGACTTTAAAATCACAAATCAAATTTATCGTTCATCGTTGCAGTTAATTAATGAAAAATGCAAATCAGCAAACTCTTTCTTTTTTAAACTATTCCAGTTTATTTCTGTGCTGCTTTTGCCAGGAGTAAAAAAAGAAAACAAGAAGGCGGCATTGGGGAGTGTCAGACAGAATAAATGCAAGTCTTCACCAAAAACACATATTTTTAATATTTCTTTTGTGTTACGTCTAAATTAAATTTTGGTATTTGTTTCAGTAAGTTTTGTATTTTTTAATTTACAAGTTTGTATTTGTCTTGAATAAAATATTATTACTGAAAATTATTTCTGAGATTTTTTTAAAATTTTAGTGTTCCCCAGTCTCAGAATTGCATTTCAAACTAACGAGAGAAATTTGAATTTAATTTAAAAACCGGTTGAAATTTAAATAACGTCCCTGAAATTCATGATTGCAGCATTTGGTCGTAAATAAACTGAAATTAATTTTTTTTTAATATTCCTAAAAATTTGAAATGCACCCAAAAGTATAGTTTTTAAGTCTTTGGCAGCCGAGAAGAAAAATTTTCCGCTGTCGGACAAATTCGGTGTGCACTAGGTGAGTTGGTGGACACTTTTGAGGTGTCGCCTGAGACACTGCGCGTTGCTGAGGGTGGCGGAGCAGACGGGGCAGGTGGCGAGGCCCAAGTGCACGCTCATGTGCTTCTGCCTGGTCTGGTGGGTGCGAAAGCGTTTGCGGCACACGGCGCACTCGAGCGGCCCGTCCGAGTCCCCTGCAAATTGGCAGATTCAAATTCACAGCATCAAGTTGTGCTTGACTTGCATGTGGCGCTTGAGCACCGACTCGCGGCTGTAGACGCGGCCGCACACGCCGCACCGAGTCTTACCGAGGTGCAGCGCGAAGTGGCGCACGCAGTTGGGCTTGTTCGAGAACGACTTCGAGCACACGCTGCACTCGAAGCGGCCGTTGCGCGCCACGCACTGCGGCTGCTGCACGCCCCCCAACAGCACAAACTCCCCGTGCGCCTCCATTTCCTCCTCATCGAACAGCTCCGCGTCATCCTCATCATCATCAATCATAACTAATTCCGGCATGCCTGCGAACAGACCCAACTTTTGGTTTCATTCCTCCGCAAATTTATTTTATACGTATTAAGCACACTAATGGTTTGCTCAAGTACTAAAAAAAAATAATATACGCAGGCATGCTTCTCAAACCTTTCGACCGAAATGTTCTACTTTCGATTCAAACAGAATAGAAAAAACACGGAAGAATAAATTATACTGTAAAAAAAAGAGAAAAAAATATGAGGAAATAAAATCGTATTCTTAACTCATTTAAGGCCGAGATTAAGTTAAAAATCCTTAAATTTATTTCTACTTTAGCATAATTATAATCATTATTTCCTCCTTATTTGCGATTTCTACAACACTTTCCTGCTTTCCGCAACTTAAAGTTTGGCTTGAAAAGACAATGAAGTGCAAAATACTCTAATATTTTCTTCTATTTTATTTTGTTTTGAAGAAATTGACACTCGAGGAGATGATCAAGGAAGTGAAGAACTCGGGCTTTTGCTCGTTGTGTAAAAAATTGAACGTTTTTATTCATAAAAGAACCATTATGTTTTTGAATAAAAACTATTTTTAGCAACAAGGAAATGCCCAAATTCTTCACTTTCTATTTCCTCATTATAAAATTATAACTACAAGTATTTTTTTTAAGCAATTTCAGTGTATTTGTCGTGCGGATTGCAGAAGGCTGGGGACGCCTGCAAGTATTTTATAGTTTTTCCGCCTTCAAATAGCAATCTTTTGCAACCAAATTTAAATTTCCTGAATATTTAATGTCTAATTAATTTATCAGTCTAAAAGCTACAAAAATAAGTCTTTAGCCAGCTCATTCTTGTATTAGTCAGCGAGCAACGCGTTTGCTCATGAAAGAGGTTGGTACTTGAATTTGTTGGTTTTAAGATTTTTATTTTTATGTTGAAATGTGTTTTTTTCAATTTTGCTGAATTTTTGTATTTTTCTTGCTCATTAAATAGGGTCGCAGACCGTGACCAAAACTGGTAGAGCCATTTGTTTTTGAATAAAAACAATTTTCTGCAACGTGGAAAATCCCGATCGCGTCATTTCTACAAAAATAAACCTTTAATATTTAATGCAATTTTTTTTTTAAATCTTGATGTGCAAAGAAGTTTAAGTCTAATATTGATTCTGCTGACATTTGATTTTTTCCTTGGTCATTCTTTTGAATTTTGATGAATTAAAATACTTCATTAAAAACAAATTTGTGTAATTTACCGATATGAATGATTTAGTTTTGATCGAATGGAAACGATATAAATTTATTTGACTTATTAAAATAAGCAGAAAAACAAAGGAAATTCTGCATAAATGATTCCACACTTCTAAAAAAGTGTTAATTAGCTGGCGGCCCATCTCGGCGCGGACCTCTCTTGAGGCCCCGCGTTTTAGCAACTTGCTTGCCAAAGGTGTTGCCGTTTCTTCGCATTTTGTAATTTTTTTTCCTCATTTGACTTGATTTGTGAAGAATAAACAACAATAATATAAAACCTTTTGTTTTAGTTAAAAAAAATGTCCACTATTTCATGATAAATAATGCGACTGAATTTATTGAACACAATTAAATTTAATCATCTCTGAATCTAAAGAGATTCTATCGTTTGTCTGTGATTTCAGTTCATTTTGTGCACGTTTTTCAAGTGTCTCTTCAAGTGCGTGTTCTGGCTGAACGTTTTGTGGCACAGGGGACACGTGTTTCTGCCCGCGTGGCCGTCCAAGTGTCGCAGGCAAGTCAGCCTCTTAGTGAAGGTGCGGTCGCACACCGAGCACTGGAAGGCGCCGTTCGCCAGTTCGAACGCCTTCAGTTCCAACCCTTGCTCGCTCAGCACGGTCTTGGTCACTTCGCCCACGAACGCCACCTCCGTGTCATTATTATTTCGCAGGCCCTCCTCGACATTCGGAACGTCTAAATTGATTTGCTCAAATTCTGCAAATAAAAAAAAACGCTATTGTCAAGCAGCTTGCCAACCCAAAAAAACTCATCAAAATTTTTTAATTTATTTATTTTGAATATACCTTTTTTGCTCTTCTGAAAATAATCAGTAAAAGCAGGTAAAATAAACGTTTTTATTGGTAATTTTTTGTTTCTTTGCACTTTTAAATGCAGAAATAATTAAATAATTCTCTCATCAGTGTGATTTTCTAAATATCCTTTTTAAAACCTTATGTGAGAGAATAAACGAATTGAGTTGAAGTCAATCCATTTAAAGTTAATAGAGTTAATGAGAGATACTTTTTCTATACCTACAAAAAAAATCAAAGAGGGATTTTAAGTTGAAATCTGGGAAAAATTGCTGAAAAGTTATCCAACTTTGCAAAATCAATCTATGTTGGATTTTATTGATTTTATCTTCGCTAAAAATTTCAGAAACGGTGAATGTGTGGTTTTTTTTTGTAAATCGATAGATTGGTCCTTCAATTTGATAGTTTTAAGCATTTGAAACTTTATGTTAAAATGAGGTTTTTCAATTTGCCGATTTTTTGAATTTGTATTGCAGTCAAAACTTGTAGAGCCATTTGTTTTTGAGAAAAAACAATTTTTACAACGACGAAAAGCCAGAACTTCCATGAAATAATTACCCTTATTTTTTTAACCTCGGAATGAAAAAGATTTTGGATTTGAAGGAAAATTAAAAAAAAAAAATGGGTTTTTATTTTCAATTTTTTAGCTGCGCTTAAATGTTTTATTTTCAAGTTGCAATCGTCAATCGTTGTATGAATCTTTACTCAAGTCACAACAGGGAAATCGAAATTGGAAACAATTATAAGCAGAAAAAGGCTATCACAAGTAGCAGATCTGCCGAAACGCTTGACATCAAAAGATTGGGTAAAAAATCATCACATCACATGCAAATAAAAATGCTGCCACAAATATACTGATTGAAGAAAGAGAGAAATTTTCCCTCTATAAAAGAGGCATCGATTTAATCCTAAAATTATTTCAAAATCAGCAGTTTTTATTATTCAGATCTCGCTCTAGAATTAATGGACACTTTCCATGGTCAAAGACAAGTAAATTTTTCTCACACTAGCTTGTGCGAGTTTCTCAAGTGTCGGTTTAGGTGCGACTTGAACGTGAAACAGCGCGAGCAAATGGGGCACGTCGTTTGGCCCGTGTGCATCGAGAAGTGCTGAAAGCACGACGATTTGTTTAAGAACGACCGTCCACACGCACTACACATGAAGCGGCCGGCTACCTCAATCACTTGCAACCGCCCCACCGAATGGCGACCACCTGCAAAAATAAGGTCACACAACTTATCTTTCGAGTCTTTTCCAGCGTCGCGAATACAATGCAAAAAAAACTACACAGCGCGCACACAAGGCTATTTTTCCAGGAACTGTTCCAAAATATTTGTTATTTGAAGC